TTGTAGTTACTCGTTCATTCAAGGAACCATTATTTAAATATCAGTAATCAAAAATACCATACTTTATATTTGATCATTGACGTCAAACATGTTCAAAATTTCGTCTGCTCTCATGGTCAGATTACAGTCCTGTAATTTGAAGTGATATCGTATAATTTCTAGTGTCACTGGGAACGTCAACATAAAGATGCCGGTAAGTCATAAACTGGCTGACCAATGACTCCTTAACTCTACTGATATCCAATGGCCAAGATATTTTGTTTATTATTTATTGTATAATTTGTGTATTAGTTGAATTCTTAAAAAATATCACTTCATCTGGTAAATCTTCTTTTCCTAACTATAAAGTGTAGGTAGACATTGACCCTAGAAATTCCCCATGTGCAAATCTAATTACATAAATACATATCATTTAAATTTTTCAATCTTGGTATATTAACCATTTAATTTTTTCTCCTATTTTATAGCGAAATTAGTCAACAACATTTGTTTATTCTAATGTTTGAACACACATATATATACGCTAAATAATTTCTTAATAATATCTAGTACGAAAATCGATGATATTATTTTGTAGTCTGGAAATAAATTTTTTTTAGAAAACTGACGTTTTTCAAGAAAAACACTTTCCTGTTTTTCGTTTATATTTTAATTAATGATTTTTTTTAATGAATCCTTGTATGTAAGTGGTTTTACGACTTTTACTTTAGTAATAGTTACGTTATCATTGATAGTAAGTATGGTATATTAAAAATAAACAAACTGTTTTAAGTGTTTACCAGTCACCTACATTAGTTCATTCATTCAATCAGGATTTTTTGTTTTGTTTTTATAGAGAATTATTTATATATTTAAGTTCTGCATATCCCTATTGTGTATAAAGTGTTAAGAAGAAAACAGAGATGTGTATACGGGATATAAAAAAGCTTTAAACGAAAGAAGAAAAATCTGCTATGTGATAAAAGGGCATTCCGCTATATCGGACTGAAACTTCCTTCAGAGGTACTGGATAATTGTCTCGTCATAGCATCAAGACACTTCAAAAACACTAATTAACAAATCTCGTCAAGAATCATCATCCACTCACTGTGGACAATCCATTTTCCTTCAGTGCACCGTTTAGTTTAAATCTTATGATTCAGATTTTTCCAAACTCACTATCGTCATAAATTTACGTAACCATGATTAATTTCCTTCTAAAAAGAATTTAGTCATAATATTATGAATAATGTGTGATATACGCATATGTTAGAAGCTAAATTTGTTACTTGTATTCAATTTTGCCTTTTATAATTATCTTTTACTCGTGATCGTAAAATGTAGAAACTTTTTCTTACATTTCTTTAATCTTTGCATAATTTTATCCTTTTCAACATCCCACCTTCTTATTGGATTATGCATAAAATTTGAGTGAATTTCACTATCGTTTGGTATTGAGAAGCCATGATAAATATCCACTAATGACGAGTAACACTGAAGTACACGAAATGTGTTTCAGTTTTACATTGGTACCTGATTGATACTTACCTTTCTCACCATAAATACTGTAATAACTTCATTTCGACAAACTAACAACTAAAAATTTTAGATCATTGCTACAATTAGGCTGTTAAAATACTTTATTATAAATTTTAACTATTGGAGATTACGTTTATATCACTACACGTTTAATTAATGGGTTATTTAGTTATCTCCTAAATCATGAGAAACATATTTATTTCGTTCAAATCAACAGTTGTTTATAAAAATATTGACGTAAACGGCTAAATCCAATTATAAAACATATTTTAGTTTCAGTGTGTACTATTCTTGAAGTCATTGATAATATTATACTTTTCTCCCCGGTAAACTACACACATTATTATTAGAGGTAACGAACCGCCAGATATGATGTTTTCCTATAAATCTACGGACATTATCTAAAATAATTGTTTTGGTTTAACCGCTAAAACGTTTTCAATTCAATCCAATCTTAGATTCATCAGCATATTTGAGAACTTTTTTGGAAGTGAAATCAGTTCGCTCCTGTCTGAACCGTGAACTTTATTTAACCTTTGGATATCTTCAGTACTACTGTCATTATTATTATTGTTATTATTATTATTATTATCAGATATTTTAATAAAACAGTCGGAAATTTCATTGTACATTACATTTTAATTTATAATATTAATAAGTAGGAAATCAGTTGTTAATGACAGATAAGTTTTTATTTTTGAGTATATTGATAACTTGTACTACTGATCATGTGTTATTTAAGTAGTACGAAAACATAACAATACGGTAATTAAATTTTTTTTGAAACAACTTGAGAAGAAATTATTTTTTTGAGTAAACAACAGTTATTTTTGTTTTATTGAACAACAATGAAGTTAGGTGAAACAAAATAAGCACTTTAAAAATTTTTTACTGGTCTTCTGAGCAACAACTGGTTCATTTTAACTGCAATTTCGAAATCTTTTGTAGTTTTCTCTCCCTCACACACACTCTCTCTCTATTTCTTTTCCTTTCAATAATTAATATTGTACACTTTTAGTTTAAGGTCAGGATTGTGAAAGCTGTGAACATCAATAAAACCAATAATGATGAGTAGAGTGCACTTTTTTCTCTAAGCATTGATAATATAATTAATGATTGTTTTAGTGTTATTGTTATAATTCACCGAATTTTCTGTATTCTTTATTTTCAAATTGTTAGTATACTTCATTTTGTTGTATTTCTTAATTTAATTTTTTTTATGAACTATTCGAAAAATCTTAAGTATCTTATTATTTGATAATTTTAATAAATATAAAAATTAGTAAGCAGGGGATATTGGGCCTGAGTATCGTGTTTTTTGGCGTTGAAAGATATGATGTCCATTTTTGTTTTATGCTACAACTTTTCATCAGTATTCAATTATATTAATACTGGCAAGATCAGATTGAAGTTTATACAATGATTATAGATGTTTTAGTGAAAAAACGAATTAGTATTTAATTTACTTCACTTAACAATTTTTAGATTACATGGTCATATTTCATTCTAGTCAATATCGATGTCTACAGAATGATTATATCATTGAACTGTACCAGAAATATAATTGTCCTCAAAGAAAACAAAATATCATTGGTAGGAAGGTTTCAGATTATCTAGTTACGTTATATTTTCTTGATAACTGATAGTTTTAACGTGTAAGGATAATCTCGGCAAGATTTTTCCAACTCTTATGTTTGTATTGATTATCGCTTTTATCGGATTACTTGTTCTTGCTTTTAATCTGATTATTAGTTTTTTTATGTAACAAGGTCATTGATGTCACTTTGTGTATGAACTTATTCTATAGCACTTTTGATTTCTACGTACACTAAGCTTTTTCTAGAGATCTTTCTATGACATTGGAGATTGTATTTGAAATTTTTTACGTACTACTTTCCTGATCTTTTTTATTCATGATGACCACAGTTACGTAATAGAATAACAGTTTAATCTTATGAAATGTGGAATTATGTTAGACTGTCTCAAAGCAAAATGGATACAAATAAATCTAGAACTATAATAAAGAAGGTTATATTATCTATTGTAGGTTTCGAACATGAATAACTATGACGAATGTTAATTTCCTTTTCACTATCCAACAACTACAAGGAAAGATGTTCACTCTTGGTATAGGCATATTTTTGGTATTAATTACAAAATGCATAGAATAGAATGTTTCACTTTGCATTGCCTTTAGGTACACACATGATATTCATTGTATTTTGGCGAAATTCATGTCAGAAATTGTTAATCTATTTCGGTAGAAATGTTTTATTGATTATAACAAGAGAGAGATTTATGCGCTCACTGTATTATTGTATTCATTTATTATTATTTTTTAAGTGACTTAATAGTGAAGGCAATTTATGTAGAAGAGATTTTCCTCTTGATTTCATTTACTTTTCTTTTGTTTCAATAACATCTTAAGCTAATTTAATCATAATAAATACAAGGAGTAGAAATTAGAAAAGATGGCTACATTTTCTAATAGTTTCTAATTACTAATAGATTAATGTATTTTTGTTGATTGATTAAGAAATTACAAAGAAAATAATTATGAATACTGGTATGATTAGAAGTACTCATATATTCTGATTGAATGTATGAAAACAACTAAATTATTGAAATGACATAAATAGAAACAGAAATTTAAAGTTGTACAATGTTGATTTTGTTTTAGCGGTTATATTCTTAAATATGGCAAATCAATCATCTTGTTTTTTTTTCAAAAAAGTTACGTTTTACAAAGCAGGAATTTTTCTATAAATCACAACTTGAAAATTCCGTTTTTCTTGATGAATAACTTATTGGGCATAGATTTATGAACTTGACTAAAAGTTACACTTTAAGTGTGAGAACTAGTGATACTACTAAAATGAAGTAAGTAGCATGAAGTTAAGACTCCGAACTTACATGTTCACTGAACCACCGTTTCACGAAGCTTGAATTATCTATTCAAAAAAGTGTTTGTTAGATATATTTCTTTTGATCTCTGGATTCCTAAATTTTCCACAATTCATGTCTTCTTGTTATTTCTACGTGGAAATTTAATGTACTATTTCTTGTTTTCCTCTCTACTCCTTTGCATTTAAAACAAAAATTTAAATTTTATCAAACTACAAGCATTTTTAATCATTGAGTGAATGAGCACTGTATCTTAAACTGTAATTTATATTGAAAAATTTCATTCCAAGTGTTGTATACTTATCTCAAACTGCTTTCTATCAATATTATATACAATATAGCATATCCTAATATAATAACTTTTAAGGATTGAAATGAAATCTTTAATCAAAATTCTACACTCTGATGTACAACAATCTTCCACTAAATGAACAAAAAAATGATCAGTAATATTGATTGTGATACTATTATCTTATTATCATACAAAACTAACTAAAATTTTCATATATTTATTTAAGTATTCAGTAGAAATTTGGAATTAAAAAAGTTTGTTTTCTTTGTTTATTTTTTACCTTCAGCTCAAGCTGATCAAGAATTAGAAAAGATTCTACTTTTCTTATTATGTGCCGCTGTACGATGTGATCGACGTGATTATTTTATTCGTCAAATTATGGAGAATTTAAATCCTGATGTTCAAACTGGTATAATGACATGTATTAAAAATGTAAGATAACCTTCATCATGTTCTCTCCATTAGATTCTATCTTTATAGTTTCTTACTCAATTATAAATTTAGTATATTTCATTTTTATATCTTTCATATATGTTCAAATGTAATGTCAGATATAAGTTTTGTGTCCATTCAGAAGGTATATTCTTGACGTCAGAAAGCTTATATTACTGCACTGCTTCGATATTTCAGTCACAGATTTTACAGTTGTATTCAATGTTTTATAAACAGACATCGGTTTACTGGGGAGAATTAATAGTTTGGTTAAAGTAAATCTTCACACTATCAACAGTTGAATAATACCAACTTCGAGTATATTTACCTTTAAATTTACTAAGTTTGCCAAGAAACTACTCTAGACATCAATGTTGGCACTTATACAGCCAAATCAAATCATCGTATGTGTTATATTATGTATTCACACCAAATAACTAGTCTATGTACGCTTTTTTTTCTTAAGTTATTGTTGTACCCTATCACACTTTACACAATGTTGCCGTGATTCATGAAAGGCTTTTGGAAACTAGGACGTAACGCAACAGTTCTGTACGTCTTCCATAAAACAGTGCTAGATTTGATATCTGATTATTTCGTGGTTCAGATTCGTACTACTAGTTAGTAGTGTTAAGCATCAGTTATAAATAAGTTAAAATTGTGAATTACTGAAGTTGTACTTCACTTATGCCATAAATCCAATTCAACCGATTTTCAGTCATTTCGCTTTTTTGTTTCTTAAACCTTATCGAAAAAAACTTGTGGTTTTTCAAATTCTCCGCAATATCAGTTGGTCAGACTTCGTTGTTTTTGGTTTCACTATCTTTATTTGTTTTGACTATGAGATTCAGATAGTGGCATGAGATTTTCGGATTACTTAAGCATATCAGAATTCACATGCTCAGAATACTTCCAAAAGTATAGATTCATCTTTTTCAATGTACAGTAATGAATGATATCTTTAGGTCTACTTTGCCTAATAACATTAAGATAGGATCATGCATGCTAACCTAGAAAGTATTTATTGTATTCAAACCAGCCTTTTATTTTCGTCAGTAATATGAATTTCGAAGGATTACTCATGAAGTAGTGAAGCATTATTCTTTTTGACTGAGTTGGAGAGTGTTACTATTCAGTATGCTTAAGATAGAATAATTTTTTCAATTACTGAAGGCGAATACAATTAAAGTTTAATATATCAATGAGTTGCTACTTCCTACTTACGGACCTAAATATCTCAATATATATATGTGACATTTTATAATCCTATTGTTAATAATATTTTCAATTTAAAATTAATCATATTATAATACTTTATTTTTTAATGTACAGGTTACTGAATGTCCTGCAAGTATTGTAAGTTTTGAAAAGCTTCGATCATCTGATGCTGACATTTTACAAACATTTCGAAGTGTAGTTAATCAACTTGAAGATATTTATTTAGAGGTATGCCATTATAAATTAATTGTTAAAAAAGCGTTTATTTATTGACAAAGATGAATGATGGCTACTGGGAGAATCTTGGATGCACATTTCGTATCCTGGATTCTACTACCAGCCACTATTCATCTCTGCTAATAATTTTTGTAACTTAATGGCAATGTCAAAGCAGTTCGCACAGGATGAACATTTAGTTGTGTGACAGATTAACTAACGTCTTATACATCAATGAGAAGATTCAAAAAATCAATAAAAACTGAATTAAATGCTCATTTAGATTGAGATTATATAATGATGAGTTTCTGAATATCAACTATCTATTAGTTTTATATTATCATTGTATTCAGAGTTGATAAAATTAAATTTCGAAAGAATGTTTAATTTCAAAAATGATAATTAAATAAAATACTACGAAGTTTGACAATAAAAAAAGCAATAAACTCACGAGGAATAAAAAGATTATATTTGTATATATATTTATATACAAGAAAATGCGGATTAGATTGGGTTCACCTGGTAACAGACATCGACAACACTTATTGAAGGGTAATATATAAACGGAGCTATTAGACTGTAAACTTAGTTAATCAGTTTGAAAAGTTTCTAGCAGCTCATCTGTCATAATATGAGTAGGTCACACGGCTTCAATATTCACTTCTCCACTTTACTTTTGTTAACATTAAAGCATCTTGTTCAGTTGCCAAACGATGTTGAAAAAAGAACACACGAATTCAGACCATTTTTTAATTATTTGTTTGCGCCTGACTTGTTGTGTGCAAGGTATCATTAAGTTTCGTGATGGTTGATAGCCCACGTGTTCTTAAACTTCGTAATTCGCTCGTCTAGGCAAACGTCGCTAAGTAGCGCCTGACAGTTATAAATCAGAAGGCAAACACGAGGGGTTGAATACGTTTATTTTGGCACACCACAAATGGACCAGCAGACCACAAGCACACTAGCAACTGAATTAGCGAATCGGCGAATGAAGTGAAGTTGAGTTGGATCACTAGCCTTCTCCACTCCACTTCACTTCATTCGTTTGCTTGCTTGCCTTCCGGCACTCGCATATCAATTTCATGTCTGTGGTCTGCTGTTGTAGTTGTGGTGTGCAAGAATAAACGTATTCAACCCCTCGTGTTTGTTTTTTGTCCTATAACCGTCACGCGCTGTTTGGTGACGATTGGTTCGAAGAGCGAATTACGAGGTTTAGGAACACGTTGAACATCAACCGTGAAAACTAACAGGAATATTCCAAACTAAATAGGATCGGATTTTGATCCCGTACTGGGAATCCCATATCGTACTAACAAATAATAATGAGTAAAGCCATTAATATTATTGTTATTCTTATTATTGTCTTTTAGAATCAAACTAACTTGTAAATGTTTCTAGTAGATAGTAAAAGATCTAAAATAACCAACGGCTGTACACGGTAACCTTGAGTTCAGTCAAACAAGACCTCATTGTCAATGGCTGGGCGTTATTTAACAAAAAAAATCAATGAAATAGATGAAGGCATATCCTAACTAGAGTGAAAATAAAAAGGTTTAGCCGAAGAAAATTGAGGAAAATATAGATATATGGCTATCGATGACCAGTATGGTAGTAGTTAACGAACAAATTAATCATGAAAACTTAAGAACTCATAATAATTCTATCAAATAAAACACTCTGAAGGAATTTTCAGAGTATTTCTTCTGTTATAATAATATAAATAAATTTCTTTTCTATCTTTTTTATTTACTATTTTAGGAAATCATCCAATTATTAGATGAATTAGCATCATTACAGAATAAATTTCTCACATTACAAGCAAGATATCAATTAGCTTCTCGATCTAAAACATTAGGACCGAATGGATTAAAAGAACGATCTGTTTCTACTATATCACTTGGTGTGGATAATTCATATTGTACTAGTAATAGTCATTTTGCTATATCTACACCTAGACTTGATGAACAAACCGGTTTATCACGTAAAAAATTAAATATTATTGAATTGAATGATCCTTTTGATCAAGTCAACGAACAGTTAAATGATGATGTTTTTGTCAATGATAATAAAGTGAATCAAAATCTTATGACTAGTACTAGTAATATCAGTAATACAAATGAATTATCAGATATTGGTCGAATGGATTCTGGATTAGAAGTGGAAACAACACAACTAGACTCAGTACGTTCTTTATACCAACCAACGGATAATTTGACACCGGAAATTCTTGTAATGGATATGGATAAGCATCATTTATCGGTTGAATTGGCTGAAACCAAAGCGAAACTACGTCGAGCACATATTGAAATGTAAGTTTGTATTCTTTCCTCTTTACAACACAACGGATTTTGTTAGTTGAAGGTAAAATGAGAACTACTCTGCTCTAAATTATTCTAAGTCTAAGAAAAAGACAGTTGTGACCCGAATAATCCAGTAGTAGTTTTTCTGGCTGTAAGTCTAATTCGAATCCTACAGGAAGTATCATTCGCTTTTGTACTCAAGATACACCTTGGTGACGAAAAGTAACTTGCGCGATACCTTGATTTATGGTTTTACAAAGATTATTTCTGATCTCCTGAGATGAAAAAACATATCACCGTGTGGGTTACCTAAACTTGCAGCTATATCACATTCGGATAGATACAATTCTATCAGTATTAAGAACTAAATATGACCTCGTTTATCGCTAAATTATCAATTACTGTGATTTTATTTCGTCATCAAGTGTCTTTAAATAGTTTTTTCCTACAAAACTCATCTGACTGGTCAGTACTGATCGGTGAGTTGTCGGGGTGTTGTGGACGTTAGATCCCTTTGTAAGGGTCCTAACTATGTAATTTTATACTAAAATGATGAATTTATGTTTTCGCGCGAAGAGACGCTTAGTTGACCTACAGCTTACATTTCCCACTCGGAAATCCCTGACTGTCATTGGTTGACGGATTATTTTAGTATTCTATGTTGTGGCTCTCCCAAGGGCGTTTCTATCATTGTATAAATAAGCATGATTTGTATGCTTAGCAACCTCGAGTTTTCTGGGTGCTATAGTGTTCTTAATGTCCAATAAGAATGTTTTATTCATCCCTTTCGACCATATTTTTGAGTGTTATTTTTACCACAGACTTCCGTGGTAAAATCATCTGTAACCGTCTATCACATAAAGATGTTAGTATTGGCCTATTCCAAAATATCAGATACAAACTGATAGATAGTTCAGTTTCAAGTTTGAAATGAAATCTGTAATTTAATTTACACTCTAATACACAACACTCATTTGTTAAATAAACAGCAAACTAACCAAAAATGTTCGACACAACATTAGTGAATATTGAAATAGTTGTTTATAGCCACAGCTGTAAACAACTTCAATTGAATTAAAACAAATCGAAATTTAATTTACAAATTATATTTTCAATAGACTATCCATATAAATTACAATTTTAAATAATTATGTATAATTTTTTTATGGGATAGATTATATAAAATAATTTTTCAAAATAAATTTCCTCGTACTATGTCTAAATTTAATTGCTTTTATATGTATTTATCTGTAATACAAAAAAACGATAAACATGATTTATGCTTTATCTTTTGATAAAAATAAATAAAAAATGTACAATGTCTGTACCGATTGTAGTTTATAGTGTTTATTGTTGTATAGTTTTGATTATGAAATTGTAGTACCCAACATGATGTATAGTAAATTTTCTACTGACCATTCGAAGAAAATTGTCAAAAAACCTATAATCTATGTTCTCTGAATGATAAAAATCGTTAATATTCTTTCATTTATATTATTTCAAGTTATCTGTACTTCTTATCAGCTTAGCGATTTATTAGATTGACAAAACAAAACGTTAAGAAAACGAAGTAATAATAATAACGATAAAAAATAACTATTATTAGTCATTCTTAATCATAATAGACATTGAGTCTGATACAAAAATCGGTTAATTCCAAGTTGCCTTCAACGTAAACAAATGAATAGGAAACGTGACAAAATGAAGAAAAAAACTCTAGTCAACTTGTGATTCCACATTTTCTCATCTCTACATTTTTTCTTCTTTTTGTATAGTGAAGATCAAGCTGACCAATTAGTTGAATTACAAGATCATTTGTTTGAGACACGTCGTGAATTAAGTCAAGTAAAAGAGGAACGAGCACGTTTAGCCGACGCAGCCTATACAGCAAGACATTGGCAAGATGAAGTGGATGCATTAAAACAAACTGCTGAACGTGTTACTAATTTAGAAATAGAAAATGAAAAACTGAAAGAAAGATTACATGAAATTGATTATTACAAAGTAATCTTTTTTTTCTCTGTAATTTATTTCAGTAGTGTATATTGTTGGTGATGATTCAGTTAAATAGAATATGGCTACATAAATTCGTATAATTGATTTTTTGAACAATGAACATGTCTGCTGTTGAGGACGTTAGATCCCCAGAACTCACTTGATTAAGGTCCTATAAATGGATTTTGTGGTTTCGCGCACGGGCTGATCAGTTGACCTTGAAGTTACATTTCTTACCCGGAAAATCCTTGACCGTTATTGGTCGATGTATTATTTTAGTTCGCCATTTTGTGGTTCTCTCAAGGACGTTTCTATCATGAATAAATAAGCTCAAATTTTTGTGCTTGTCAACCACGATTTTCTGGGTGCTTGTAGAATACACTTTCTACGTCTTGTCAAGAGTTTTTCTCTACTTAGTGGGGCCTTGGGACGCTCGGATAAGAGTAACCTATCGTGTCACTGGATCATTTCTCTTCGCTCTTGTTTACCGACTAAGGTGAACTCATAAAAGTTTCAAGCATATCAGCTGGCGAGCATAATATCTACATATTAGTTATATACTCTCATATCGATCGTAATATTTTGTACATTGTTTGAGTTCTATTCTCGGCTAATGATGAACTATACCGTAGCCTAACGTTATCAAACTTTCTGATTTCTTAGGATAATGCATGAAATCAAAATCAATTTGAATTTGTACAAATAGTTACATATTAACAAGAATAATTTACGAATGTTATTTGTTATCTATGCAAAATATAGGAAAAAAAATAATTTTCATTCAGTGTATTACTGATCAAACAATTTATTGTATACAGAAAGAGTATTTAGATTATGTAAAGGTTACTTTGATCATATTATTTAATAGTCATCTTTACTTTAATTCCTACTCTATTCTCGTTATTCGTGTAAATATCTTAAATTTACTAACTTATTTGAAAGTACTTATATCTGTTTTTCACAAAATTTATTTGACAAATACAATTTAACCACAATACTAGTAAGTGAATAGATTTAAAACAGAAACAATTAATGTTTACATGTATAAGTATGTTACTGTTTAGTCAATCTATTTGACTTTGTGCAAATAGATTTATAATAGCTGTTAGATCAGATTATTAAAAATATAAAGTATCATAGATCTTTTATTCTATTTCTGTTCTTACATTCATGAAAAACACTCATTATTGACAAACGTTTCCAAATTTTCAGCATATAAATGATATTTTATAAGTTTTGACCGATACGAAGAATTAGAGCTTTCCGGTTATAATTATACTAATTAGAAAAATTTACTATTTCCGACTTCAGTTGGTTTAATATTCATACAATATTTAATCGAAAAGAGATTTCTTAATTTCAATCATTTTTGGTTCAATGGACAATTTTTTTCGGAAACGTTTTTTGTTTAAATGCACTAATGAACTAAATGGAGGATAGTTTTTAGTTATTCTCTGATTGACAGATTTTTGCTTCGGAGTAGCAATAAGAAGACAAAAATAAAATACACCTAACAAACAGATTCAATACAGAATTAAACTTTGTTTTTATTTTAATTTTACTGCTAGCATTTATTAAATAATACCAAATAGATTTAATGCATTTCTGATATTATTAATAGAGAGGTAAAAGTAGATCACTAACGTCAAATAACATTACTAGTTTCGGATAATGTAACATTAAATAAAAGTTACTGAAATGCTAGGTCACTTAGTCTATTGACGTATCTTATAAATTCTATCTATCTATCTATCAGAAGAAGAAGAAGCCGATTGATCTATAAAAAATATTCTACATGTTATTGATTGATAAGCTGTTGATTGGTTAGACTTTTTTCCTTTTCGCATACAGATTATCCATTTAGCGCTATAAATTATGATACTAATCAGTTTCATGATGACCTGATATTGATTGCTTTGAATGAGAAATTCATCTTTGATGGGTTGATGGATAAGTATGAAGAAATATATATGAAATGCATTCACCCATTGACATAGTAACGAAACGGAATCATTTACGTGAGGAGTAGTCTTGGTCACTGATTTAGTTAAGCGTGAACTGTTAAAATATAATGTTTATCAGAAGTATGAACGTATTATTGTAAGGAGAAATTTTTTGGGGATTGTTCGATTTGAAGTAACTGCCTTGATAATGAACTGATATCACACATGAAACTGTCGGATATGTGCAATGTTGAAGAGTTCTGAACTAGAATGAAACTGGTGTTTGATACTTCTTGGTTTTCGATGGTGCTCTAGCTAATGTCCATTCATAATGAATGCTAACTTCAAGAATATTATGGTAATTGTCATAATCAAAGAGCTGTTGGATCGTCTTATACAAAAGCTATAACTTTTTATTAAGTGTAACTGGTTTTATGTTTTGTACAACAAATCAGTTTCAATTTCGATCAATCTCTGTATGTGTAGATGTGTATTTGAGTTACTGGCTTTAATTTAATCATAACAATCTGGAGTGTAAGATATTATGTTACCATTTAGTCGTTGTATATATTATTGTGTTGTTTTTTTTTAACAGGCACGATGTCAACAACTTACTGAAGATTTAGAAATTTTATCTCATGAACATTCACAATGGGCAGATAAAGCAGAAATCACTCATGAATATCATCATAAAATTACAGATTTAGAAAAAGAATTAAGTAAAACTCGATGTCAGTTAACAGAAACAGAAAATGTGTGTTTTCTTTTTGAGTGCTTTATCGTATTGGTTTTACAATTCATTCATTATTCATTTAGATTTATCGTTCATAAAGTGTGTATTTTTAAATATAAACAAGAGTCATAGATTTGAACCCTTTATGTTTTTTAACTTATCAATTAGTAGATGATTGGTTGATTTACACAGTAGTAAGTCAAGATGATGTACTTTATTTGCTATCAATAATCAGTAGATTTCTAATTCAACTGACTGGTTGATTGAAACATCTTTGATTTCTGGATTATTCATTACATAATGTGACCTCAGTGAAAAACTGAGTGTTTTCTTTAGTATTGTTGTTGAACTCGATTGACTGGATGAATTCCCATAGATTTTAACTCTAAAGCGATTATTTTATAACATTTGTAAGGCTGATCTTATCTTGTTTACCAGTGAAAAACAAGGAGCACTCGAAAGAGTTTTCATCCCAGTTTAAAACCCTTCAGAGATGCACACTTGTGACTCCTTCATGGACTGGACAAGGGGTCTTGAGATTTCTCTAACAATGCTTAACCACTAGAACAACTTAGTCGGTGTGGATTGAAGAAATTTCAACTTGAATCAATTTTCGGCAAAATTCGATGGTCATCCAGCATTCCTGAAGTTCTTCCAATGATATATCCTGACCAGTGAAATTCAGATAAATTGAAAGTACTCCCTCACATTATACAGACCGCTTGACTTATAAGTAATTCTCATCATTTCTAAAACTGAAAAATATTAACATTGAAGAATAATTTACAAAGAGAATCTCTTTTTCTGATATTCACGTATTAAAATTGTTTACTTTGCACAAACTCAAAAAACAAAGAAAATTTTCACTCATGATATATAGAGGGATTATTTATGAGATCCGATTAAGTTTTTTTATTTGTCATTCAACAATTAATTTGATATTGATTCGCTTGTCTGAATTCGGTTCCACGTATTCCCAAATGTTTTAATGAATCATTATGGAAATAGATGATTTCTTTTGTTTTGCTGTTAAATACACTGATTTGTAATAAGAAAAATCTGAAGTTATCTAGATAAATAAATAACATCAAGCCATTGATGATAACTCCGTCATAGGAAAAAACAGTTTAACTGTTTGGCGCTTAATTTCAAGTTCCTATTCTTTCTTCTTTTTTTACCAACTAAACTTTTTTTGTTTTTCTCTATTTTAAAGGCAAGAAATTCAGATTTGGATTTAATTAAAAATCTTCATGAAGAATTAGGCAAACTGAAATTAGAACATTATACACATAAAAAATTTATGAATTCATCTAGTGAATTGAATAATGCCAAAGATTTCATAATTCACATGAATATTGACGAGAAGAATAATCAGCTTAAAGAACAAAAACAACAATATCGTATTTCATTTGATGCAACTGATGAAGATTTGATCAGTACAGAGAGTTCCGTGAATAATTCCAATCAACCAATCAAATCACAATTAAATAAATTAAATTCTAATTTATCTGATCAATTATCTGAATCAGTGACAAATCGTTTAAATCATTTAGAAGAAGTTAATCGACGTTTAAATAAAGAACTTGATCGAACAAAGTTATTATTAATGAAAGCTCAATCTGTCAATGAAGCTAATATTGAAACGGAAGCATCTTTAGCTGAAGCGAAACGTGAAAATCAATTGTTAACTAATAAAGTAAGCAGTGACTGGATAAAACTACATTTAAATCTGATGAAGGTTTTATTTATACCATGAAATTTCATTTAGAATTTTCATACCTTAATTTATAAGGTTATAATAATAAAGACATCATTTCTTAAAATTATTATTAATCTAATTCATCTTGGTTTCATTGATTTTCTTTTGTGTATTCAAAGTAGATTTCATTCATTAGAAGCAATTTCCTCTTGAACTCTGATTCAAACACTGAATATAGATAGAATCTTTTCGAAGATTCTAACCCATTACGGCTGAGTTTTAGAGATCAGTATTTTTACGCGTTAAAATCATCAATCAATCATTGCTAGATCACCGTTAGAAACCTGGATGCACTGAGCAGCCGTTTCGTCCTGGTATGGGACTCATCAGCAGTGCGCATCCACGACTCCTTCACCTCTCGGGATTCGGACCCAGGACCTTGCCAGTCTTGCCTAACCTCTGGACCACTGAGCCGGCATCCAACGGTAGTAATTTCTAACTCTGATCAATCTAAAGATTTTGCGCGACCTCACCTTTGGTAGTTACTGCCTATACTCGACAGGAATGAACCCCACTAGTCACGTTTTATCACTAGAACTCCGAGAATTTCCTCAAGAAGCTTGTCACTAGTGAGCACATTTTACGATTTTTCAATTAGGGTTATGGAGATTAGTGCTTTTTGCACATTCAAATCACCAATCAATCAATCGTTGTTGTATATATATATATATATATATATATATATATATATATTCCAATCAAACGACAAGATTTGTCAGAAAAAACGCAGATCTTTTAAATTAGACAAATATAAGGAATAGAAATTTACAAAATGTTAAATCGTAGAATATCTGAGCTTTGTGGATATTATTCAAAGCACAGTTAGATAGGATTATACTCTGAACACGTAGATAGAAATAAATTTACAACATATACGTATATTATTGATCAAAAGACAATTCACAATTATGTCAAACAAGTAATAATGATTAATACCAATGAATTAGTTCTTTAGTTTTTAAAATAGATAAGATATTCAAAATAATTAGGTTTCAAAGAGTATCACACACATAATGAACATTAAACAATAAAGTAGACAGAATCCTATTCTAATTTAAGCATCAAAATAATCATACAAATGTATTCAAATCTTATGAGTAAGCATCATGCATTAAAATATAAATGTTATAGCAAATAGATGTATAGAATTAGATACTTTTTGCTGTACAAATAGTTTTATGGAAAAGTAACGCCAAATAATAATGACATAATAATTAGATCATTCTAATGTCATGTTATTTAATTCAAAGCTGATTCCATGGAAAAAATGTTTACGTGTATTTCTGTATAGATTCATGTGCATAACCATTAGCGTAACTGAATAATTTAATTTTTATATTTCCATAGCATAGCCTTGAGTAGGTTATTTGTGACTAATCAAGTTAGTTAGACCTACCTTTTCTATTAGGTGTAGTAGAACTTAGAAATATACATAAGGTGTCTCTTTATAGTTAGAGAAATGTTTTTGGATTTTTTTGAATATTTTTTTCTAAATACTGACCGGATAGTTGTTGAACAGACCATGTACTGTTATTGCTGATTTTAATTCATAGATTTTTGAGTTTTATAAGATTATTCAGAGGTCTTTTAGTATAGATTAGCTGTATAAATGTTATGAGACAAGGTTTTCATGAGATTTTCGAATAGAAAAATAATGTCAGCCGACTAAACCTAATCTCACACAATGAGTTCTGTCGGTAGATTTTTGCATTTTATGTTCTATCAATGTAATTTATATGTAACATCCATAAAGCAATTCACTGTACCAGTTAGGACTGATTAAACATTTCCACATCAAAGGATTTGATTGTGAATAGTTTTAGGACTACCCAACAGCATCATCTCTAACAATATTCAATAAAGTGTTTCGTTTGCTGTGACCGTAATCATCCAAATATTTGTATTTCCATAAACTACCTCCAATTAGTATTATGATCATTTCTATTACTTAACTAATATTGTTTTGGCACTAATTGTCAATTTTATCATTTTATCTATCCTCTGAATAATAATTTGTACATGTTCCATGTCGTCGATCATATTATAATACTCCTGCTTGCTTTTCTTGTTTCTCTCTCTATAAATCCCACTTACATGATTGTGGAAACTAATTAAAATGAATATTCATTACAATAAACTGAATTATCTCGATAGTCGTTTCAAGAAGTTACATGGCTATTTGTAATTTCGTTTGGTTGTGTGTAATTCCTACCATATGTTAGTTAACTGCTTAAATTTAAGCAAAAATGCGGAGTTTTCTGTTTAACTCCCACCAAAAATATTGGTGTGAGTATTCTCATTGTATAAGTGTAGTAATTAGATTTTGTTTTAGTTAATAAGTTAATTATTTTCCGTGAATTTTAGGTTTTCAAATACATAATCCTCTAAACTTATTTTACTATACTCTAAGACTTTTCGGTAGTTGTCCTAATTTAGTCTAATCATCCTTCATACCATCAACTTGTGATGATTTCTCTTTTCATCATCTAATATGTTTTCTCCTATCCTCTTTATCATCAACTATTAAATACTTTAGTTGGAAAGACTTGAAACAGCTTTGTCAGCTCAAGATGAACGTTTATGTCAATTAGATTTAGAACGAATGAACTTTGAAGCAGATGCAAGAAAAACCAGAGAATCGTTAAATACATTTAAAGAAACTTCCGAACGACATATCAATGAATTATCACGTGAAAATGATTATTTGACTGAAACTATCAAGGTGAGTTATGAACAATTACAATGAATATCAACAATTAATTTCAGTCCCTAGAACTTTGAGATAACGAAAAATATGTTGCATTTAAACCTCTGAGTTAGAATCCAATGTTTTGAATATTTAAATTCTGCCAAATTTTGATCAAGTATGATCAACATCCATCAACACTTGTCTACAGTCGGTATGGTGTATGATGTAATCATCATATAGTAAATAAATTTCATTAATAACACAAGGGATGAAATAGTTTTAAAAAACGGGTTTTTCGGAGCATAATTAATGTAGAATATGAATATGGATTCCAAATTACTGGTCATGTTATAAAAATGTAGAAAAAAGTCGGAATTCTTCTGTAAGTTCAATTCTTTTGCGAAGAGCTATTAAGATGGACGAGTGTATGTTTGTTTATCGCTTGAAAGAACATGTTACCGTGACATTAGGTGAAACATATTAGAATACCATGGAAAACAGCATTTCTCCCTTAATTACAAATGCACCTTATTTACGAGTACAAACCAGCGCAAAACCTAAGACCAAGACTGCCTGTGAATGGTATCCAGACACTTAACCATCCAACCAATTCATTGGATTGTATTTTGAGTTGTTTCTCAGTGTCAGTCCTAACTGGTCCAGATACCATCGGACTTTTTTAACAGATATAATACTCTATCCAATAAATAAGCGAACCGGGATCATAGTGCACCAGTCATATACCCCTCAAAAACTCCTTGTTTTCAGTAATATGACTGTCCCAATGTTGTTTTTGTTGTTAAAAAACATCCTTGGACGTTTGCGAAAACGAGGCTTTTGAATAGCCTTGTCTTTACCCTTCTTACTAGACTCATGTACAGTGACTATGCTTCCAATCTCACTTTTTTAATGATCATCTAAATAGTGAATTAACCAAGAGAAAACACAAGGGACCGTTTACATTCGATGATTTCATTAATACAGAACGTCAATGGTCATCATGACCTTGGATTATCCTTTTAGTCTTTACAAAAATATTTCTTTCATTTGAATAAACTTTTCCTTCTCAGTGTATTAAATCTATAAACGACCTTAAACATTACGAATTCCCTGACCAATCTCCACTAAAAATAGTACTTACTGAGTTTATGTATTCATTGGACAAGCCATTTTAAATCTTATTAATTCACTGGATTTTTCTATTTATTTTCAGAATTTAAGAGGTAAAAATATCAATGATATTTCATCCGATGAAAGAATCGCACGTTTAGAAAAAGAAAATAGTGTACTTGGTGAATCGGTTCAAACTAATGTAACAAGTTTAGCACGAGCTGAGCTAGAAATCAGTCAATTACGTCATCGTTTAACTAAAGCAGATGAACTATGCAAATGTTTGGACTCGTTAACAGATGAACGTAATCAATTGAGTGCTGAATTAGGAGCAGCAAAGCGTGAAATCACCGCCTTAAAAGAAGCCTGTTCAAAGTAGGTCAATTTTTCTTTTCATTATATTTATGAATGAATTAATTAATTGAAGGGTTTTAATTTAATAGGAGTAATATGAGTTCTTATCCTAATTAATTTTTGGATCAGTTATTTTGAATAGTCATTCAAGTAGAACATAGTTGGTTTCTTCTAGTGTATATCAAAATAGCTATAGAATTCAGTGACTGATTTTAATTTGTATAACTGTAGAAAAATCTAATTGCACTTCGTTGCGAGTAATATACACCAAAGTTTGTAAGTAGTTTGCGGTGAATATGCAGCACAGTGTTGCCCTGAGGTTATGGCCGAAGCACAAAGTATCGGACGCGCTTTCAGAGTGTTTTGGAGAATAGAAGACATGTGGAAGAAGACAGCCAAGAATACCTTTGTTTTGCGAACGGTTGCTGAATGATAAGATGCACACATTTTGGCTAGTTAACTGTCTACCCCTTACATGCTAGCGCGGCTAATGGTTGATTAAATCTATCTAAAAATCAATGTTGTATTTTAACAAGGATTATTAGCTAAGTCAACAAATTAATGCATGACTTGTTAAACAATAAGTTGATTCAAAAACATTAGGACAATTTAAATTATAAGATGTCACTATAACTACTTAAAATCATGTGGCCTTAGACACTACTTGCAAGTAAGAAGAAATGCATAACGGCTGAATAGTGAACATACATATATGACTTGATTCCTGTATTTTAGTTATTGTTTTAAGTACCTATACTTGGGGTTGTACACATTTAAGTTTATTCGGCCTTTTTAATTAACTTATTCAATAGACATGTCATTTTTATCGGAAACGATTTTCCTATCGTTCCCTACTTTCATGATCTTGTATACTTGATCACGTGTTACAGTCTACAGACGTATCCCTTTCAGTAGCTTAAGTGTCATTTGTTCAATTCGCTCGAATAGTAGTGCATTTAAACATATTTATGCGGTCCTTAAATCCCACTCATTGACTTGCATTCACATTATGTGTTCGATGGTTCTGTGGCATGTGTTGTACGAGAATACACTGTAGTCATCGCATCAGATTGTTGTCTGAATCACTTATATCGTTGGTATATTACTTAATAAAGATTATTATGAAGAATGATATACGAAAAGTTGGAATTACCTGGAATTATCTGTCTACTACAACCCTGCCTGTAATTATATAAATCTGTTTTATTCATCTATTTACTAATTCATTTTCAGACAAACAGACCTAGAAATAGCTCTTGTCTCAGCTGAAGGTAATTGTGCACGTCTTCAGACACAATTGTCAACTATTCGTGCAACTTGTGAAAATTCAACAAATATGGAAAATGAATTAATCAGATTAAGACAAGTTGAAAATAAGTGTGAACAATTACAAAATGCATTATTTACTGCTATACAAAAAACAGCTGAAGTAAGTAAAGTACTTGGTAAGAAAAAAAACCAGTTTATTCTATGTGTAAATATTCAAAACAAAAGTGTTTTTGATGACTGTTTAATTATTTAAACTATAAATCATTATTGTTTATGTTAACTGTCTCTGATAGTAAGTCTAAACTAATATATGGCCATTTCTTTTTTCTTTTTTAAAAAAAAAATTAAATTTAACAACTAATTAGGTTGAAATAGAACGAGATAATTTATCAACACGTTTAACTAATTTAAAACAAAGTCTTCATTCACAAAGATTATTCGATTCAGAAAATGATGAAGCTGATGATGAAGAAGGTGGATTGGTTAGTTTACATGATGAAGAAGTTGACAGTGGCAATAAAACAGGTGACTCAACAGAAGAAACATCACCTGAATGTTTAGGTGTAGCAAAACTGCGTAGAAAAACCATAAATATGCCATCGAATTCACGTCATCGTGAACGACGACGTAGAGGAGGCTATATTAATTATGAAACGGAACTTGGTAGAATGGATTCAGAAATTAAACGTTTAGAAGCAGAAAGAGATACGTTACGTAAGAGTTTGGAAGAAGTTAAAACTAAATTGATGAATCAAGAGTCGGCTCATGAGTAAGTTTATTTTAATTAATATGTTGATTATTAACATTTTTATAATTACAACGATAGAATTGTTTGTTAGAATAAACTTTTATAAGGAAGACTTTAACCATTGTTTTTAATTGTGATATTTTTCATTTTATGCTATTATGTTAAGGGTGATATTTTTTCTCGATAACATAATCTCAGAAAAAGTATCCAAACTCAGTTCTGAATGACTTCAGTGTGATTGGCGTTTTTTTTATCAGATAGCTTTGTATCATAGTCGGATACTTGCATTGTGTGACAAGCAAAAAGTCTTGAAATATCTAGTTTGTCTCTAGGTCATTGAGGAATTGTTTTCGAAACACTTTTAAATATCTTAGCAATATACAGTTTTATTAGTGATGAGAAATAAATTAACCTAAAAATTACACTTCAGCTCATTAAAATATGAAAGTCTATCCATTAAAGTTGTATTTCTTTCCCTCATATTGACTAGAATCATGAATAATGAGTTTCGTGGTTATGCTTTTTGAGTAGAATATTTTGTTAGAAAGGTATAAAAACAAGACGAATAGATAGATAAATAGAGTATGTGTAAAATTGGTAATGTGTATTAATTAAGATCATGAAGGAGGAACAAATTCAGATCACAAAACCAGGAAGGACATGATTATGTCTTGGAATGAATTTACTGAAAGAACTGATAAGTGTTAAACTTAAGTGTAGATGCAAAATAACTTGTATTGAATTCCTTCGATTTTACTGCTGATAAAATTTGATTTATGCATTTATCTAATTTTTATTTGAATAGTGTTCACTGGTAATAATTTCAACTGCATTTTTTAGATAAACTGTAATTATGATTTGTTTCAACGTTGCTGATTCACATTATTTTTTGGTATTTATAATGGTACACATTTAGCGGTCCGAATTCTGACTCCAATTCAAACAGACAACTAAATATACTAATGAGTATCAATCTTCCATTAAATTCCGTATTTTTCAGTTAGGCTAATGCCGTTTATGCAACAGAGTTAAGGAAAAGCTGTATGCTGATTGAGTTGAATGAATTCATTTTAGGCCACCGTTTACGCAAACAGACGTGAAGGTAAGAAACGAAAAATCTGAAAAGCAAAACAAAGTGAAGCGTGGAAGAGAACTGGGTCAACTCAACCTGTAGAAGCATGACTGATCATAGTCAGACAAAAATAAGCTAAAGACACGTGATGATTAAACAAGTGATACTCGACATGCCCACATCAAAGCAAACAAGGCCATAAGCGAAAAGTTAAAGTATATCTGGGTAATAACTTAAGAAGTATACATGAATTGGTGTGTGCAACGTTAGGACAAGCCATTTAGGCTTGACATTATAGTCCGCACTACACATTTATGAATTAACCCTTAATTAACATATCCCGATTTCATATCCCAATAATTTGATATAAGAAGTGTTGCGAAGTTTTTGTCAGTATGCTAACTTAGTGCGCTCCAAACTCTTCGTGATTATTTAAAGCTAAGTTTTTAACTACTGTCTAAGTATAAGAATTGTATTACATATCTGTGAAATATAAATTACGAAATATCAATTATTTTTAATTACACACCAGAATACTCTTTACGTTTAAAATATATATAAATTGCAGGTTAACTTTGACAGCATTACAACTAATATTTCATCAATCGTTGAAGATGATAGATTTAACTCACGATCAGTTTTATTTAAATGAGCTTCTTGAGCCTTTTGTTTTTTTATTGATTGAACTGAGCTACTTATAAGTAACATAAAACCTTTGGCTTAAATAATTTAATTTGAATTGTAAATCTCTCCATCCCAATTAGATCTGCTATGAAGGAATCAGAAGAGAAATCAAGGCAACAAATCGGTCAATTGGAATCAGAAATAAATCGCTTAAAGGCATCAATTCGATTATCTGATCAAGAAATACGAAAATTACGTAGAGAGTTAAGGGATTCTGAAACAGATCAACAGTTATCTGATGCAATGGAAAAAATCAAACAATTAGAATCACAAATTATAAAGTTGAATAATACGATTAAACAAAATGAAGTGCATTTACACGATAGTGAACAACAAAGATCTGAGTTACTTCAACAAGTCAGTGATTATTCTATTCACTTTGAAGAACTTATTTCATGAAAAATTCTGTTAAATATATTTTTATTAAATCAACCTAAGAAATAGCTTAATAATGAAACAAAGCATTCATCTCACTGTTATTAATAATTTACTCTGATCGAAAGCAAAGTATATAGTCTAAAACTAGATTTGATCATCGAATAAAATGGTGATAATTGGTCAATTAAACTTAGTTTATAACTTCTATTCTTCTTATTCAGCTTAACAATTAATGAACATTGGTTTAGTAAAGCATTTCATTGATTAGAGAAATCAATTGAATAAGTAATACATTTCTTTTTTTAAGTTACACTGTATTGCATTTACTGAGATTTCTATTCTCTCCATATGCCGATATGTTAAAATGCCATAGCTTGAACTTTCATATGAATATGCAAAATGCCCATATTGTTTACACCCTTGCTGAGTTTCATTTGGAATTCGTGAAGAAAAAGCTAATTATTGAATTTCAAGTGAATTGACAATGTAAAGTTCTACTGACTATGTTTAAGTGTTTATCGATTTTATGGGCGTTTTGCTCCTAAATTGTGTATTTTTAATATTTCCCCCCCCCCTAACTAATGAGTAACTTGCAACAATGCTAATAATCCTGAATGTAGTATTTCTGAGGAAATTCTCGAAACTTATTTGTCTTAGTTGTTTGAATCTTCCTATTAGTGTTTAGGACTTCAGTTGATCAGTCTCTTTTGTATATGTGCTATGAGGATAGCCTCGATATTACCCTTAGATTGCAAGCATTTTCAGGAGTGGAATCTAGGATGCGTTTTTCATACTGTTCGGGACTCAGCAACTGGATGATACTGAGTTCACATCCTGGAGGGAACATCAACTGTGATTACTATTCCAATTAAAAGATAAATTGCATACATTTAATTCTCTTCATTATGTTGAATAGGGAAAGAACATAGAACTGAGCACAATCACATGAATTCATTTTATTTCGTTTGATTCTGATTAGCTGCTTACAACTTATAATATTTTAAAAAATTAGAATTATTGTGAAGATTGTATACTTATAATCTTTGAGAAGGATATGTATCATCCTGGTAGACTAATAAAATCGAAGACATAAAAAGTGTTGTAAATCAATATAATATGTCATAGAAGATTCTGAATCATCAGGCATAGTATTAAGTGATCATAGAGATAGAATAATCAATTGATCATATAATGAAGTAGTTGAACGTAGATTAATAGCAAGAATTATAATCATTTGAGAGGTATGAATCTAAAGTGTAATAATTTTTAAAAAAAGCCTTTTGAATTTTCAATCTAATCTTAAATCAAATCAAATATTAGTATTATTATAGCTGTTTACTAATTAGAAATTTTTTCTATTTATTTTAGATAAATATTGAACAGAAAACCGTTTCAGCTTTGCGTAACGAGTTAATCATGGAGAAAATTCAATTACAAAAACGTAATTCTGGATTAAAATGTATTCAAGTGTGTTTAGAAAAGTATGGACTATCAAATGATTGGTTCAATGAATTAAATTCTAATGAAAATAACATAGAGTGAGTTAAGTTTCTTTTTTTTGTGTGTGTGTGTTTGTTTTATTTTTTTTACAATCCACTGCATCTGTATCTAATTAAATGTACCTCATTAAACTTGAATGCGCAATATAACAGATCACAATTGTTTTGAGTAGGTAGTTCGTCGTAGCTTCCTGATAATTTTGAATCTATTGAAGCATCCAACTATACGATTGAGATGCACATTAAAGTATACTTAAAAAAACAACCAAGAATTGTCTAAAAAGCGGTTCTGTCATAAGCGATATACACAAATTGGTTGGCAAACCTCAAGTCGCGAGACATCTGCACGGTCAATGCCTTTGTATTTCTAAAAAGAAGGAGAATGAGGAATTCCTGTTTTAATAATATAATTAGTAATTACAACATGCGTCAACGTAGATGGCAGCTAGTAGCTGTGTCTAGTGCTAACATCATTTTACCAACAACAAAAATGGTAACTAAGAGCAAATAAATGTAGGAACTGTTGTGTTTACATAAAAATTCAAGGAATGTACAAAACTGGGAATAACTTTCACAAGGATTGAGAAAGGGCACTTATAAGCATAAATACAGTAAGCTTTATTAGTTTATCTAAATACAAATACAGCAAATAAACGTGCATTTAACTGTGTTCAAAATTTATTTGGAGTAGAATTGTTTACTGAATATTAACAAGTAGTATAAAGGAGCGCACAAAAATAAATTTGATGAGTAGAGGATTCGGACGGAGAATATCAACGAACCTAACGAATGATATTTAAACATTAAATAGTGTTAGGAACTGTGTAGTATAAATAACTCTGTCTTCATGCCAATAGAAATTATCAAATATGAGTTCATGAAATGAAGTTATTCATAGATATCTGTAATGAACATATCTAATATTAGCACTCAGCCTAACATCTTGGACGAAAAACACAAATATACTAAAATTCTGAGCTGGAAGTAAAACGATTACCAAATATTGCACCCTAAGATGAACTACTATACCACCAGGTGAATGAAAAATGACCGATAATTTTGGGTAAGACACTCCCGGTGAATACTGATATCGTTGAGGATAATTCTAGTCAATCTAATTATTCAGGTCTAATCCAGAAACTATGAATTTTATCAAAATGCACACTGAAAATTATGAATGATGTCAAACAGTTACACTGTATATACACTGTCAACTGATCAGATATGTGTTAATTAATATGGTAATCGTTAATTATTGAGAATGTATATGTACGAGGTTGTAGTAGTATGTTTTGAGTTTTTTTCAAGCGTATTAGGTTATGGTGACCACTGTAATTTATTGCTTATACATTTTAATCAATCAGTCAGACCAAGAGAACTGAATTCATTCATTTTACACAAAGTGAAATGTTAGAAAAATCATCCGGTTAGTGCTGAGCTTGATAATTTTGCACTACTGTAGCAGACTGATTTAATGGTCAAATCAATACCTCTACATTTTTGGATTAATGAGATATATAGACACAAAAACATGTTAATCATGTGAAGTCATTCGAAAATTCATGTTTTACATCCATATCCGAAATATTTATCAGATAATATTATTTTTTAATAATTAGGAGAAAAAATAATGCGGTTATGAACTTTTACAAGTTCGTGAATCGTGTAAAAGTACTGTGTAGATTAGTATCTAGTAGATGTTTATCAGTAGATTCTCAAATTTGACAATGGTTGTATTGAGAAGACTGAGGCAGGCGAGAAAGATTGTATTATGCAACTTTACACTCTGAGTCAATTAAAAACAAAAACATTACATTGAATACTCTATTTGCACACCATCTTTGAGTCGTGACTTCCAACGCTCCATCCTTCTTCTATTCCTGTTGTTGCTTCCTTTCCTTCCTGTTGGTACTCCATTTACTTCTTGCTTTTGCTCCATTTGCTTTTCGTTTTCCTCTTCTGACCGTGAGACTTCTTCTTTCACGTCCGTTCTTATACAACTTATATCGTTCGTATAAGTAGCACACACCACAGTATTATCGCTGACCGATAAAAGATGTGCAAAGTTTGAGATAATTCCTTAAGTTACTCAAGCTTGATGGATCACTGTAAGTTTATCGAATTCTACTTAACCAACGTACTTGTAAACTCCATGCTTAAGATGACAAGTCAAATGTTAAAAAATATATTATCTTAATCTAAATGAACACTACACAATGAATGTTGTTCATTCTGATTATGCCCTTCAAATCACTAACAATAAGTGTATAGGTTAATCATATTGGGTTACGATATCATTATTACTGTGTTTAACAACACGATAAAATACAAAACAGATCGAATAAAAATCTTCGTCACTATTCTAAACACTATGCTTAAACAAACTAGTTTGTAAGTAGTATATTCCATCTAGTTTAAATTATTAAATTATGTTTTTATATTCATTTGTTTTTTTTAGACAAACAAATTTAGTAGATTCATTTATGGAAAACTTTATTAGTCAATTAACTAAAGATATAAATATAAAAAATGAAGAATTTGATTCTGTTAAACAACAAATTAATGGACTTCAATTAAAGAATTCTGAATTAATAAATCAGTTAAAAATAAAAAGTCAAGAATTAGAAGACTATAAAAAATTACAAGCTAATAATTGTACTACTGATATTTCAACAAAAGAAAATTCTTCAATCTTACTACAAATAAAAGATCGTGTCATTGAACTTGAACGTGAAGTGAGTTAATTATGGTGTATATGAATTTTTATTTGCATTGAGACTATACGAATGAATAAATATAAGATAATCATTTTGTGCATATTAGCAAACAATTACTGTAAGAAAGTTGACTATAGATCTACTGTACTTCGCGTCATTATGGAATAATCGAAATACTTTACTATCAAGTACATTTGTTGTTCTTGTAGCAATGATATGACAGTTAATGGATTGACTAGGTCCCAGATATGAACTCTTCTTTAGCTGCTTGAGTTTCAGATGCCAGGTCGTCTCATTGACTATATGACATAAACAGTGTCAATCGAAGTTGAACTCTATAACTCAGTACTTAGAAAATAAGTTATACTATTTAGTATATCCGTTGAATATTCAGGAACTCATAAACTTTTGTCACTTGATTTTCTGTTGAAAAATGTCAGTCTGGAAACCTGAGGAAATTGTAATCTATTTTCTGGTTATGATTTTACAATTAGTAGTAGTCTAATGTTCATTGATATTTCCTTGGAAAAATACTTTAAGATTCACTTAAATTATTACTGATAGTTTATTAGCCCTGTGTTATTTGGTCTTATTATGATGTTTTTAGTGATCAGATATTTGTAAAGTTAAAAAGTAAGGAAATAAATATAGGTGACTTTATTTACTGATTAAGATTCATTCAAACACTTTGTAGGAGGAAATAGTATTGAATAGCTGTTTTATTCCATTTCAAAATTTCTCAACATACATGGTTCAAGCAAAATGTCATCCTACCAGTCAATTGGAATTACATTTTTAAATTTAGTCATTTTTTAATAGAGTATAGTTTTTACTTTATTTCATTGGATATGCAAATTAAAATCTCCTTCGATTTACGGTAATTTAGTTGCATGTTCGATAGTTCTGCTCTTTGTGTTTGACTATCTTTTCTGGTGAGTTTCCCAAGTTTGTTTGCATTACTTACTATCTTGGTCATGTAAATGCACATATCAGGTTTTGCTTCAATATGGTACTGATTGTACTGATCGTTACAAAATATTGTAAACTGTTTATTCTCAGTATTGAATAATGTTGGTATTCGTCTGTTGATTATTTCAAAATGAATCTAAGTTGCATCTTTAAATGATCTTTATTAATATTTATTAAATATGATTTCTAGTTTACTTCTAAAATACACATTTATGACGAGCAAGTTAATATAATGCACTGCTACCAAAAAAAATACTCGTTTTTTATATTTTGAGTGAATAGTGTTAAAAACTTATTACAAATAAATAGGCTTCTGATCTACTGATACGAAGATGACTGATTCACTGATAGACTGTTGCGATGCCGCAAACTAAAGACAAAACAGCTTTTCACTGTTTCATCAGTTGATTCTAGTCTGTGTTGAAAGCTCCCTATGCGATAAAATTTTTGCATTTTCATAATTCGAAAAGAATATTTCTGATCAATAATATTCGTATTGATTATTACTAATACTATTTATTTCCATCACAGAATGCACGCCTTAATGAAGCATTACAAAATGAAATTGAACACAATGAAACTATTAAGGCAACTAATCAAAATTTAGAAATACGCATTAATAATTTTCAAGAACAATCTGTTTCAGTACAACGACAATTAGCTGAATTAATTGGAACAAATGCTCGTTTACAAGTTGAAAATACTACATTACATAGTCAAGTAGATAGTTTTCAAGGTCAAAACTCTAATCTATCTGGACGTATTACTGAACTTGAATGTAAGTGATTTATTGTTTGTTTTGCTCTATTCACATGAATTCTATTGGAATTGTTGAACGTTGATGATTTGACATGTTCTTGAAATTGGGTTGTTCTCAGTCAGATAATTTTAAATGAACATTTCTTTATAATAGAGATGGATAGTGGTTAGTAGTGGGATCCAACTCATGTGTTTCGTCCAGTTTGGAAATTATCAACTAGATGTACCTGCATTCCACAGTTGATGTTTAATTTGGGACTGAAACTCAAAAACTTTCGCTCTAAATACCATCGCGTTATAGTTAAATAAGATATTTTGACATTATAACTGGTACCGATTCTTGATGAAACACCCCCCCTCCCAACTCTAATTCCTAATGCCTACAACCAGCCCTTAATCTTATTTGTTTATTCCTCATATTAATTTCTTACTCTCTTTTAACCCTTTTAATTAGGTAATTATTTTCAACATCCTCTGAATATCGCATGAAAGTCGTTCATAAATTATCGTGTCACCATAAAAATAACTGAATTAACGTTTTTATTAGCTGAGTAAGAGCTGAATTAGTAAACGACTAACAGTAATAGTTATAACTAAAAGATTCTAGTCTTCTCAATGATTACATATTATGTTCATGAAGTGTTTGTTTATATAGAAAATGCTTTTAGTGAGTTCATTTACATTTATTTTTCTTTAACATATTAAAAAAAGTCGATAGTTTTAACAAGAAGATCAACTTTTTTAATAGTAGCTAAACACGTACAAAATATAGACCATAAACTGATTGATAATTGGACTGAGCCATGTTAATAGAGCTGTAGACTACCTGGTTAGGGTTTACGAGGTGATTGTAATCGATGGTTAGAGATTTTCGATGACACGGCTCAAAATCGTTTGCAATGGCGCAGGTGCATCCACTCTTTGTGTTCTCTCGAATTCTAGTTTCATGAATTCCTCATCACATTTATCTTTCTTTCTTAAGCTTCTTTCACTACATTCCACTTCTTGAATAATATCGTCAAACCCTAATCTCTTCGATTACTGTTAACACTTCAACTACCTCTACTATTATGTGATTTGAAGTGACAATTACATCTCTGAGCTGATATGGTGTGGCAACTTGAACTTATGTACTTATGTATGAAGTTCTAAGTTGTTGCTGGCTGACTGATTATTTAATATATCAATGCAATAAACACTAACTAAGGTGAAGGTAAACACTCAATAAATTAATCTTTACAAATGTAACTCACGAAGCATTTCTCAAAATTACACTATCTACTACGAAGATAACATTTTCATCACTTTAATTTTATTTTTTCAAATAACAAATGTTGAATGTGTTCGTTTGTTTGTTCGTTTCTTTTTGTATTGATTTTTAATCTAGCTGAAATTCATCATTTATCAAGTGTACTTGATACAATGCATACATCTAAATCTCAATTAACTAACGATTATGAACAATTACAATGTTTACATAAAAAATTAACACAAGATTATGAACAATTGAATGAAACATTGAAAATGTCCAAAGAATCTCAACGTCAATTGAAATCAGAAATACAATTAACTAATGAACAAGTGAATAAATTACAAACTGAAGCAAATGAAGTTCAACGATTAAAAAATGCATTAGAACTAGAAAGAGGAAGTTTAAAAGGTAAAATAATAATGTCATAAAATGTATATATATATATGATGTCAGTGATGCTTTTATTTTGATTTAATAGAAAAATTTACCAACTGCTATGAGAAAATAGACTATTCCTTATAATTAATAATGACTAGATTATGACAGGATTTAATATAAATGGTTTGTAGTCATTCAGTTACAATGTAGAACTTTGTACGTACGTACATAAGTTCAGGTTGTAATACCACATTAGCACAGAGACTCAATTTTAAGTTCAAATCCCATAGTGGGAGAGATAGTAGAAGTATTAGCGATAATGGAAAAAGTTTCGGTCCGAAGAAATTATTCAAGAAGCCTTATTCAGTGAGATAACTTTAGAAAGAGAGGCGGAGGTGGTGGGGAATTCCGAAAGTCAGAATTTGAGAGAACACAAAGAATGGATGCCCCTGCACCATTGCAAACAATTTTGAGCCATGTCATTCAGGCGCTCTAACCATCGGTTAGTATTGTCTTGCGGACCCCAACCAGGTATTCTACACCTAACAACATAACTCAGTCCACTTGTCAGTGAATTCAGGGGTTTCTGCCATGCTTTGCTTTGGCCGCTCCTAGCTTTCTTCCAACCTATTCCTACCCCACAAAATATAGCTCGTTGAGGCATTCGGTGGTTAGGCATACATACACAACACATGTCCCAACCACCTCAACTGATAAATTTTCACTACTTCATCTATTGATTTACCATCTTTACCTAGTACTCGATTCCTAACGACAGCATTGTTTACTCAGTTGTCTCAGGATATACGAACAAGGCTTCGAAGATATCTGTAGTCGGATAATAATAACCTACGAATACCCTAAACTCTTACTGGCCATGTTTCGCATCCATATAGCAGGATGGAGCGAACTGCTACGCAGTAGGCTTTGGTTAGCAGATGGATGGTTGGTGGTAGAATATTTTGGGGGTGTATGTTTCGTCTTCATTTAGACTTTTTTTATTTTAATGCGTATAAATTCCAACACATGCTAAAAGGTGTAGTGCAGTCGTGTATATTAAAAAAATTCATATGTTATCTCATAAATTACCGAAATTACATAATTATCTTTTTCTTTATCGTATTTATTATTCATCAGAAAACTATTCGAATTCTAATTTTTTTTATTGTCTTTGATAAATATTTCTTTATTTTGTGAATTAGTTTATCATTTCATATGTGAATGGTTTTCCGAGTTGATTTTTTAAAAATATGATTACATTTAGTATCAGCAGGCAATTCGATAAAAACGAACGAATAATACAGTTGTCTTTCCTTTTGTCATTGATCTTGATCTGTACAATTCCATGTATGGAATAAATTGTTTTAATTGTATTAATAACTTTATCATGACCACATTAGTTCATCTTGATAAAGAGAGCAAAGTTAATTCTTTTTGTTTAACCTGACTTTACTTCATTAATTAAAGGATTGTGCACAAAATAATTCCAGCTTTTGATATTTCAATAATTTCACCATTCCATTGAATGATTACTTCTTCTAGAACCGAGATTTGTAATTGAACAAATAGTATATTACAAAAAATTATAATATTTTAAAATCATTTAAACTAATAGAAAATATTTAAAGTATGAAATGCTCAAACTTCGTTAAGAAACCAGTAAAGTAAATTCATCTAAGTGAAGTACATAGATCTTTCATTCCGATACAACTAATCCATTTCTTATTATAATAAAGATACTGGGTAGCCATTTTCTCTATCATCAGATTATCAAAAAATTGAATATTTAAAATTTACTATAAAACTTTTTGTGTTTAGCTTATCATTCATGTATTATTAGTTAAGTATCGGTGTTATGATCTACTGAAATATCTATAAGTTGCTCGCCATCAAAAAACGATATATTTACTTGAAGTCTCAATGTAAAAGTAAAATTAAATGTTCTATGGTTTATTTGAATGCCTTTAACAGTGAATTCATATATATATATATATATATATATATATATATATATATATATATATATATATATATAACTAATAATCATTCTATCATTGATGATGAATAATTTAATTATAGGTGAAGTTAAACAAATTGTTCAATTAAGAGAAGAAAATGCACGTTTACAATCGGAATTGAATTCGTTAAATGCAATATTAAATCGTGAAAGGCATGAAAAATCAAATGTTCTAGAACGTAATCGAGAAATTCGTCGTCAATTACAAGACAGTGAATATCGATTGGAACAATTAACGAATGAATTGAAAAAATATCAAAAATTAGAACAAGCATTACATAATGAAATAGAAAGTTTAAAAACACGTTTACAAGTAAGCTAAAGTGGATTGGTGTTTGTTAATACGGAAAAACTACAACAATTATAGCATCTATCAAATAAAATAAAAATTTGATTCAATCAAGTTGAAATTGATTTTTAATCTGTAATAAATATTATTCTTTTGGTGGAAACCTGGATGTATAAGACAACTGGATGGTGGATCCGTGATTCAGCAATAGTTATTTAAAAACCTTGAGTATACGCTAGAGCAGTTTATACTATACTATTCAGTGAGTATTGAACATGGAATTTGAAGGTCTAATACGTGTGTAGGTCACCAGTACTTAGTCATATATAACTGCATAAGCAAAGCTCTTTTGTAAAATTATCGATTAAGTGATATAGGGGTTATATGTATTTGTGACCTAACTATGACATAAGATGAATCTATCAATTCGTTAACCGTGATTTTAAGACTTGTTTGGGAAATGGAGACCTGCTTTATGTAGAAGCTCAAGATGATCGTCCACTATATATATAGAAAAATCAGGTAACATGGCTTGAAATCAGTCTCAGCTGTTCAGACTTATTCATAGATCTCATTTATACAAACTATTTATGTATATTTATTAATCCCATTTTCCTACATATCTGTTATGATTAGCAGAAGTAACATTAATTACTTTACGACCATTTTCTGATAAATAAATTCAGTCATACTATTTCGACTATACATTTAGTGCATACATGAAAAGCTTTATTTTTCCTGTTATATGTATTTATATATTCAATCAGTTGATTATTAGTGCGGTTTTATTAAATCTACCTACAAAGAATAGTTTTATGAGAGAAAGATCAATGCATCTCTTTGATCTTTTCATGAATTCTGTTTAATTTAATCTTTGTTTTATATATGATATTTACATGTGTATCTCTTGTATAATTTTAGATGTTAACAGAACTTAATTCAAAGTATGAAAAAGAAAATAAATCGTTACTTAGTCAATTACAAAGTTTATTAAATCAAAATCAAGAGATTTTAGCGTCAACATTAAAAAATTGTGAAAATCATGTTAGTCAAGAAGGTGTACTTAGGTGGGTAATAAAATTTTATATTAGATTTCTTATTTTTAGTGTGTTTTTGTGAATAATTTAGTTACGTGTAAATCAATTAAGTGTAATTTCTGTTTACTGAGATCTCTTCCATAAATTTACAAACTGTTGATTATTAGTTTGACTAAAGAATTGTATTATATTTGTTAGTTCAGTTTCAAACGACAACATAAATGTATATTGTTTGAAAAAGACTTTGAACATTTAACTTATTTCAGTAGTTATACATTTCAACAGTGTAGGAGTGTTTATAACACTTGACTTCTAGCCATTAGCTCTTCGATTCAAATTTACCTACTATTATTTGAACAGCTGGGTTGTCCACCTAGCCCTCACAAGATTACCGTATAGCTGTAAACTGATAGCATGAATATATAATGTGGTGGTTGAAGGTAATCTACAGGAAACCCTGCACTTAAGTTGCACTTAAGTTCGTCAGGAAGGTGTAATCAGTGATCTGTGACAATGAAGCTGGTTGACACGATAACGAATCCACTATGGAGCATCACTTCCATCAAGATTATAGTTACACCTTGCTGACGTGTAGCAACTGGCTTGAAAGCCAAATCTAAGGTTTCTTGTCAACTATCTGCGAACACCCGTTTACATCTCAACATAGTGAACGCTGTGTTGCCATCCTATATTATTGTTACTTTCTGTTTATACACTAAATCAAGGTTTTTTATCGATAACATAGATATATATATATATATATATATATATATATATTCAGACCTATGGACATCACTTTGAAATTCTAGAAAAATTAAAATTCTCTTTTTATATATTTTGTAGAGAACGTTTATTATCTATGCATAGACAAAAGCAGCAACTTGAAGAGAAAGTTATGGAACAATATCGTAATGGTTCATCATCTAAAAAGTAATATACTATTCACATAATTTTGTTCTTCCTTTTGTTTCATTGAGTGATTTGTGAGTTAATTGAATTAATGAGCTGTAACAATTTTAAATTCTTCTACCTTCTAATTAACACCGTAAACTTTGCACATATTTTTTTTGATTGATTTAAAAGTGAAATTTTAACAAATCTATTGAATACACTTAAGTTATAATTCTTTACAGTTTTTAAATGGGAGAAGAAGAATTTTTTTACGAAGGGAAAATATTATATTGTACACTTTTATGTTTTCTATCTAAAGTTTTCTTTTTTGTGACTAACTGATGAAATATTCTACAAGATTTTCAGAAATTGTCATTTATTGAATTCGGTGATGTATGTATTATCTAATTCGTCTGTTACAGTATACGTAAGCTGGTAACAATTTTATTGAATAAGATTTCAAATCTTAAAATAGAAGACAAACACATCAATATTGAGTTTATATAGGTCAAATAACATCACCTGAATTCTTACGATCAAATGACTTTTTGATAACGAGGCGATGGAGAAAATTTGTAGTTCAGGTGGATGACTGTGGTGTTTCGTTCTCTGAGCTGGATGTTTTGGTTGTTGGGGTTTGATTGCTTTTCTAAAAAACATCATCAGCACAAACTCCAGATATAAGTGAAGTATTCGAATTTCTCCACATTTAACCCGTAGCTTATTCTGTTAATCTCGATCTTGATTGCTTGCTACTGACCTTATAGCTTTCGTTGTTTGCTTCCTTGTTTTGATCGCATCCCCCTTTGATCTGTTTCCTGGTCCGGTGTTCGCCTACGGTTTTTCTGATTGGTGCATAAATTGGGTCAATGTCGATCTGTTTGTTGATTGCTGATTAACCTGAGTGCCAAGCTTCCAAAAATTCTCTGATGTTCTTTGTGCTCCCTTTATCCATTATTTCAGTATTGTTCCAATCGAACGTATCTTCATAGTTGTCCGTATGTTTTGATATAAGTGAAATGTCGTGGGGTTTGACTGCTAAGTGGTGTTCACGCAAACGAGGCTGAAGAGGGCGTCCACTTTGTCCTATGTAATGTTTTTCACAATGTGACCAATTTATTTTGTAGATGATGTTTGCTTTTACTTTCTTTGTCATTTTGTCCTTTGGTCTACGTAAGATTGATTGAAGTGATTCTGTTGGTTTGTGTGCTACACCTATTCCAAATGGTCTCATTTGTCGTGCTGTAAGTTACGATATGTCTTTTATGTATGGCAGGATGATCAATTTATTGGTTCCTCTACTTGACTTCGCTTCGGTAGTTCATTTTCACTTTGTTCCATAAACTGTAGATACTTATTTTAAAATTCATGGAATTGATCTATGCATAAGTAATTAGTTATGTGAACATTAGATAAATCACACTGTTGACTTAGTTTCTTTAGTTAACAGTCCTCTGAAAGTATTTCAAAGTAATTCATTTTCAGAACTATCAGTCTGATTGGCAATAGAGTTGTTTTCAAATATCAATCATTATGTTTTATTTATTCTAGTGATTTGACTAATCAACTACTTTTGGAGTAAGTAATTAAAGGAGAATGCATTACAAAAATATATGCTGAAATTGTATACTGCTTGATTTGCTTCATAAACTCGCACATTCTACTTATCTAAAATGCACAATTATCTGTCAACACATGTCATGCTATATGCACAATTATTATTTCATATGTAAAAATTGTTTATTTATGAGAAAATATTGTTTTTGGTTGATGAAACCGAAAGTAGATCACAATTGTCACAATTGTCACAGATCAGTTATTTGTGACAATTTGTGGATTAAGGAGGATAGGGAATTTTAGGGTGACACATATCAGTCGATTCGGGGATTCCGATTTTCAGTTATTGCCTTTTTCTTGAAGGCTAGTGATAATACTCGGAAGTTCATAGCCAGGTAAGGTAAATGGGTTTCGAAATTTACACTTCAGAAGCAATTGGAAATCGAATACTTAAGCCGCTGCTTTATATGAATGAAGGCAAAACCAACCACTACATTTGAAAGTTTACTACCTTATGCTTCGGATTATGTCAAAGTTGTGGATTTTTACCCTATTAAGTGTTTCCAAACAATTTCGTAGCACAGTTATAATATTCGGTCAAAAACAGAATAATACTATCCTAATTAGTTAAATTATATCTACAACTCAACCTTATTCAGTTCACAATTGTCTCTTTAATTAGTTGACAGCCAGAGTATTTGAATAACTCGATTATTCATTCAAAGAAAATGGATACATTGAGTGAATCGCAATAAACTATGAACTAATTGTTTCTAATAGTTTGTTGAAAGAACAAATTATCGATCAATTTGTTTTCAGTACATTAATATTTTGAGTGAATATTGAGGTTATTTTTCCGGTAAATTTTTTTCTCTACAATTTTTTTTCATTTAAACTGAAATGTCTATGATGTAATCATTTCTAAGCATAAACTTGTTCATACAACTTAAATGAAAACTATACATAATATGTTTTTGTTCACACATGACTGTGTTATGTTGATATTTTCTGCCAAACTTGTTCAACTGTATAGTGTTATGGGCTAATAATGAATGTCAATGCTTTGCATGTCATAATTTGAATATTTCTACTTTCTGTACAATAATTGGTACAGTATATATATATATATATATATATATATATATATATATATGGTTATCACACTTTTTAGTTACAGAAAGCACATCCTAACACTGCTACATTGAGTTAAGTTTGCATGGTTAGTAAGTTAAACTAGCTTTCAAATAAAGCTTAAACCAGAATGCACAAACTGCTACTTTATTACTGATTTCATTACTTAATAGATCTAAAGTGTATTGACATTTTCAACAAGTATATTTCTTAAAAAAAACTTGATATTATCGAATTTTTGTTAACAATTTTAGTTTAGAACCCAATTTTTTAATGATTTATTCCATTATTATCACTGATTTTTTTAAATAGAAGTCAAAGACGTTTAACGCTGATTCAAAGAGCTCGAGCAGCATTAAACAAAGTAAGTGGATACAATTATTTTAATTAAGTCTATGTACGGGCCTTAATATAGATTTATTTTGACCTAAGAATGATTTTTTTATTTATTACAAACTGATTTCAATCACAGAATCGACAGAAATGATCGATTATTAAATTGTGATGATAGCCAGATTTGAGTGATATAAGTATCAAACACTCACTCTAGTGTTAATCATAACTGTATGATTAATAGTATCTAGCACTAAAATGGATTTATCACTGTTAGTATGCAGTTAGTGCAGGTGAAAGTAGTGGGTCAGTTTCTTATCGATAAAAAATCGGTCAAACTAAATTGCAGAATGACCCGACTTTGACAATGGTGGTCATTAGATTCCTAGTGGTCGGGAGATGTAACCTGCTTGATATAAATGCACACAAAGATTCTAATTTCTATTCTGTACTGAGTGCTATCATAAAATACTCTAATCGATCAAATTAAATAATAAGATTACTGAAAAAAGACGAGACAAATAAATTGCACATAGAATCGATTACCCAGTCCATAAACAGGTAGAGTTTTAAGACCAAAAAAATTGACCAACTGACTGTATCATTAAAGAATTTGAGCAATCATTTATACAAGATATTTAAGAAAGACAATTTGCCAAGTAGTAAATTGAGAATAAGAAAAGTGGTAATCATATCATCATTGATGATCTTTCTTGGTTTGTTCGTTGTATCAATTACAATAAGAAATATTTTGATCAATCAGTATTGAATTCAAAAATACAATATCAACTTTACCTCATTGGTTCTATTAAATTCGAATTTTACAAGGAAATAAAAAAACTAGCTAAATTTATTTTTAGTTAACTCACTGGATTTTTGATATTTTATCAGTGTGTTCAACTTTTTATCAATCTTATTAACACTCTCATATTGATGGTTAAATGTCCAATAATTAAGTGGTTTTTTTCAAATTTTTGCTCAATTGTTTTGCTAGCATCACTTTCCACACAGTTCTGAATTCAACAAGAATAATTCAGGTAAGCTGAACTAATTAAAATAACTTGTTTTAAGATTTATTTACTCAATGTGTTTTGAGTAGTATGCTATTCTCAAGTTTAAATACTAATAAAAAAAGTGCTTTTTTACTGATTACTAATAATTAGTGAGAAACTGCCTAACCTTTTGAAAGTTAACAACCTTGAATAGTGAAGAAATAGAATGTTGTCGCATATGCGTAACAGACCTAACCAGTTACAGATAGAGAGACCTTTGAAATGTAAACCATACAATTCTGGTTCAGTGTTCTACAAATATCAAGCTCACTGGGAGACTTGACATATTTGTTTTTACTGTCAAATGGGATTGTGGTTCTATGCTGCTAAACTTTCAGGCCTGAAGGAGAATTTACACGGTTCTCTTGTATTAGCTTATGATGCTGATTATCTTCAGGATACCACATACACATAAACCTCACAGTTTCTGTAAGATTAGGTGAGAGTGTGAAAAATTTTATCGAATACAATTGGAGTTTTTAACGCTTGTGTTCGACTATCATAAGGACCACTTTGAATCAGTTCAGATGGTCAGTACAAAGAGTTTCTAGTAGCTTTCAATCATCGCATTATCAGCAGTATATGATTTTTTCCTCTCTTTCTCTCTCCCTGTCTTTAGGTTTTAGTACAATTTCTACTTTGAATTCTCAATCTACTTGGTTAAATGATAGTTACAGGTCAATACCAACCATCGGACTAACATCGTCAACATTGCATCGTTATGATAAACGTCTTATACCTGGTTCTGTGTCCATTTACGATCGTGATCCAGATGAACAGAATCACGAAGATTTGAAACAATTTTTAAAATATTTAGATGATTCAGGCGGGAATAACACACGAGTTAGTTGTTAATATTAGTTTTTATTTAAATAATCTTTTCCTATTATTATTGTGAGATGTGTCTATTCTTAGACAGCTTTCTTCCTAGATTCACTTTAGACAATCAATTAAATGAAAACAGAGAACACTAATTATCTGTTTCGTTCTGCTTTGGAACCCACCAGTAAATAGTAAGGATCGTTAAAGCCCCACTAAAGATCTAATCAAAAACTATCAGGCTCACGACAAGTACTTTAATTTCAGATCATAGAGTTTGAAATCTAATAGTCTGTAGTTCCGGTAACAGTTAATTTATAATGCAGCTTGATGTCTGTACAATACCATTGATATATATATCTCTTATCCCTAATACGATTGGATTCCGTCAGCCACTATAAATTTTGCTTGAAGTGTTCACCAGTCAGTACATTACTATTTTTTGACTGTGAAGTTCAATTTAACTCTGAAGTATAATTAAACAAGTGAAAATTCTTTACAGTCTAAATTATGTATGGATAAAAATTTTTTATCTTGCATTGTCGAACTAAAAAACATCAAGTTCTATTCGCATCGATATTGTTATAGAAACGTTTCTGAAAAGTTTCAAAGTGAATGATAATTAAATGTAAAGCTCTTTATCTAATTAGTGGTTTTGAACTATTTCACACAAATTTCCTTTTTTGTAAATAATAAATTCTGTTAAATGTACGATGTAAAAACTCAACGGTTGTTCATTAATCTCTAGTTCATTAACCATTATTATCGCCTTACGAAAAATATTTCAGATTTTACTATTATTCTTAACAAATATTAGTCCTAAGGAAATATTTTTAAATTAATTGTAAAGAAAATCATGGCTGCGTCCATGGCATTAAAGTCAGTGTTTTGATACACTATAAATAGTACTAATTCTACTATATTGCATTTATTTGTTTAATCCTGAACTTAGTTCAATTATAAATCGAATAGATTTATTAACTAGTTATGAGATGATGTATTTAGTCTGTGTTAGGATATTCATCCAACATCCTAAGAGAATTATAGGTCAATCCCTATTGGTCAATTTTATGGTCGTCCAAGATATCAATGTCACATACTCCAATGTTGTTTCTTATTGGTTGTCCTGACTATCAATGTCACTTCAAATGTTGCTTCCTATTGGCCGTCTTAACTGTTTATGTCACAGACTTCGATGCTGTTTCCTATTCGACCAAAATGTATAAATACGCACTATCTATAACGTTTTATGACCACGATCAGGACTAGGACCCGGTCCCGGATCCCTAGTCCGGGATACTAATTTACAAAATAGAAATTTGAACACTCGATTTTGAACGACATTTTGATCTTAAAGTCAATCATGCTACTAGATTCTTGTAATGGAAAATAATTCAAAACGCGCTAACCTAGCGGTTGAAAATAAAGTGTCTCGAATTATACATAACAATTATAGATTATTTGAGTCTTTCAAGGTTACCAGTAAAAAAAGTATACGTTCACTGATAAATCATCATATTTACTGAACATTCATTTCACTATCTATGATTATATTTAATTTTAATCTTTCAGCCAAATTCAGCTGTTCCTTCACAAATTTCAAGTAATAAACACTGTGAAAATCATGATTTCTTATTACCTATCAGACCAAATTCCGGTGGTTTAACAATGAGTCCATGCATAGACAAACGACCACAATCAAGATTAAGTTCAGACAAATTTACTGAATGTATGGATTCACCAGTCTCCGGTCGATCTTCTTATTCAAGTTCAAATGGTGTAAAATCTCAGTTAAATAATCAAACTCATCATTTCCCGCATCGAATTGATAAGAATGCACTTAATCATTCGTTTAATTTAACCGAAAATAATAATAGTACAAATGAAAAGAAATTCAATTTCAATAATACAAATGGTTGGTTGGGTAAGTAAGTGTTAATGAAATGATATACGCTCAATTTAATGTTGATCTTCAACTAGTTAGTTACCTTTCTACTATTTCATCCAAGTAGATTTTGTTCATAATAATGAAACAACATTAAGTTGCTCAGATAATTATAACGATTCATGTATTCCTAGTTCATCTGAAAACTTTTTATTTATTTAGTTGACGTATTTCCAGACAAGACAATACAATACACTACTGAAATGGTAATCTAAAGGCTAATAAGGTGGAATTTATCCACAGCCTACAATATGTATATAGATATTTATATATAATCTATCAATTTACCACATACAATATACACATTGTAATTTACTGACTAATCCTATTTGAAAATACTTCCTTTTTTTCTTAAGGTAACGATGATTCTCATGATCGTTCAGTATGTAGTAGTAATAGTAGTAATAGTACTGGTTTAAATGGTCAAAATCTTCCATCAACTGAAAGATGTGAAAAACAAATTAGTGAAATTGTACAAATTAAAGCAACCACTGATGAATCCGATAGTGGAATACATAAACGAATTATATCAGACAGTAAGTTATATTGTTTATTTCATTGCATATATATATGTGGTGGCCAAATATCTGCGTGTTCTTATGCTTCGTTATTAGCTCGTCTAGACAATCGTTACAAAGTAGCGTCTGACGGTTATAAATCAGAAGATGAATTCGAAGTAACGAATACGTTTATTTTTGGACACATCACAAAGCGAAGTTGAAAAGCAACAAACAAAGCGTACGAAACGACGTGAGTTGGAGAAGGCTAATGAGCCAACTCCTAGGTTTACAATAAGAACGAATGGGGGAAGGAAGCGAACGAATAGGTGAAGCGCGTTGGAGAAGGCTAAGAGGCAACTCCATTGGATTACAGTGAGAACGAATGGTACATATAGATTTTTGCTAGCTTGGTTAAATAAATTAATCGAAAGGGCTTAACCAAGTTAGATGTAAGCGAACTGGAATATGTGTGGAAACACTACATATATATATATATATATATATATATATATATATATATATATATATATACTAATTTTCTAATCAGAGTATCTATTCACAAAACTATTGAAATCATTTTAACTTGTTTTTCTCGGCTTATTTATTAGCACCAACTAATATCAATACAAGTTCACCGAAGCCATTTTTATCCAGATCGTCATCATTGTGTTACAACACTAAACTCAATGATCAAATACACATGCAACGTGCTTTGAATAGTATGGCTAGTAATACATGTCAATCGACACAAATGCTAGACAATTCATTGAAAAATGGATGTGATAATAATAATCCTATCAGTAATGGTGTCAGTGGATTGAATAACTCCAAATATTTCAATAACCCTACTTATATTCAACATACAGGAAAATCTTTTGAGTAAGTGATTTGTTGAAGCAAAACTGGACTAACTAAATGACAGAGGCAAATATTCTGCTCAAATATATCTAGAGAGTAGTTTTTCAGGTTATTTCAATTAAAAATAGTACTAGTGAAGCATTTGAAAAGTAAATCTTTTCAGTAGTGGCTCTTAGTAATTTTGTAGAGAATGAAATTTTATTCCCTAAATTTTTCGTTTGACTGATGGAAATTAAATAAGATATAAACATCATCCAGACAACCTTTATAGTTTTACATCACGGGTTGAGCTCAACTAAGCAAACCAAGAACTATTTCATCCCATCATGCAATCCCCGGAGTTCGAAGACAGATAGGTCACGTTGGGGCTTGGTAGGCCTGTCCAACCCGTGGTGTGGTCGTGGATATGCACTGGTGAGAACTGTTGTGCTAGGATGAAAAAGCGATCTACGTTTCCTGTCTAAGACCAACCAGCATTGTAAAATAACAAAAGTCGACAACATCAACAAACCCCCGGAAACTAAGTCAGTCACTTATTTTCTGTATATTGTAAAAACATATGGAAGCAATGTCATCGTTAATTGTGTATATGAATGTCACTTAAAGTTTAAATAATGTATTTTGGTTGATGTAAGTTCATCTAACCTGAAACATCTTGTCTAAATTATAAATCGATCTTTGTTTCTTTATTCAACGAAGTTTTCTGTTTATAAGTTATCTAATAACTATAGTTTTTTAGTGCCCAAATCAAGCTTTGTTGATAAACTGAGTAGCTTTATATTTTATTACACTGTATTTATCATTAAACGGCAGTAAAAAGATCGATTGAAAATCTTTAATCTAAATCTAGTCTTAGGTATTATTCATCAGACAAATAGACATATACATTTTTAAGGACACTTCTGTCCCCATGGTGAATTGGCTTATGTCGATCAACGACGCAACCAAATATGATACTCCTTGGATAAACTATGCTTTAAAGTAGATCAATTATATAGATTTGTCATAATTGAATAACTTATTGTTCTTATTGTTCAGTGTTAATCATATGTTATCTAATCATCAATAGGCACTAAGAAATTTCACAATGATGATTATAAAAAAAAAGTTAATTTCATTCAACTGAAAGTATCCTTTTCAATTTATTTTCATTGTTTGCAGATCTGAAAACAATCAAAAATCAATGCCAACAACAAATAGTAATTATAATATCAATAGCATGGCTAGTAATTGTTCTGAATCCATTCCGATATTCAATCATCAAACAACAATGAATTCGAGTAAATCAGCTTTATTACGAGAACAATTCTTTAGTTCCATGATAGGTGAACCTAATCACAACCAACAACAACAATCATCTTTAGAATCTTCTTCAGAGTTAACTAGGAAACCGAAAGTTCTATTGCAATATAGAGATTTATAATTTATAATTAGAAATCAATCCCATTAATATGTACATCGTTTAATTGTTGTTCTCTTACTTACTTTCTCACACACTACACATGTGAATATTCATATATATATAATTATCTTAAAAAGAATCATTTCTTCTTATCTAGTGATTTTGTTTTTATTATTTTTTATAATATAGTGTTGTAAGCGGTGTTTCATCTTCTTTTTTTTCAATATATATTGAATTGCACACTTCATTGCTTTCATTCTTATGCACAAATATACACACAACCATTGTATGCCTTACACATTGGATGTTTATAATAATAAAGACAGTTGTTTTATTATTATGACTGGTTTTATTTAAAAATATGTAAACGCATATTTTAAAATTTCATATTATCATCATAATGCATAAATCACTAATAATATTTGAATACACTTGAAATTTTTTATCATCTACAGAATTTCCATGTACAGTTAACTACTACTAATTGTTATATTAATATTGCTTTGTTTTATATAAAAGATATTATATATATATTTACATAAATACTTTTTTTCACTATTCAGCACATGTAGATTTTTATGTGTATCAAGTTTGAAGATCCATATCAAATAATTGTAATATAAGCGCAAGTACGAGACAAACAGATAATGCGCTTCGATTAGTACGTATTATGTGTCGTCTAAACCGAAATAAGACGGAGTCACCGGAGCTGATGATTCCAGTTGATTGAGAGCTCAAATTCTAATACCACTAAGCGATACCTCTATTTGTTTGTAATAATTAAAACGAGACCATCGCGCAAATATGAGTAAAGTGATGTACGATAAAGATCTTGTGGTTTATACATATTGTGCAGAAGTAAGACATGAAGTAGTTTTAAGCACATAAACAAATCTAAACCCAAATCCTTTAATATGGAAAAAACTAAAGCAACATACAATAGTATAAAATATATTAATAGTAAAAAAAAATGTATTTATACACACTTTAAAATTACACATGGTAAACTTTGTACAAAGTATTTGTCTGTATACAATATCATATTAATTACAGAATGCAGAGTAATGAGTAGAGGTTCATTTTAAACTACTTGCCACACTACTTGTAAGCGGAGGAAATGCTTGTAATTTGCTAACAACTAATTTTTGTTGTTGATGTGCCAAATAACCTTTGATTTTTCCCTACAAAACAGAAAGTTATTTATAAAATGCAAGTAAATAAACAATTTAAACTTGATGAAGTACAATCAGACTACAATGTGGTGTGAACAGTCTTGATTGATAATTTATATCATTGTTGGATTAATCAAGTGTAAACTATGCCGTAATTTTTCCATTGCGACTCCAGGTTAGTTTAATAAAACTGCATATGTATTTTTATTTGATAATGATTCTTCACAGTTATGGAGGAGATGATTTCTTCCGAAATCGCTGAGGTACTAAGTGTGAAAGGAGAGTATTTGCTGTAAATCTGAATCGTTTTATAAATACTGTTAGTCTAACTGTTAAAAATTATCAGTAAACTGTATCAGCAAACTATAACAAACTCGTGCTTTTTTTGAAGGTTTAAATGCATTCACATATACTATTCAGCCCCACAGTAAGTGATTGTGAACTCTGATATCTGCTGATTCATTTTACATTGTATTAGATAATAGGCTGTAAGATAATTATGAGTAAACCTTGAAATTAAGATATTTGCGCTAGTAATTTATTTTGGGAATATCAAAAATTGCTTTTCTTTTCTTATATTTAATTAATTATGTAGATTCTGCATAAGTTTTGAAAATATGTCAAATAAATGTTTCATTTGTTTGTTTTCAACATTTTACATGTGATATAAATACATAAGCACTTAAGAATGAATCACATTGATAAACTAAACGCTGTCTTAGCGATTTGGTTCAAGATTCATCTCGTCTACTTCGTTTTGCACTATGAACTATCATACAGAAGAGTATAAGTCAAAGTTGGGTATACAAATCTTGGTCAAAATACTATATAACATGTATTTCGCTTTAGTAGGATACAGACTACATTTTATCAAGGATTAAGTATGGTCGTATTGTGGATTATGTATATTATAATGATAGCGTTTTATTGCTTCGAAGCTTTCATATGCTGAAGTATTATTAAGCAGCTGAGTTAATATTATCATTTCAATAGGTCAATAAAAAAATAAACTGAATAGAGACAAATGTCAAGATTGTCTATTTTTTTTAGTGCTGATCGAATTATATTTATCAGGTTACAATATGGTCACTCTAGCTTAGGTGACTGCTATGTATACTATGTCAAGGTGTTAGGTGGTTGAAGGGTAGTTGACAGAAAACCCGGGACAATGTTTTGTGTTTTTTAATGCCCGTTAGAAAGGTGTATCCGAAATTTCAACAGAATTGATCCTCCCTAGCGGATAAAATGTTGTGTCTTCTAAATTGCAATTTAACCAACAAAACTTGATCACCATTAGAAGGATTAAACAAGCATGGTATCGATCACTAATGAATAAGTTTTAAGTACAATGAAAAAAAATAATCATATTACGCTATAAAATGCTACTTACTTCATGAATGAGATTAGCTAGAATACACTCTGTTTCGTCTGGATCTATATCTTCAACCTGTTTAAATAAGTTGTTACATAATAGATAGATTTACACTAGTCAAATATTTCGACCAATTTGATAAAGTAACTAAAATGAAAAAACCGATAACTGAATCCTAAGTGAAAATATTTCCAAACGTAGAACTGACTGAGAATGCATGAATATATACATATTGAGGAACCTAAGTTGACATTTATGCATAAAGCATTTAATCAAGATAGTATACTGACTACGTTACTAATAAGATAACAAAACAAGTCCTAGCCATACTAAAAAATACATTTCATTTAAAGTTCAAATAGTAATATTTACTTAATTTTTTTAAATGTATATTCGAATGTAGTTGTTGTTTGATTTCGTAATGGAAATTTGTTGAAATATTCCGTGCTAAAAATTTGATACTGTACTTAACATATGATATTGAATACAGCCATTATTATTATGATTTTTATAACTAACTACCGATGAAAATAAAAGTTACAAATTAAACGATGATTCTTCAATTATGTGAAGATGCTGGAGAAAATTTGTAGCTCAGGTAAATGGTTGTAGTGGAGTTTCGTTCTCTGTGCGGGATGTTTTGGTTGTGGAGCTTTGATTATTTTTCTAAAAACATCATCAGCACAAACTCCAGATATAAGTGAAGTATTCGAATTTCTCCACATTTGACCCGTAGCTTTTTCTGTTAACCTTGATCTTGATTACTTACCACTGACCTTAAAAATGTCGTTGTTTGCATCTTTGTTTTAATTGTATCCCTCTTTGAATAAGGTTTTTACGTCGAAGGATATCATCATTTCGTCGCTGTCGACTTGAATCTCTTTTAGTCTATCTAAGAATTGTGTGGGAGACTCAATGGAGTAGTTGAATGAATCCACTGGATGTTTCCATATCCTTGAAATTTCTCTTGATCGAAAATGACGAAATGATGATATCCTTCTACGTAACAACCTTATTCACCTAAATAGAGCCAAGCTTAGCTTAAGAAACTCTATCACTGCTCCCCACCAACGACGAAACTCTCCAAAAATATACGAAACTTCAGAGTCAAAGTCTCCTAAAACTCGTCGATTTACGCTTAACAACGTATTTCCAATTCAACAACAGAATCTACGAACAAACAAAAGGAACACCAATGGGATCATATAAATATCAGGTCTCATCGCAGAAGCTGTGATACAGAGACTACAAGCGTCGGTTTTACCAGTGATCAAACCAAAAATGTGGGTTCGCTATGTAGACGACACAGGCGTAAGTATGAAAGGGAACGAGCTGGAGAACATCTACAATCGGGTCAACAACGTCTTTGACGATACAAAGTCCACAATGGAAAAGGAAACAAACAACAATCTATCATTCCTGGATGTACTAATCACCAGAAGTGACACAAGGAAATGGGAGAATCGTGTCTTCCTGAAGCCAACCCAACCTAATTCTCAACTACAGTAGCAATAACCAAAGAACTCACAAAATCAACTGCGTACAAACGTTGTTCAAGAGAGCAAAGACACACTGCAGCACACTTAAAGCACAAAAAAACGAAGAAAAATATCTAATGACCATTTTCCAAAAGGACGGCTATCCACGCAACTCCATCTAAAAACAACTGAGACCGACAACAGAAGCGAAAGAAAATGCAGGAACCAATAAACGGATCATTCTACTATACATGAAAGACATATCGGAACATACTACTGAAATCATTTGGAATAGTTGTGGTACACAAACCAACAGAATCACTTCAATCAATCCTACGTAGACCAAAGGACAAAATGACAAAGGAATAAAAACCAAATATCATCTACAAATTAAATTGGTCACATTGTGAAAAACATTACATAGGACAAAGTGGACACCCTCTTCAGCCTCGTTTGCGTGAACACCACTTAGCAGTCAAACGCCACGACATTTATTCCTTTATATCAAAACATATAAACAACTATGGACATACGTTCGATTAGGACAATTTCGAAATAATCGATAAGGGGAGTTCAAAGAACACTAGAGAATTTTTTATAAGCTTGACATTCAGATCAATCAGCATTCAACAAACACATCGACATGACCCAACTTATGAACCAATCAGAAAAATCATAGGCAAACACCGGATCAAGAAACAGATCAAAGGGGGATGCCATCAAAACAAAGAAGCAAACAACGAAAGCTTTAAGGTCAACATCAAGCAATCAAGATCGAGGTTGACAAAACAAGCTAAGGGTCAAATGTGGGGAAATTCGAATACTTCATGTCTACCTGAAGTTTGTGATGATGATGTTGTTCAGGAAAACAATGAAAGCTCCGCAACCAAAACATCCAGCACAGAGAACGAAACCCCACCACAATTAATTATTACACATAGATCTCATGAATTAATCATTGTTAGACCACCATTGAAAAGATTGGAGCACTGGACAGCCGTTTCGTCCTGGTATGAGACTCATCAGCAGTGCGCATCCACGACTTCTGCGCCTCGCACGATTCAAACCTAAAACTTACCATTGTAATTTTAGACTGATTAAAAGTATACATAAAGATTTTTAAATGAATTAAACAGATTAGACATTGTCGTTTGATATTGTTGTGGCTCAATCAGGCGAGCAATTATACTAGTTTTCGATTCATATTTTCAATGAAATCCTTTTTTATTATTAGACTAATCTATTCGATCATATTAATACCTATTGCGCAAAAAGAACTACGGATAACAATCAAGAATGATATAATTCACAAATAATAGAGAACAAACTTACCCCCATTAACTGTAGTGCAGCAGTGAATACTTCAATCGGTAGTAGATGTGTCTTCATGATATAACAACTGTAGGAATAGAATTTTTAAAGCATCAATAGCGAAGGTGAAAAAAGAAAGCATAACAAATATAAAAAAAAGGGTTGAGAACAAATAGAACTTACACTCGTTTAAATAAACTTCGATAAACAGTCAACTTTAGCTTTTCTAATATCAAGTAAACACCACAAGATAAGAAAAAAGCTTCATGCTCTTCTAAAGCAGAGTCCATTTTACGTAAATTTCCTGTTCTACAGAGAAATAAAATAAAATATTAACACACAACTGTTTTTTGCAATTTACTTGACCGCATCAGCAATGTCTTGGAATTGTCTCAAATTATATTTACATAGAAGACTTTCTTTGGGTAGTATTCCCTAAATGGATAATAAAAAAATGAATTGAAACAATTCAATCATATAAGGAATAAAATATCAATGCTATGAATACTTTGGTTATTATACATTAAAAAAAATCATCAATGAATAGTGTTAACGCTGTAGTTTTCAATTTTAAAATCTACTGAATAATTGACTTCAATCTAACCATTAGACTCGGTAGCATGGTGCTTCTTCAGTGTATTAACTTTATAAACTAGTTTTTAACGCTAAACCCCCAACACAATTTATCTAGTCAGGAAATAAACATTCACAGCTCAAATAGTCAAGTAATCAACTAAACCTCTAATTTCACTAGTGAATGATGGAGTGAAGCAGATGCTTAATGGTTGAACTGTTCCAATTTAAATTGCTATTTTGCAGATTCGAAACCTCACTTAACCTAATTCGGTTCACGTAACCGAGTAGTACCATTGGCCTTTACTCTTAGATGAAGTAGTGAAACTTCATCAGTTGAGTTGGTTGGGACAGGTGTTACGTATGGCTAACCACCGACTGCCTCGACGAGCTATGTTTTGTAGTGTAGGAGTAGGTTGGAAGAAAGTTAGGCGCGGTCAAACCAAAACATGGCAGATATCCATGAAGTCACTGACAAGTGGACTGAGTCACGTCGGTAGATGTAGGATACCTGGTTGGGGTCCGCGAGACGATAGTAACCGATGGTTAGAGACCTTGAACGACATGGCTCAGAATCGTTTGCAATGGCGCAGGTGCATCCACTCTTTGTGTGTTTTTTAATTCTAACCTTCTGAATTCCTTATAATCTATATCTTTCTCCTTCTAAATTTATCTCACTGAATTATACTTCTGGAATCATATCTTCGCTCCCTAATCTTCTCCATTACTGCTAATACTTCTATTATTGCTATCACTCTTGGATTTGAACTGACAGTTGCGTCTCTGTGCTGATGGGACATGGCAACCTGAACTGATGTACTTATGTACGAAGTTCTGCGTTGTATTTGTCTGTCTGTCACTCTTAGAAGTAAGGATTATGGCCGATTACATGAAACCTAACCTGGTAAAAGAGATACTATTTTAGATTTCCTACTGAACATTATTTTCAGTAGTAAATAGTAAAAAAATCAATTTACTTACAAGTAACATTTTTACAGGGATTAAATAGATCAGTATTAAACGTTTGTTATTCCACTTTGTAGTTAAACAACGCTCGAATGCGAAAGTCAGTGATTTATCAGCTGAAATATAGACGAAAGCATAGAGAAACATTAGAAGACTAATAAAATCACTGCATAAAATTACCATAATTATTAATACCACACAATGAAAATTACAGATCAAGTAACTTATAATCCTTATAAACATAGAGTTGACATAACGTGAGTGCACTAAAATAAACTTGTACAATGAGATTTAATGTCAATGTAACACAGTAACTGAATTGTAGTTTTTGTACTTACAACAACAAAAGAAAACGCATGGTCGCTATATGTTTTTAGATGTTTCATAATGTACTATAATGGCATCTTATTTAGATTATAAAGTCTTTATGATGATCATAATAAAGACAGATTTCTCCACATGACTGCCATCTAACTTGATCGGCAAGTTATATACTAAATAGCAATATTGTTTAGTAAGACCTAACACCTTATTGAATTCGTTTAACAAAAAATTGTAAACGCATGTGGTTTCTGATTGCTTTGTCAATTATTGAGGATAACTCAGTGAACTTTTGGAAATCATACAGATTATTTGAAAAAAAAAGATCGTCAATCTTGTTAGGCTATAGTATGCATCAAACTGCCGATAATAACGTGAAACTAGGCAGAATTTATTTAAAAGAGTGATTAATAGATATTTAAAACCAAAATAGATTCACATAAAGCTTACCTGACACAAAATCACCATCGAACATTGCTTTTCTCCCAACATAATAACAATAAGTTACACGTTGTGCCAAACTAAAATGATCATTCATACTTAAATTATCGATTGCACGAATCATAGATTTGCACAAATTCAATTTATTAATCTAAATAACGAATCAAAAATGATAAAATCAGGTGTTTTCTCGCTTTATTCTGAAATATTATATATACCTGGAAGTAAATTTTAAACAATTGATTGGCTAAACCCATCATGCCCAATTTTTTCGAATCTTCAACTTGTGCACGACTAAAACAAGAACGGAAATTCAAAACAAGAGTCACGTATACAAAAGCAAAATGGCATTGGAACAAGTAGAGAAAGAGGAAAAAAGCTTGATGTTGATGTTAAGTAGTTGGAAGTGATTAGTAAGAAACTCTGGACTTAAGGTTCGTGTCAGTTGACGCTTGTAAGCAAGACGCATCTCTTACTATAATATTGGGTGATATGGGTTCAAATAGGCAAGTTAGGATCAGTTTTCTCAACATTGGAGACAAAATTTTTATAGAAAAGGATAAAACCTAATTCTAGGGCATCTTGCCGACTGTCAATAGACACGCAGTATCTAGACAGTGTATAAGATATTAAATCACTTACAGTAGTGATCACAACGCAGCTTCAGTAATAGTATATGACTGGAAATAAGAACTAGACTGTTATGGTATCTGTGACTGACCAATAATCGATAAGAGCTACTGAAAAATATATGAATATTTACTATTCAGTACAAACTTATACAGCTTCGTATACGAGGTTCAAAGCCAAGAACTAATGTGGATGATTGTGACGCAAATCTATCATGTGCACAAAGCAACTATCTGGTTTCGAGAAATAACCATATAGTGACTCTGTAAATAGATTATGACCAAAATCTCAAAATAAAACATAGTATTACAATTTCACACAATGTCAAATTCCAACCTCATAATGATAATGTGAAATCTATGGATATTTTTCGAAACTTCTGAGAATTAACTATTGAAGTCGTAGGTTTTGCAACATCAAACTCAACATTTAACAGTTAGTCAAATAATTTCCTCTATCTATATCCATCCTTTGTTTGACTTGAAGAAAACTAGGTTTTCACGGTTTTGAATCGGTACAATATTCTACTTTTTGTTCATTTATTTTCTAATCAACAGCTTAAGTAAATTAAACATTCATTTTATAAATTTAGATTTACATCTAAGCATCATTCATATGAAATAAAACCACTCAACGAGGAGAGAACTTAGCAGCTTCTTTTCATACAATGAAAATCTATTTCAACTGAATGAATTATAGCACATATTGGCAAAATACTTACCTGTCACTGGCACATATTTGAAATAGCCTTAAAATAAGTTGTGCAGCATTTTCCATTCTTCTTCCTTGATTTCTAAAACTATCCGATTGTGGTGTGAATTTCGCGTCCAAACCATGGGCGAATCTCCTTAAATCAATAGCAGCTGCATGTGCAACAGGCAAAATCCAATTGTCGTCTTTCAATTCAGTGAGTGCTTTGGCCACATTCGTTCATTCAACAATTAGCAAAATGTTATAAATACCGAAAGTTAAGGCAAAAGCAATCCACTAGAAAACTAAATAACTATTTCTATTAATTATTGGAAGTTGATGGTTCATCTTGTAACTAATTAATACCTAAATTCGAAAATTTTTAATCCGTTGGCTAACTTGTTTCTAAGTAAGGATAAATTTGTCCTACGTCAGACCTCCTTTCTCTTTTGAGAGAAATAATTAACAATTTCGCAGTCTTATACTGATTATATGTGACGTTTTATGATCCGGACCCGGATCCCTACACCGGGATCCTGGTTCTCTTCTGGACTCGAACCTCGTACTTTCTGGATGCTTGTAGAATATAGGTTCTACTTCATATCAAGTCTTCTTCATTTACTCAATTGGGGGTCCGGAAACTCGGATTAGAGTAGCATGTAGTGTCACCGGATCCTCGATACTCGCTCTCGTTTTCCGACTAAGGTAAACTCGTAATAGTTCAAGCATATCAAATGACATGTTTATGTGCATTTGTAACAATTATTTAAACACATGAATATTGATATGGATGCGCATTAAAACAAATATGGACAACAGAATAAGAAAATAAAATTGTGAAGTGACAGGAAGGGTGAATATTATCAAGAACAGGAGACAATAAGTCAGTGAGTCGAAAACCAGTTTCGCTGAAAAATTACAACCGAAAAGAATGTTTCAATTGCAGAAGTTTCTCTCACTTTGAAAACAGTCAAAAATCGCAGCATGATTGTTATGTGTGATAACATCCTCGGCCACTGAGTTACAACATTTGTCTGACCGAAACTTATCCATTCCGAATCATCCTTAGGTAAGTGGAAGCAAGAAATAATCTGGACACTATATGGAAGAACAATGGTAAGTGTATGAGTGAAAATACAACCATTTGGATAACAACGCACATAAAACCTTAAGGTAATTTTGTCAAAAGACTAAGCACCTACTAATAAAAATAGACTAATCAGATCGTTTGCTAAACATGTGAAACTATTTTGAAAGGAACATCTCCTAATATATTTAAAGATGAACTAGAGTACAAAAGATATACATGGTGTGATAGAATTATCAAACCTTAACTTAATCAGGTGAGGTCAATTGTAAACTAAAGACTGACCTATTAAAAGCCGAGTACTTTAATCAATGAACTCAGCCTCCATAGTTCTCAGCGCTTAACAATACATTCAAAGTATTGATGAGCATCGAATGCAAAAACATGTTATGTATACGACAGGATTAAGTATAAAAATGATCGGAACTTGATTGAAGATTTCAAATATGTAAAAACACAAAACCTCCAAAACTCTGGCCGAAAATATTGTAACAGTGTTCACTAGTGACTAGCTTCGTGAGGAAATTCTCGGAGTTCTAGTTGAGAAGACGTGACTAATGGAGTTCAACCCTGTTGGGTGTAGGCCGCGCAAAAATCCGTAGATCAATCAGAATTATTCATTAACACCGTTGGATGCCGGCCCAGTGGTCCAATGGTTAGGCGTTCGCACACAATACCGAAGGTCCCGGGTTCGAATCCTGCAAGGTGCACGAGTCGTGGATGCGCATTGCCGATGAATCCCATACCAGGATGAAACGGCCGTCCAACGTCTCAAGGTTTCTAATGTTGGTCTAACAATGATGGATTGATGATTTCAAATATGTAAAAACATAAAACCTCCAAAACTCTGCCCGAAAACTTGCTAAATACACGTAATTTAGATAGTAAGGTTGTAGTTCTTAGACATTCACAAAAAATATAACTGATAGGATTTAAGACTGAGATCTACGGACTGTGATTAAATTAGCAGATTATGAGGCCAGATGTCGATAAAAATAATTTTTAAAGGATATTTCACTAATACTATTTGACAAGCATAGGCTTCTTCGAAATCACGGTTACGCATTGCCCATATACACCTAGAAAGTTTTTTAAAAGTTACATGATTAGTTAATTTACTTTACCTCACATGAGCAGAAACTATCTCATCCCAGGGTGATACAAGGTACGATACAGCAATATTTTCTGGATCCGGCATTGCTAGACGAGAATTATATACATGAGGATCACTACACATGAGATAGTGCTAGTTTAAATCAAATAATAAATTCCCACTTAAGAAACTTACGCTCAATCCTCTACCGTTCCGACTGTTAATGCAGTTTGCTACCTAAAATGGTTTTTAGCGAATCTAATGATGGACAACTTACATCTTGCAGATACATCTGAAGGGTAATAGGAGCCATTATTCGAGTAGCTAAAGTGATAACTAAAAGAAGTAAAAAAAACTGATGTTGATTGAGACACTAAAGAAATTCATACATTGTAAGAAATAAAGCCTTTCTAAATATGAACAAAACAACGACTACGGACAGAATGGAAGCTTTGAAAGTTGACTGTGATATTGATAGACGAAACAGTGTACAAATCGATTCCGATTAATTTCCTGTACCTTATTTCCGATAAACCCAAAATCAGCTAAACTGAAATTTAGTGAAAACATACGTGTCTGTAATCTTGGGATTAATCAGCGACTTGTTGAAGACCATAGTAGTTCTCACCAGTAATAAACCCTGCAAAAGCACATACAAACAAACCTTATGCTGGACAACTCATTATTCTGATGCATTAACTACTAACATAATACCATCCGATCTTGCTTTTACATACTTTTATAGTCTATTTAAGATACTGACACTAGTCACGTATGCTCAACCACCGACTGCCTCGACGAGCGATGTCACCTGGTGTAGGGGTAGGCTAGGAGAAATCTATGGGCGGCTAAACCAAAATTCGACATCCATGAAGTCATTGACAAGTGGACTGAGCCATGTTAGTAGGTGTACTATCTGGTTAGGGTCCGCGAGACTATAGTAACCGATGGCTCAAAATCGTTTGCAATGGAGCAAATTCATTTATTTTTTGTCTTCTCTCTAATTCAAGTCCTCTAAATTCCTCATCACCTTTATCCTCCTCTTTTTAAATTTATTTCACTTGTGTGTACTTCGTGAACAATATCTTCGGACCCTAATCTTCTCCACTACCCCTAATACTTCTACTACGTCTACCACTATGGGATTTGAATTGACAATTGTATCCCTGTGTTAATGAGGCATGGCGACTTGAACTGATGTACGTACGTACGAAGTTCTACGTTGCGGCTGACTGACTGACCCTTTGGGTTGTGTGTGGTCTTTGATGAGTGTTTTATCCCGACCGTAGCTGCTACCTTGACGTGGTGGTCGGGCTTGACTATCGTGATGACCCAACCGAGCTAAACTGGTTGGAACATATGTTCCTGAAGGTTCTACCGTGCCAGGCACGTCGATTGGAGAACGATGAGACTAAAAGCAGCTACCCAAGGTCTGAGGGCGAAGTCGTACCAACGCCAATGTACCTTCCTTCTTAGGTCTCTTAAGAAACATCCTTCCACGGTGTGGGCAATCGGAAAGCAACATCCGCCCTCATACCCGTCACAGCACACGAGACCATATTGGTCACAATCAAATCCTTCCTGCACTCTCTAACATCTCTCTTATCTCCACGACTAACTCTTCTCACATTCCTTTATCACACTGCACAGCTAATGCAAACAATGCGAGTTCACGAAACGTCATTTCTGGTCTCCTGAAACCCCGTTGTAGACTACATGTTGGAGCATTTAATGTACGGACATTGTGTCGAATAGGGCAACCGGCTTCATTGGCTAGGACAGTAGAATCTCGCTCAATCGATGTGTGCTGTGTCTCGGAAACGCGTATACAGGATCCTAGTAAAGTCATTAATCTGATTTCGCCTTATCAAAACAAAGAAGCAGCCAGATTTACTCTTCGTGTATCCGGTACCCCTGATGCTGCTTCCAGGGGTCTCGCTGGTGTAGGTACCGCATTGAGTCGTCGGGCAGAACTAGCGCTCCAAGACTGAATCCCAGTATATAGTCGTTTGTGCGCCATCCGACTGAACGGGACAGTAAGGACTCGGAAAGATAGGGACACCCGTCGTTGCCTCTTCGTCGTATCTGCCTATGCCCTCACTGACTGCAGTTCAGACGAGGTGAAAGATAAGTTCTGCGGAAATCCTTCGGACCTCCTCCAGAATGTTAGGCGCTCCAATGTAGTAATATTGGCTGAAGACTTTAATGCTCAGGTAGGTAGACTGAGTGAAAATGAAAGACCGATGTAGAGGTTCGATAGAGGACTGTCGCTCGTTCTGGAGCACATGTTTAGAATCAGATCATGCCTTAGTGCGAGCGCGTATTTGTTTGAGGCTTACTGGACGTAGGAAAGACACTGTAAGGAAGCCTCTTAGGGTTTTACTTAATGATAATAAGTTAAGGAATATATTTCAGGAACAGCTAGAAAAAGAGTTGGGCGACCATGTAAGCGATTCCCATCCGGAGGAAGGTTTGAATGAAATCAAAAAGGCTGTGGAATCGGCAGTGATATCTTCTTGCAAGGTAAACCATAAATCTAGGAAGAAGGCGTGGATCTCAGTAGCATCTACCAATCTGATGGATGCTCGAAAACTCATCCCGCTCGGCTCTAAGTGCAATGAGGAGCGGAATCAGCTTAAGCGCAGGCTGATAAAAAGCCTGCGCAACGACCGTGAACAGTGGTGGGTGGCGAAAGCAAAAGCGATGGAAAAGGCAGCGGCGATAGGCAACACTAGACAACTTTTCCGACTTATCAAGGAAACTGGTATCAGGAATCCTAGTGTAAGTGAGACTATCTCGGAAAAGGATGGTCTTATTATCCATTCTCAATCTAGGAGGCTGGACCGATGGGCAGAACACTTTAGGGATCAGTTCAACTGGCCTCGAGCCACACTTCGCTTGCCCACGATCTCAAGTATTCCTGAATGGCTAATCGATTTAAGTCCTCCTAGTCTTTATAAAGTTGAGAAAGCGTTATGAAATCTGAAGCGAGGGCGAGCTGCAGGTCCTGATAGGCTAACTCCTCAGATGTTTAAGGATGGTGGTCCAGTTTAGCAGCCAGACTGACTGATATCTTTGGTAGAATTTGAGAACTGGACGTAATCCTATCCGACTGGTCTCAATCACTGATTGTCCCAATTTATAAGAAAGGACGAAAGTCTTCTTGTGACAATCACAGGGGAATCAGTCTAACTAATATAGTTTATAAATTGTTAGCCTCCGTTATACTTAGACGCCTAACTAGTGCTCGTGAAGAGCAGACTAGAGAAAACCAGTCTGGTTTTCGACTTGGACGTGGATGTATAGACCACATTTTCACACTACGGCAGGTCCTGGAACACAGACACACATTTAGACGTCCTACAGTAGTTGTGTTCCTGGACCTAAAAGCGGCATTTGACTCTGTGGATCGTGAGGTTCTGTGGCAGTGTCTGTAATTGAAAGGTGTACCAAAGAAGTAGATTATCCTTATACGAGCTCCCTACTCGAACACTACTGGTCGGGTGAGAGCTTATGACGAACTGTCATCGGAATTCTTTACTTCAAGTGGTGTGCGTCATGGATGTCCACTCTCTCCATTCTTGTTTAATTTCATCATAGACATGCTCCTAGAAATAACCTTATCCTCGTCTGAATTTTCAGGAGTACACGTTTGACCAGGTGGCTTGCTTTTCAATTTGGAATATGCCGATGACATTGTCCTACTTGGTGAAGACGCTGACAAAATGCAGTGTTCTGACTACCCTAAGCAACAAGGCAAGCATGTTGGGGATGCGGTTTTCCCCCTCGAAATGCAAAATGTTGCTTCAAGATTGGGTTGCATCGGCACCTGAACTAGTGATAGGGAGTGAAGCAGTCGAACGTGTAGACAGCTTCACGTATCTGGAGAGTCTCATCAGTGCTGATGGCCTAGTGACTGACGAAATATCAGCTCAGATACAGAAGGCTCGATTGGCTTTTGCCAATTTACGCCGTTTATCGTACAGGCGAGATGTCCGTTTGTTAACCAAAGGATGAGTGTACTGCGCAGTACTTCGTTCCGTCCAACTTTATGGCTATGAATAGTGGGTAGTCAGTGTAAGATATTCGTAGGTTACTTGTTTTCGATCATCGGTGACTCCGAAGCATTGCTCGATTATCGTGGGACAACCGAGTAAGTAATGCTGTTATTAGTAAACGGGTGCTAGGTAAGAATGGCAGGTCAATAGATGGAGTAATCTAACTTCATCAGTTGAGGTGGTTGGGACATGTGTTACGTATGGCTAACCACCGACTGCCTCGACGAGCTATGTTTCGCAGTGTAGGAGTAGGTTGGAAGAAAGTTAGGGGCGGCCAAACTAAAACATAGCAGAAATCCATGAAGTCACTGACAAGTGGACTGAGTCATGTTGGTAGATGTGGGCTACTTGGTTGGGGTCCGCGAGACGAAAGTCACCGGTGGTTAGAGACCTTGAACGACATGGCTCAGAATCTTTTACAATGGCGCAGGTGCATCCACTCTTTGTGTTCTATGAAATTCTAAGCTTCTGCATTCCTGAAAATCTCTACCTTTCTCCTTCTAAATTTATCTTACTGATTTATACTTCTCGAATCATATCTTCGCTCCCTAGTCTTCTCTATCACCTGTGCATTTATTCTTTGTGTTCTCTCAAATCCTAATCTTCTGGATTCTTCAACACCTCCAGTTTTGTCTTTCTAAACTTATCTCACTGAATCATACTTCTTGAATAATATTTTCTAATCCTAACCTCTCCGACTACTTCTAATACAATTACATCTCTGTGCTAATGTGGTATGGCAACAGTCAGTCAGTTGCAACGTAGAACTTCGTACGTATGTACATAAGATCATGGCAACATTAACTGATGTACTTACGTACGAGGTTCTACGTTGCATCTGACTGACTGACTGACTATTACCAGTGATACCTCTACTATCACTATCATTCTTGGATTTGAAATGACAGTTGCGTCTCTGTGCTGATGTGGTATGGCAACCTGAACTGATGTACTTACGTACGAAGTTCTGCGTTGTACCTGTCTGTCTGTGTGTCTTTATTTTATGAACCATAAACTTAAGCACTACTATCAAACGATATAAGTGAGAGAAGGCTAATTAGAAAATTCCAAGGTGATACCAAATTTGATACACAGTCACAAAGAAAGTAAGAGAACTATATACAGACTGAAACCATTAAAACTACATTCCGTAATTCATAGGCAACAAGAGTTTATATTGGTTTAGAATCGTCAACTGCTAGAAACATAAAGGGATAAAGATACTTCTTAGGATTATGTGGTGAATGTACTGAAAAATGTCACCTGCATGCTTGAAGTTCAGATATCTTACAAACATTAAAATGAGGTTATGGTGCAACGTACAATCTTTATCCCGATCAAATTTTAAACACGTCTTAGTCAAACGAACCTTGAAAATCAATACAGCCTTAATACTGCAATGAGGTCAATAGTTTCTGAAACGTAACTTGTTTTTCCCGTAAGAATGACTTTACACACTATACACTTTAACGGCCGAATTTCACAGAGGTAACTAACACTACCTCACGCTTCGTAATGTAGGTTTGACTATATTTACCGGTTTAAATAACTGAAATGTCTGGAAAGACGTTACAATAGACAACGCCGTCACAATAAATTGCTCTGGAGATGACCAACTGTTAAAAAAAATCGCAAAGATGAACGAAACTAATCCAAAAGTTAAATTCTGGATGGCTACGAATATTCTGTACCCAGTTAAACAAGAATAGAGAAATAAATACGATAAGTATTTCTATCCGTGATAAAGAATATTTAGGCTAAAGGTCTATTGATATTCCTGATAAGTAAGCGATTTCAAGGAAATATGTAGATATATTGAAGAGCAACGAAGTGTTATTTACCGAATCTGTGAGCAGCAGTGGGCAAATACAGATGTAAAAAAACACCGTAGTCATATTTATCATACAATGAGGAATTAAAGCTTGAAACTGAACTTAGGTAACGAGTATAAATGACAATCAAAAAACATGTAAAAGCAACTAATTACTTCAGCAACAGTAGTAAAGTTACTTAAACCCAGCGGCAACCGTTTTCAGTGTATGATATATAATTAATATCTGTCTCGAGCTAGTATTAACTCACTGATTTATGGGGTGGGATGTTACCTATTAAGATCTAGAAATGCTTTTATTTGGATTCGCATATAATTTATTTCAAAACAATGTATGCATGACTTCTGGAGTGTTGTACTTAAGATAGATATTGATAACAAATATGAACAAGATCTAAATACATTTTATTACGTCATGAGATGTAACAAGTCGAGACTCATTACTAGATAATCACAAATTATCATGACAATAAAAAAAATTAGTTAGTATAAATATGAAAAGATATGTCACTAAACATACGTAGATTCGAGGATCCAACCTTGAAACCGAACAACGCACCGGGATGAATAACACGACCAGTGGATTTCAAGGTCCATTACACGATCTGAATATATTTTAAACGAGTTGTTATTAACCCACTGATTACTTTTGGTACAGTTACAGTTATTTTTCAATTTCTAATAGGTGGCAGTCTAGCTATTCAGTGACATGGTATGTGGCTTGATCAGACATTCACTAGAGTCACACAAACTCCCGGCTGCATGCGAACAATTTATTCTCTCAAATATTTAAAGGAAGAGATTGGAGAGATCCGACCCGTTGCAGACCAGTCGCAGTGCTACCGATACTCTCGAAAGAAAGCTAAAGAGAGGTAAATGGACAAATGAGGGAGCACGTGCCTAAGAACAAAATCCTCCACAAAGCTCAGCACGGGTTTCTGACAGGCAGGTCATAGACAACAGGTCTACTCATAGCATGGAAGAGCCAGACAAACTTCCGGAACCGAAATATACTGATCCACGTAATATTTCTAGAATTCGTAATGGCTTTCTTCGAAGCACCCCACGTACTCCTTATTGCGGAATTGGGCTTCATCAACTCATTTTTACCTTGGCCAAAAAAGAATCTTGATAACAGAAACTTTCTCACAAGATAAAGAGATTGCATGCGGTCTGGCAAGCCTGAACATTAGGAGTCGCACAGGAGAATATCTTAAATCCGTTCCTCTCCCTGAAATTTACTTTATGCGAAGAAAATTTGTTGCCATCACACTAGAAATATTCTTAACGTTGTTTAAGACATATGCGCGCCCATACATTGAGGTTCACAACGTCGTCACACAAATTCTCCTTAAACGAAACATAAATCTCTTGAATCTAGTGTAGAGGCGAGCAACGAAATGGAGGAGAGGGTTGATAGGTAAAACTTATGAAGAAAGACTACAGCAATAGGAGTTATTCTCCTTGAGTTGCAGGAGAATCAGAGGTGATCTGGTTATGGCGTAAAACATATTAAGCAAGCTAAGAGAACCTAACGTGTGCATCTTACCGAAGGATCACCACCATGCTCTTCGAGGTTATCCTCGAAAAATTGCACATCATTGAGCGAATACTTAAGTTCACGCACATTTTTTCTGAGTAAGAGTTGTTCTAACCTGGAATGCTGTTCCAGCCGAAGTGACTACAACCTCCTCAGTAGACCGCTTTGAGAAGCGACTTGATAAACACATACTCACATACGCATTGTCACCTCCCTCGTGTACCAGCTGTGTCAAATGCATGTCTTGAGGCCTGATGGTTGTTATCATTGCCATCTCCTCAGATCATTAACTTAAATAATCTCGCTTATTATCTCCGTTTCCACCAACTTGCTTACACTTCGTTCCTCTCCCGCAATATTCATTACCAATTAATTAACTTATTTACTCATATATTTACTTGGTTCGAATCACGAGATGTATAAATTCATACACAAGTCCCATCTAATAAGAATTAGTACAGTCGGATGACTGGACTAACATCACTCGCACACTACCGAATCCCTACAACCGTACCGAAATAACAAGAATCGATTACACGGTTTATACTAGCTCATTAAAAATATATTGGATATCTGTACACCATTCGATTCAAACGCGAGAAGACATTAACTAAACTTCACGTAGTAGGCATCTTTCGAAACGAATACACTTAGAAGTAAATGTACACCGTATTTGAATATGAACAGACCGAGTAATTGCGGTGTTCGTAAATTGATAGAATATTGAATATTAGTTCAGCGCCCTTGGAAATTTTCTCACATACGCCTTTTACTTCCAGCTGACCAGCATTATCCAACTTACTCCGTCATGGTCCTACCTTTCATTTCTAAGTGCTTTTCATTCTTCCGATATCTGCCTCCGGTTGACGGTGTTATGAGTCCTATGGCCTCCCTCTTTTACCTTTGTCTTGAGGAATCCAAGCGAGGACTCGTCGTGTGAGACAGTTGGATGCTTTCCTCCATATTTTCTGTCCACCACCTGTGTTATTTCTTTACTTTGTCCTCCACTGGAATCTGGTTCGTCCTTCCCCACAGTACATTCTTGCTGGTGGTGTCTGGCCAATGGATCCGACGTACATAACTGTTAATAAACACCTGTATCTTGTGGATGATGTGTTTCGCAGTTCTACAGGTGTCTACCCCAGTAGAACTGTCTTGACGTTTGGATTGGAAATTCTGATTATGGTGTTTGTTGATAGGATTGAGTCCCAAACGTCTCTCAATTGTAGGATTGCTATCCTAGCTATGTCAGTTAGCGCATCAGACCCACCTTGCTCATTAGTTATGCAACCCAGAAATGCAAGTCTCCACATCCTCGTAAGCTTTCCTATCAAGTGTAATTTAGTTGGTACATGCTGCCACATTGGAGGATGTTGCTTTTTACTGTGTATGTTGAGATCTAATTCTGCAGTCTGTTGCCACATCGACAATCGTCATCTGCATTTGTTGAAGTAATTGTAATAAAGAGCTTGGTCACTTACGAAGTCTAGATTGTCCAGTTGCATCCTACCTGTCCTCTGAATTATGTACCTCCGAATTATCAAGTCTTTATAGTCCAGTAGACCACCCGGAGAAAGGGTGAGCAGGCGACGTCTCCTGAGACCGGTCCTTATTTCAAACGGGTATTAGATGCCCCCCATGTCCGATTCCGCAATCCGATCTATCATAAGAATTCTCTACGATACTATCTTCTCATGCACCCTGCGTCGCTATCAAACTGTCTCTCAGTCAATAAAGTTGATGTGGAATGGCGAATCCCACTCGGCTGGCTGTTCCATAACTATCGATCCTCACAGAATCAACTAAACAAACTGACTCAAGATGATATTGTGAGCAATCGTTGTTTGAAAGACCTAAGGTGCCCAAAAACCATGTTAGGTTATTTCGTTCATATTCAATTAACTACTATAAAGGACTTCAGGAGACCAGGCTGCGTAACTTTGTTACTCAATAAAATATAGTAGACATCACAGAAAACTTAGTCCGCTTTCTATGCTGAAATCCCTTTATTACTACAACCAGAACCCGAATGGCAGTAACAATTCAAGGCCATAACCTTATTAACTGACGCGGATTTCCTGTTCGAAACATTTAAATATTTTATTCCTTCTACTTTCCAGTTGTAACTGAATTACAGGAGAGAACTTAAAACACGGCATTCTAAACAATCGCCTTTTACTGTTAGTTGATAAGCGTTGTAACCTAGTTGAGTCATACTCCACAGGTTAAGTGTTACAAAGATGAATGTTCCCCCGATCTCACAGCACTGGAAACAACAGAAAAGAACGCTGAGCTTAGGAAGAACAATAATAGCGAATTTATTTTGACTCTGGAAAAGTATTAAAATATAAAAAAATACTACCTAAAAATATTAAGACAATATGTAAAATTTGACATTAGAACAGTGAATAAAAGCTATGGAGTCCTTGTCCTATCTCCCAGATTGAAACACCAGTACCTTTGGATAGGATAGTTTGAAGACGTTGAGTTATTGACATCAAAGTAGGATAAAAAACCAAGTGATCCTGAGAATTTTTATCTCTACAAAAAAAGTAGTATAAGTTATTTACCAAAAAACCCAAGTAGAATAAAGTTTTCTAACAAAACTAGCAAAGGTTTGTACGTTGACATAAAAGTTGCAATACTTTTGGACTAATTCGACGGAAAATGAATTGATAACAACGAACAAAAGAAAGGAGAATATTAATTTGATGGCTTCAAATATCATGATATATTTCTGATTGATGCCAACTAAAAACAGAATTGTGAGGTTTAATATTTCCAATGCTTAACAATTTTCTTTCCTTAATGAACCCTAGTTGAACCCTCCCGATTGCCTTAAAGTAACAATCAACGGATATCAGAACCATATATGTATATATATATATATATATATATATATATATATATATATATATATATATATCAAACTGTGATGCAGAATAGAATGAATTTTCAAAAATTTCAAGCATTACGGAAAATCTAAAAAAATAAGAGGACTGCAAAAACTTTTACCTGATAAAAAAGAAAATGCATATAACAAACAAGAACATTATGTATCCGGGATTCGCGGAACTCCATAGGACAGGAAATCATAGTCCGTGGTAAAGATAACATTGAATTCTGAATTTGATGCCTTAGATTGGCTTGTAGTAATTAGTTTACCATTATTAGGTTTTTCTACTAATAATGATAACATTGTTTGAGCTTATAGAATATAAGGATGAAGAATTTGAAGCATTTTCAGTATTACTAACTTGTAATAACTGTTTCACAGAATTTATTGAAGAAAGATAAAAATAATATTACCTATAAGATAAACTATGTTCAGCCCATTGTTCATGCCATTTAAAGTTCGACTGGTATTTTTCAACTATTTCAATGACCCTAAACAATAAAAGAAAAGATACAACATTAATTTGTCCAATGAAAAAAATTTTGCTTTATAAGTTAATTTGAGGTCAACCGAGATAATATTCCACTGTGTTAGGCATGCACGTAAACATGTCATTTGATATGCTTGAACTATTACGAGTTTACCTTAGTCGGAAAACGAGAGCGAGTATCGAGGATCCGGTGACACTACATGCTACTCTAATCCGAGTTTCCGGACCCCCAATTGAGTAAATGAAGAAGACTTGATATGAAGTAGAACCTATATTCTACAAGCATCCAGAAAGTACGAGGTTCGAGTCCAGAAGAGAACCAGGATCCCGGTGTAGGGATCCGGGTCCGGATCATAAAACGTTACAGATAATCCGTATTTTTACAATTAAATCGAATAGGAAATAGCATCGAAGTCTGTAATATTGACAGTTAAGGCGACCAATAGAAAACAACATGAAAGTACGTGACATCGGTATCTAGAACGACCATAAAATTGACCAATAATTCTGTTAGGATGTTGGGTGAATGTCCTAACACACTGATCTTTGCGAAGACATTAAAAATTAACCTAATTTAATAAAACTGAGACATTTGTAAAAGTAATTTTCAGTATAAAGAGAGATAGGATAGTTTGCCTGAATTGGCCTCCTCAATGTGCATTTGCGAATTCAGCCGCTCCTGTGGAAATAGCTATATCGCGCGCACTACCAGGCAACTTAACCAACGAATGAGTGAAGATCTCCCAGCAAGGTTTAGAAAGGGCCAGATAAAAACAATACGCAGCTCTATCTTGGCAAGCCCGATTGATAGCGGTCATAATATAGATAAATCTGAATCGTTCCAAGTGATCTATTATATGCCCCCAACATTTCCTAACGGAGTTTGATCTCGTCTCCTACATTTAGCAGAAGCTATAGGGATCCGAACATTCAACCACAATTCATATGTTCAGAAGGAATTACTGACAGTCCTATCCCTTCCTTTGTTGGATATAACTTGGTAAACAATTTTAAAATTCTTTATTCTTAGTTATCAATAGCATTATTTTCACATCCTGTATTTGTTTGTAATTTCCCGCCTCTTTCCATTTATATTCATCACTACCTGATTATTTACACACTTCTTACTACGAAGTTGTTGTTTTTTGTGATTATTTTAGGTCTATTCATCCACGTTTGACCTACTACTTCCATTGTTGAACTATTTAATTATTCTTACTACTATCAGTATACCTGTCTTCCTACTATCAACTTGTACGTTCGCCTACTAGTTATGTAATCTATTTCACTGTGCTTAATGACTCATAAGGTGCCCTGAATAGTTGATTATTTTCAGATAAGTCAATCCGTCAGCAACGTAGAACTTCGTTGTACGTGCGTACATCAGTTCAAGTTGCCATGCCAAATTAGCACTGGTTTGCAATTGTCAATTCAAATCCCATAGTGGTAGACGTAGTAGAAGTATTAGGGGTAGTGGAAAAGATTAGGGTTCGAATATATTGTTCACGAAGTATACACAAGTGAAATAAATTTAAAAAGAGGAGGATAAAGGTGATGAGGAATTCAGAGGATTCGAATTAGAGAGAAGACAAAAGATAAATGAATTTGCTCCATTGCAAACGATTTTGAGCCATCGGTTACTATAGTCTCGCGGACCCTAACCAGATAGTACACCTACTAACATGGCTCAGTCCACTTGTCAATGACTTCATGGATGTCGAATTTTGGTTTAGCCGCCCATAGATTTCTCCCAGCCTACCCCTAAACCAAGCGACATCGCTCATCGAGGTAGTCGGTGGTTGGGCATACATAGCACGTGCCTCAACAACATCAACTGGTGTATATTTCAGCAAAGCCTGATTATCTAGTTGAATACAATATTGCTCGCTTATATGTGTTGTTCCAATTTTAATAATAAGAATCTTTGATATATTAAGCTCGTGAATCACATACTCTGAAGTAAATAATTAAAAAACTTGTTTAAAAGGAGCTAGGTATTAAATTTGAAATGGCCTGACAATAAGAAACTGTATAGCAATATTTCAGTGCTCAAATAACCCGACCACAAACTTCTGAATCCGGCCATCTACTTTGGTTAGTGCGGTAAAATAATGTCATTAACCTTTACGTGTAAACAAGTCGTTTGAAGTCCAGTGCTAAAACCCGTGCTTGGTTAATGTGTATTACATTTAGTTATTACTTAGACCCACACTAATGACAGTATAACCTTTTGGCAATTTAAAAGTTTGGTCCATAAGTAATAAAACACAATAAACCTAGGTCGGAAACTTCTTAATGATCAACTTAAACTGGCATACTGCGAAAAGTATAATGTGCTAACAATTATTAGGTTAGCTATGATAAATTTCCCAAAAACAATTACTGGTAGTATTAATACAGTAGCTCACGTTGAAAGTTTATCTGGTCAGTTGAACGGTTCGCATTTTGTGAATGATGAAGGGAAAGTTTGGTTTAAACCCAATAACTCTAATCATTACGTTAACTTAAGAAATCTGACCAAAGGTTACCAAACACCCTTTAAAAACCTCGAGCAAAATAATACATATTCACATATAACCAACTTCACTAACATGAGTATGTAACTACTATGAGTAATTTTGATTTCGAAATATTCTATGCAGTAAGTAGATTATGAGAACATGGTGAAATAAATTGAGTTTACGTAATTGAACCTAAGTTATTGTTTTCTCTCTATTAGAACTATTAAATACATGTGAATTAGCTGGATATGGTATTTAGTTTACTGAGGAAAAGTAGATAGGATGAGGATAAAAGCTCTTAATTAAATCGTTAAAATTGGAGTGCTTAGGCCAAATGAACCAACACTCGAATGACGAAAAAATATAAATATACAACAAAACTATGAATATTATGTTTCCTATACAAAGAACATTCCTGGAAAGTAACAAAATGAAGCAAGAAAAGAATTCTTTAAATAAAAATAAAATACTTACTCGCTGCCTCTAACTGGTTCACCAGTTAATTTTTTAGGCAAGTAATCAACTCCATAAAAATTTAAACCAACTAGAATTTTTTTCCGTAATTTTGCTTCATTCAGAGAATTCTTTGGAACTAAACGATCAATACATTCTTCAACCCAACTCAAGGGACTATTAGGCCCGGGTCTATTATATGATTTTTAACAACAAAAAATAGTACAATAATTGCATAACGAATATAAAGTCGTGTGTGCAGTAATTAAAAAAAATATTAAATGTACAACCTACTAACACGAAATCAGACAAAATCATCATACAACTTATATATATATATATATATATATATATATATATATATATATATATATATATACATTAGTGAATTTGATTAAACTGAAAAAATATTACCAATAACTTATAAAGAATATTAAATAAACGATTCATTTTATTGGGTTCATCTTAAAATCATGACTCGGATTAAAGTGGATAGTGTAAAGGTATTCATTTTTCAAGTGACTGTCAATGCAAACTATGCAGTGTGCATTTAAAAGCAGTTAATTTACTGATGACAAGTTGTTAAAGGCTGAGAGGACATAACAATTGTAGCGAAGTAATAAAAGATACATGGATAAACGAGTAAATGTTTGCTTGAAAAAAGACATTTTCCAAGATGAAAATTGCTCAATACTGAGTCAATAACTTAATTGAAGGACCTAAATATATTTTGAAAGTTGGTTAGATCAACATCTGCTCAAGAAAAGCGGGACCACTCTTCACATTACTTCACCACGTGGTGATGAGGAGCGATCGTTGAATTATTAAGGCGCTCGACTGTGAAGCGCACATTACAAGCACAACTGAATATATAAGTTTATGAAGACTGGTATTCCTCTTACAGGTCAGTTTTGAGATTGTCTAATAAGCCTAGAAGTATTTACAGAATTTGTTAAAAATGTTTGGTGATCATCAGTTGAACAAGTACTAAATCAGATCAGTATTTATTCATATTTAAATTGTTATGTACAGAAAGTTCTTTGTTATGCATTTAACACAGAGCCAACGTTCCATCAAGCTCACAATAACTGTACAAAAGCGATGTTTTGAAAGTATCAGTGATATTAAACCGTTGTAATCTTCTATTTCTTGGGGACTATGGTTTTTAGATGAAATACACACGGATTCACTCTAAAAGAAAGAAATCTCAAACGTAGATATTAGGAGAAAAAATTATAGGAAATTATTATTTAGATAAACTTACCGATGAGGTAAAGAATAATCGTAAGTCATCAAGCTAAAATAATCAATATAATCGGCCATTTGTTTGAAATTCCCTTGTGCGAATCGTCCTTCTATAACACTAACAATTGCAGATTAATTATGTTAATGTATGTGTTAAAAAAATAAAATGTCTTACTCATGATGAACAGGAGGTGGTATAACAAGTACAGAAAGTTTTCCATTTGAATGTAGGTTATCAGCAAGTCGTATTACAAAATCAACTAGTGAATGAAAGTCTATACCAGAGAACTGTGCCCAAATTTCTATGACTGCACCATCAAAATCATATTTCTAGGGATGAAATGCGAAACAAAAGTGTTTTAAGTATAAACTTTGTTGAATATAATTCATATAGTTGAGTTTAATAAGTGGGATAGGAATTAGCTTGGACAATTAGATCTTAATTTCATTCATATGACGTACATAATACATATGTCCCAACCGTTTATATTCCGATTAACTTCTAATCACATTGATCCTTGTTTCAAATATTTCATATATGAGGGTATTATTTTACTAAGCAAGACATCTATTCTGCCGGATAGTGAATTTATTTTTGATCCCAGTTTAATCGGGCTTCAAGGTGAATAATTCAATTTCGCTGGCATTAATCATTCGGTCTTACGATATCATTACATTCCATTTTCGATAGGCATAGTATTTATTCATTTAAGCAATCTCCAGACGTTCTTTGTTACAAGTCATAAAATGCTTCTTCATTACGATGGCAACGAGAATAAAAATAGATGTTAAAAAGCCAGTTCCATTAGATGAATAGTACTTACTACGCGATCAGCTGACGTAATCAGAAAGAGAAGTTATTAAAATACTTCCACGTGAATCTACACTCATACATTACTCACTAATTAGCTCAAAATTAAACACAGTCCACAAATAAAGTGTCGTAAATGGAAATTTCAATTTAGGTGACAGTGTGGTGGTAAAAAGTCAGTCAACCGATAGCAACGTAGAACTTCGTACGTAAGTACATCAGTTCATGTTGCCATATCACATTAGCACAGAGATGTAATTGACAATACAAATTACATAGTAGTAGAGGTAGTAAAGATATTAGAAGTAGTCGGACAGGTTAGCATTAGAAGATATTATTCAAGAAGTAGGATCTAGTGAAACAGACTCAAAAAGATAAAGATAAGGTGACGAAGAATTAAAGGGTTTGGGGTTTAAGAGAACACAAAGAATGAATGCACCTGCGCCATTGCAAACGATTATGAGTCATGTCGTTCAAGGTCTCTAAACATCGATTACTAACATCTCGCGGACCCCAACCAGGGAGCCTACATCTACCAACATGATTCAGTCCACTTGTCAGTGACTTCATGGATATCTTTCATGTTTTGGTTTGGCCGCCCCTAACTTTCTTCCAACCTACTCCTACACTACAAAACATAGCTCGTCGAGGCAGTCGGTGGTTAGCCATACGTAACACATGTCCCAACCACCTCAACTGATGAAGTTAGATTACTCCATCTATTGACCTGCCATTCTTACCTAGCACCCGTTTACTAATAACAGCATTACTTACTCGGTTGTCCCACGATAATCGAGCAATGCTTCGGAGTCACCGATGATCGAAAACAAGTAACCTACGAATATCTTACACTGACTACCCACTATTCATAGCCATAAAGTTGGACGGAACGAAGTACTGCGCAGTACACTCATCCTTTGGTTAACAAACGGACATCTCGCCTGTACGATAAACGGCGTAAATTGGCAAAAGCCAATCGAGCCTTCTGTATCTGAGCTGATATTTCGTCAGTCACTAGGCCATCAGCACTGATGAGACTCTCCAGATACGTGAAGCTGTCTACACGTTCGACTGCTTCACTCCCTATCACTAGTTCAGATGCCGATGAAACCCAATCTTGAAGCAACATTTTGCATTTCGAGGGGGAAAACCACATCCCGAACATGCTTGCATTGTTGCTTAGGGTAGTCAGAACACTGCATTTTGTCAGCGTCTTCACCAAGTAGGACAATGTCATCGGCATATTCTAAATCGATAAGCAAGCCACCTGGTCAAACGTGTACTCCTGAAAATTCAGACGAGGTTAAGGTTATTTCTAGGAGCATGTCTATGATAAAATTAAACAAGAATGGAGAGAGTGGACATCCATGACGCACACCACTTGAAGTAAAGAATTCCGATGACAGTTCGTCATAAGCTCTCACCCGACCAGTAGTGTTCGAGTAGGGAGCTCGTATAAGGATAATCTACTTCTTTGGTACACCTTTCAATTACAGACACTGCCACAGAACCTCACGATCCACAGAGTCAAATGCCGCTTTTAGGTCCAGGAACACAACTATTGTAGGACGTCTAAATGTGTGTCTGTGTTCCAGGACCTGCCGTAGTGTGAAAATGTGGTCTATACATCCACGTCCAAGTCGAAAACCAGACTGGTTTTCTCTAGTCTGCTCTTCACGAGCACTAGTTAGGCGTCTAAGTATAACGGAGGCTAACAATTTATAAACTATATTAGTTAGACTGATTCCCCTGTGATTGTCACAAGAAGACTTTCGTCCTTTCTTATAAATTGGGACAATCAGTGATTGAGACCAGTCGGATAGGATTACGTCCAGTTCTCAAATTCTACCAAAGATATCAGTCAGTCTGGCTGCTAAACTGGACCACCATCCTTAAACATCTGAGGAGTTAGCCTATCAGGACCTGCAGCTCGCCCTCGCTTCAGATTTCATAACGCTTTCTCAACTTTATAAAGACTAGGAGGACTTAAATCGATTAGCCATTCAGGAATACTTGAGATCGTGGGCAAGCGAAGTGTGGCTCGAGGCCAGTTGAACTGATCCCTAAAGTGTTCTGCCCATCGGTCCAGCCTCCTAGATTGAGAATGGATAATAAGACCATCCTTTTCCGAGATAGTCTCACTTACACTAGGATTCCTGATACCAGTTTCCTTGATAAGTCGGAAAAGTTGTCTAGTGTTGCCAATCGCCGCTGCCTTTTCCATCGCTTTTGCTTTCGCCACCCACCACTGTTCACGGTCGTTGCGCAGGCTTTTTATCAGCCTGCGCTTAAGCTGATTCCGCTCCTCATTGCACTTAGAGCCGAGCGGGATGAGTTTTCGAGCATCCATCAGATTGGTAGATGCTACTGAGATCCACGCCTTCTTCCTAGATTTATGGTTTACCTTGCAAGAAGATATCACTGCCGATTCCACAGCCTTTTTGATTTCATTCAAACCTTCCTCCGGATGGGAATCGCTTACATGGTCGCCCAACTCTTTTTCTAGCTGTTCCTGAAATATATTCCTCAACTTATTATCATTAAGTAAAACCCTAAGAGGCTTCCTTACAGTGTCTTTCCTACGTCCAGTAAGCCTCAAACAAATACGCGCTTGCACTAAGACATGATCTGAATCTAAACATGTGCCCCAGAACGAGCGACAGTCCTCTATCGAACCTCTCCATCGGTGGCTGATGGCAATGTGATCTAGCTGGGTCCAGCGTTGAGACGACTTCGGGGGTCGCCAGGTCAAAAGTTGCTTTTCCTTATGCTCAAAGTTAGTGTTTGCTAGGAATAGGCGGTTATCTGAGCACAGTTGCAACAGACGGTCGCCATTATCTGTCCTCTGAGCCGCGACACCACAAGATCCATCCAGGTGTCTTTCATTTTCACTTAGTAAAGATGAGACATAATAGATAGAATCTTGAACGCAATCCCAATTCAAATGTAACATCTCATTCACAACTGCATGAAAATTCTTCGGTTCTAGTAGCAGAATATATTTAGCTAAGCCTGCAGCATATGCACCAGATTAGTCATCCAAAGTTCATTAAAACCAATGATAATCTCATTTAGAGGATAAAGGTATTCCAGGTGTTCATAGTATTATATATCACGTCATACGATAATCATTTATGCTACAGAGATGGAAATTCAAACTTATTTCTGATTGGGAACCAGGAAATAATGAAGGAGTTTCAGATTGTGTCAGTGGTGAGATTTAAAATTGTCGAAGCAGCATTTGTATCACAATGAACATCGAACAGCAAACAAATCTAAGACTCTGTAAAGTCAGTTTCAATGTAGAACTTAGTCGATGCCTACATAAGTTCAATTTACCATACAAAATTAGCGCAGAGAGGTTAAATTGAGGCTGTAGCAGTATATGTGGTAATGGAAAAGATTAAGGAATGAAGATATCATTCGAAATAATATAACCCAGAGAAGTAAATTTAAAGAGAAAAAGGTGATGAATTTAGATTAGAATTTTGGGGAAAGACAATGAATGAATGAATCTGTTCCATTGCAAACCATTTTGAGCCATGTCATCCAAAATCTCTAACCCCCGGGGACGATTGTCTCACAGATCCCAATCAGTATTCTACACCTACTAACACGACTCAGTTCAGGTATCAATGACTTCATGGATATGTCGTATTCTAGTTTAGCCGCCCCTAGATTTCTTCCAGCCTACTCCTACATCCGACAGCATAACCTGTCGAGGTAGTCAATGGTTGGACATAACACATATCCTAACCACCTTAGTTGACGAAGATTCCTCATTTCATCAACCGATTAGCCATCCACATATGTTACCCTATTCTTAACCCAAGAAATGCTTTGAAAACACGAGCGAAAGAATACTAATAGCCAGTCAGTCATTCACAACATAAAACTTTGAACGCAAGTACATCAGCTTAAGTTGCCATAACACATTAGCACAGAGACTCAACTGACAATTCAAATCCCATAGTAGTAGAGGTAGTAAAAGTATTCGCAGTAAGCGGAGAGATAAGAGTTCGAAGATATTATTCAAGAAGTACAATCAAGTGAAATAAACTCAAAAAGAGAAAGATAAAGGTGATGAAGAATCCAAAGGATTAGGATTTGCAAACGGTTTTGAGCCATGTTACTCAAAGTCTCTAACCATCGGTTACTATCATCTCGTAGACTCCAACCAGGTAGTCTACACTTACCAACATGGCTCAGTCCACTTGTCAGTGACCTCAAGGATTTGTGCTATGTTTCGGTTTGGCCGCCCTTAGCTTCGAAGATACAGATTGGCGGAATAACGGCCTAAAGGAAATTACAGAGTACACCCGCTCCGTTACGAGGTTTCCAGATGTATTTCTCAAAGCGACGGCAGTTAGTTACGATAACTAGAAAGACCTAAGCTAGGAGCCTGGTTTTCTCGAGTCTGCTTTCGCAAGCTTTGGTTGGGTGTCGATGTCCTGCATATCAATCGTTCGTGGAAGTAATGAAATGAAATATGAATATCATCGAAAATTCTGTTCATTAACAAAACAAAATCTTTTCCACTATTACAAAAATAATATATTGCACAAGACTTCCTAATATTTGAAAAACAAAGTAGTTACAACCATAAAAACCAAAATGAATCAACCAGTGATGAATAAAAACTAACCTTCAATATATTTATTATATTTCGAATACATTTATCTGCTTTAGAAACATCTTTTAAAGTTGAGGCGTAGTCTCGATCTTCCCAAGGATTGAAGGAAAATCGAGGTACTATCTTTATATCGGGATTCACAGTACGAATCTCACTAATCCAGGCTGAGAAAATAAAGTAATCCAATAAAGTAACCAATCAAACCAGTGTCAATTTCAGGGATGCCAGTAACTGTATATGCTTTTCTTTCACCTTGGACTTCGAACCATACAGGGGCAATCATGTTGAATTTTGTGCCGAATATCTTTGCCACTTCATATCCTAATTTATTCCACTGTATATGTATGTTGATACGGAATAAAGTTACTTACAGGTGTTACATAAACTAGAACGGTTGCGTTCAAATTCTTTTGAGACGTGGTATATTTATTATATGACGAGTGTGATTTCAGAAACCGATCAATTTCAATGTTTTCCGTAGGGACAGCATACGCCTAAGAGGTGTTAGTTAATTAATGCATAATTACAATTTCATCATATTCTTCAAGAGAAGCCGAAGTAGTATGCAGTAGTGTTAGCAAAATCACTTCAACAGTACACAATATAAATCCCAATGAGGCATATGATTTTAACATGTTTCTCTATAATGATAAAAAATAAAACAAGATGAAAAGACTCGAGAATGAAGTGACTAGATAACTTGACAGAATTACTCACGTGGACAGAATCTGTTTGAAATATTTAAATAAAATTACTTCAAATTAATGGATTGGATATTTCGTGTATATTAAGGGCGGTTTTTATTACAGAAGGAAACGGTGCACGGTTTGACATAAGCAAACATCGGTTTTTCTTGTCACATTTCACATAAGCACAGGAAGGAAAAAACGAAGTAAAAGCGATGGAATGGAAGTGCGGAATAACACTACCTCTAAAGAGTAGAGTAAGATATTATTGATTGTAAACAAACTAGCGTGTGAAAAGAATTAAGAATCTCTTGTTAATAAAATAAACTCCTAATCTTGGCTTCTTGAAGGGAATTAATCGCGTTATCCTGAGCTTCAATGATATGTCAAACTGAACTGAGACGTCCGGCGGATAACAAGAGCTGGGACTTGGATGTGATAGCTGTAAACGACAAATTACAGCAAGCAGAGTGAGAAACCTATCCTTAATCGAACATAAATCTTCGCTGGAATTCTTACCGAAAATTATTTTATGCGTCACCACTCAGTCTAACCCACAAGCTGTCTTTAATATAATCAAGCAACCTAAGGTAATACCTAGTCACAGCCTTACACTATTTAAGTTATAAAGATACTAAGAACCAGTAAAGACCAGATCAACTTTATGTGGTAGTGAAGAAGTTGAATGCGTCCATCGTACCATTTATCTTGGCAATCCCATTAGGCCTAAGTGGTTGATATGTAATAACATTTTGGTACGGATTCAAAAGAGCATAACTGGCATTTGTTAATTAGAATTACTTATGACATAAGCGGTGTTTCTCTTTTTACAAAAGGGAGCGTAGTTTGCGCAATGGTTTTCTCTGCTCTACTATGTGGCTGTGAAAATTGGTCTATGGAGGCAGAAAACATGTTAATTCATGAACTTGTAGCTACTGGCATGCTGTTGCAAAGTAAAAACTCACAAACGAATCGAAAACAAAATTAAGATTGTCACTGAATAACGATATTTACTGATTAGGAGACGTGTGATATCAAAATGATATCACGCGCACAGCCAGACGATGGAATACTCGGGAAATATAAATTCGAACACCGGAATGGGACGGTTGGCACTTGAGTTATTGCTTTTAGAGCAGATAAACAAAAAATGTACAATAAAACAGTTATTGTTATAAGTGTTCAGTAATAAGTATTTGTATGTCAGAAATTATGTTTTCTTCGTAAAAAGGTTCCACTACAAACTGAAGTATACAAGGTATTAGGAGGTGTGCAGTGAAAATGAGATATTTTGCAAAGAACTACTGTAAAAATAATTTTCTAAAGTAATTACGTAAGCGAAAAGACTGTATTCCGGTCAACGTATTGAAGATATTAGGAAGAAACTTGAGGAAGGCTGATGAAAGTCAAAACCAGTAAAAAGTCTTGCCTTTTTGTAGAATTTGTGTGATTCCCCCAAATGTGCACAAAGTCAGACTGATTTGTATTCGGTTAGGGTTCAACTCCATCCACTTATTCTCGAGTGATACGTTACCTCCGAGGATCTAGAAATACTTTTATTTGGCAATATTTTTTTTCACGAACTAGTATAAACCATTAATTTCATTTGCGCTCGATTCTTGTTCTTTCAGTACGGTTCATGGTGTTTGGTGATCTCCAATGAATGGAGGTCTAGCCACTCGATTGTCTAATTCTTGTCAGTTGGCAGTTAATTGTGAGTTTGTATGTCTCGGGATTTGAATGAAAACGTTTGTTTCAGGGCAGTAGGGTTTCTGGATACCAGCAGCCATCACATTACCAGACCGAAGATAAGCTACTTGCAATTTGGAGAATAATAAGCATAATAAGGATAGAATTCTAATGCTAACATGAACAAAATTTCACAGCTAGGTGATATATAGATGAAATTAGTTTCTTAATTGGTAATGAATATTGTGGCGATAACTTCAACCTACCCATGTCCGTGTGGCAGAACATTTTGTTTGCTTACGGCTCCTTACGACATAGCAGGATGTAAATAGTCAGTGATATTGATGTTACTTTTCCTTGTTAACCTCGACTACGACTCATGTCCGTAACCTTGCACTGGTTTTAACTTCCTACCATGCAATCCTATTACAAGCACATCTGGACAACTATACAGAAAAAGAGGTCATTCATAACTTCTTGAGCCATAGACTTAAAAAGAAGAAGAATAAATAAAATAACACAAAAGCATAAGATCACTGAGCCTCACTATTATTTTCCGTAAATCAACATTGTTGCTAACAATTTGGCTATTCTAAATTTCCTCTATTCATACGATTAAATGTCCATTCGTTATCTTACTACAGAAATGTCTTCGTTAACCTACATAAATGCAGGTGTACAGTTAGTGTTCTAATGAAAAAAACGTCTGAGTAAACATACCTTTGTTTTATCCAGAAACGTATGTGGTGAGTCATCGTTCGTCTTTGAACAAGGATATTTTATATTCTGCTCCTCGCCCCGTCCTCTTTATTTCTCTTTTTCAGCACCTTATTCCAATAATTATATATTAGTGTGGATATTTGCAGAAGGCTTGGTTACCTTCTACAGGGGCCTGTAAATTTATCAACCAGTTCTTGGCATATTTACCTCATCAATTTTTGTTATATGCAGACCTGGCTCCACCTTGAATTGTTTCGCAGTTAATATCAGTTCGTCGTAACGCAACCATCGTAACTCGCTCCAATTATTCGCGCTGTACATTGTAGAGTCTGCAAAATTATTGATAATTTTAGCCGTCTAAATAGAGCAAATGTATCTTGTGAAATATTTTAGTAATTGTATACCGTTTCAAACAAATATGATGCCGATGTTAACATTTTGATCTTGCCTGTAAATTGGCCTTCCTCTTGTAACATGTTTGTTATTTGAGCTTATATTATTATCATCAACCGTCTCAGTCCTGTTTGTAGATTCTTGTAACGTTATTTCGAAAACCAAATTTTCTTACTCTTGCATTACATCTATTATCATTTTTGCATGCATTTCTTGGTTGAATTCACTTTGCGCTATCACCCATCAGATAAGGATTTTTCCATTCTATAAAACAAGGGTCTTAAACCTCACTTTCTCAGTAGTGTTTCCCCGTAGAAATTATTCACCACTTTGGCATTTTCCTAGACAAATCCTACAATAAAGCTTAACTCGCTTATCGTTAGCCGCCAGCTATTTAACTCCTGAGACGATGGGGCATATTCAAGATGCTTCCTTATTCTATGTGGTTAGGAGAGAATTTTCCCTCCATGAAGCGGTGTAATAATGAGGACTATGTAGGACACCTTTACAAAGTGATCTCCACTGTTTTTGTTATGGTCGTCTTGGTGTTAGTGTTGACTCTGAACACTGAATATAATATAAATGAAGATTTTGTAGTGCCTCCACATATATTCCAGTTCGCTTGGATTTAATTTGATTAAGCCCTTTCGATTAATTTATTCGACCGAGCCATTTACGTAGCAACAATTTTTATTTGCCATTCGTTCTTATTATTGTCTGGTTTGTATGAGTTCACATGACGTGTCATTTGACCTTGTTAATCATTCATCGCTTTTATTCGTGTGTGCCTATTTGGCTTGATGCATGTCTGTCTTATATTTGTCTGACTATGTAGTCATGCTCTGTCTCTAGGAGTTGGCTCATTAGCCTTCTCCAATTCACGTCGTTTCGTACGCTCTGTTCGCTGCTTTTCAACTTCCCTTTGTGGTGTGTCCCAAAATAAACGTATTCATTACTTCGAATTCGTCTTCTGATTTATAACCGTCATACGCTACTTTGTAACGATTGTCTAGACGAGCTAATTACGAAGATTAAGAACACGTCGAAATTAGCCACATCAATTTAGATACACTTTCTTAAACATGGAGTCACTGATTCATGAGCCCAAGTTCTCCATTATCACAACCCGAATTTACGTCGGATCCTACTGAAATGTCCATTTATACATGTATTTATAAGCTGCTTCCAATAGCTTTACGTTATCAGTCGAGGGGACTGTTTTGTAAGATACCTCTTTATGAAGACTAATGCTTGCTTCTGAACATCACCAAAAGATTCACAACCGTGTCATAACGCATAATTTAGCCAAACATTTATTTGCTTTCGGTGTATTCATACTGAAAACTGTAGATGGATTTTCTACCGTAGCAGTTCAATTTTTTTCCAGTAGGTGTAAGTCGAACGCACCCCTCTCCTAGTCCAATATCAGAACACAATAATTCTAGGAGAAAGTGGTCTATTTATATAAAAAAAATGGAAATACAAACAAATACCTGACTTTTGATACACCTTCCAAGTCCCAATTACCCTGATGGGTATCAAAATCCAAAAGAATAAGTGATGCTAGATCCAACCGCAACCGTATCAAATCCAAATATGGCTGTAGCCATATTAAAGATCAAATTTAAACAACATGTGTACAGTTCAGAAGCAAACATAAAAACTTCAATATAAGTACAAAATATAGAAATAATAACAATATACAATGATAAAATCTCAAAATGGAATCAAATAGAGTACCAAAATGTCAACAGAAAGAGTCAGTCATATCATAACACAAATATATAAACATGGAGGGATTTTCCAAAAAACAAAACATTCAAAAATATTCTACATAAACCATTCCTGAATGGTAAATAAATACTTATTAACTTAATCTTGGCTATAGGACAAACTTGAATAACTCATAAGATGACCTTTAGAGTGCCGAAATATAGAATACATCAAATCAATACTAAAGATGTGCAAACTGTACAGACGTTTTTATACCATTATATTCATGATCAAAGAGGAGAGCGAAAGAAGAGTGATCGTACTGTCGCCAAACTAGTCTTCTGTGAAGACGCAACCTAGTATTTTCTCATCTGGGACTGCTTCTTTGTAGAAAATACATGCGAGTGCTTCCAGAAACGGAACCTTCCTCAGGTCTGTAGAACGAAAACATTGTTTTCGCATGTAGTTTCTTCAATCCCCTGACCAGAATGCCTCTATGTTTAGTTTGAGACAGTCCAATTTCTTATTTATTGCATGTATTTACATATATTCAGTCATCGTTTATTTTATTTCTGTCAAAGAAACTTGTCTCAGCATCAGGAGTTTCACAGGGGGCCAATTAAAGGACGACTTCTCTTCCTGATATTCAATTACGACCTGTGAGACAAAGTTAGTTCGGCGGCATTGATCTACCAAATATTAAACCAAATTACCGATTTATTTACTCAGTTCTGAAATCTTCTTATTTGCATGAGGATTTTCTCTTTATTATTCAGCACATTGTAACTAACTGACCTACCGCCTGGTAACATGATAGCTGCTTGTATCCAGATATGCCACTGCCCTGAAACAAACGTAATTATGCAAATCACGGGACATACAAACTCACAAACAACTGCCAGCTGACTCTAATTAGTGCGATCGAGTGGCCTGACCCCCTATCAACTGGACACTATCAAACACTTGGAACGGTACTGAAGTTATAAGCGCAAAGAAATCAACTGGTTTAAACTAGCTCGTGAAAAATATAATGGATATTAAATATTGTTGGAATAGCTTGTGTTGAGGCTCCCGTATAACAGTGAATGACGCGAATAGTAATGACAGTAATTAATAAAAAAGGATCCCTATAGGTTTTATGCATTCATCTCTTTGGTCGAAAGCAACTATCTGGTAATGTCCACGAAAATTATTACGATCTTCATGATTGTAGAATGTCAGCAAAATCTTTCACCATACGTAGTTAACTGGAACGAAAAGTAGACTAATATTGGTAAATCTTCAAACCATTTTGATTGCTAATATTTTTTTTAACGAACCATTACTTCATTAACTTTGTATGATGGTTAATGAGGGCGGTCTAATCGCTTGTTAGTTTTTCGTGTGTGAGATAGACCAATGGCTGACAAAAGGCCAAATGAGTGGGTACAGCTTTTACTTTCAAGATTTGACTCCCAGGTGAGCAAATTAGTTTTCATTTACAAAACGAGAGTTCCATAAGTCTTTTAATCTCTGAGTCATATTGAAAGTAATTTCACGTGCATGACACCATGCCTAGCAAAAACAAACGAAAAATGAATACCAGAGGAAACTAGAATAATTAAAAAGAAAAGGTTGTATTTTTTTGGAAAACATTTTTCTTTACTGGCATAATTTATGGGAAAAGTGGTCTTAAAAATATCGCTTATATCCTCTCAAAGTCCGATTTTATTCTCTCTTTGTTGTTTGACTATCATACACGAACGTATAGAAAGTGTACATTAATGGTTTTCTTGCAGCCTAGTTAATCTCACTGTAGACAAAATATCTCATAAACACCTTGAATTGAATATACTAAACGTGTTTTATATTATGTCACTTGTTTATTGTAAGCCAGTTAAATTATAATATGCTTTCCATCTTTCATCGACAAAGTATGTAGGTGAAAGGCAGAATAAGCACTAAAGTTGTCGGTCCTCGCGGTTATTTCATAGGCAACTCAAAGTGCAGTGTTTTCTTATATGAACGTTCGAATTCATCCAGTCATGAAGACATTCCTAGCACCCAAAATAAAATATGGTCATTATGAAGCGGCATATAACTGTATTTGGGTCCTCAGCATAAACACTATATCGTGCGTCTATTCCGAGGTCATTTTTATCATTTCCCAAATTTCAAGTGTCATATTGCTTCACTCTTAAAAAGTTCAACCTGACTTCGGTGTTTAGAGTCTTTGGATAATTTTGAGAACTGATGTATTCTTTTGTTATATAAGATATTGTTGTATTCTCACATTTTTATTTAATACCACCCCAATATTTCTTGGGTAAACTAATTGTTACAAGCAGAAGCATTCAATTCGTGTTGTTGAGAATCATAGACATTAATTCATATCAGTGACTATAGCCGATGTTTTATCTAATATTCAGTGATAAAAATCACTGCTGCTGATTATCTTTCCACCATATTTGACACAAATAGTTGGACTTGTCAACATTTCCGGACAATTTAAGGAGCCAGTCTAGGTTTTCTGAAGTTTCCAAGTTTTCTTGCAACTTATTGGTGTTTTCATGTGGTGAACTTCAAATTACACTTATAACGCATAAACCGGATATACAGTAGTCCGACATGTAACTCTTTGTCTGAAAATTGAGCACTTAAACCATTAAGTAACAGTTTGGGGACAACATATAGTTTGTGAATAGACAAGGATTTCGTTTATTTCTTCGCGAACTTTGTGTTAGCTAACGCTAAAACCCTTTCTTACTGATTCATCGATTGGGTTAACTAACAAAAACGCTAGACATCTACGATTTTGTATGACACTGGCTCTGTATTTGCTCAATTTATTACATTATTGGTTAATAGATTATTCAACCACATTTTATGTTGATCATTAGTCAACACACGATTAAAATGAATCCAAGTTATGATTTAAAAAACTCATAGAATGGATTTGTGTAAGTAATCTAGTGTTCAGCGTCATAATGAATTCCCATACTGCCTGATTTTTCAACCACTGTAGATTTTACGGCATCGTTCTTCATCATTTTTTTGCTGAAAACTACTAATGCTATGCTATTGCAAATTAACAATCCTAAACCAAAACCAATGGCTTTATATTATATTACAGTGCACGTCTAGCGAATTTCAGTTTTAAACAGTCCTTTGGCTAATTTTAATCTGTGAAGACAACTATGAATACGTTTTTTTAATTTTTTTTCAAGCTTCCTATACGTACTGGGATACATACTGCTCAGTCTACACAAAATATGGAAAGAAATAAAGAGTGTTTAGTAAATGTGAGCAGGTATAAATTTTCACTAGTTATTTCTGGACTAACAAAAATGCTACAGAATATTGACAGTATGGTAAGTTCATATTCCGCTCAATTCAGTTTACATTGCTATTCATTATTAAAACAGCAAGTGTATGGACCAGATGCAGAAAGAAATTTTTGCGACTCACTTTTAATTGTATTAGAAACACTGGAGAGATGTCTTACATGTGTATGTTTATAAGTATAAACTAAATCATTATTTTGTGCAGCAACCTCATGATACATCGCGACTAGATGAGACTATTCTGGTCAAAAATTTACTTCAAGAGTTATTCAGAGTTCGAAATCTTGTGTTAAATGTAAATTGATTTATAACTTTAATTTAAATTAGTTTATGAATCTAACTAGTGAAAATGGAAAGATGTACAATCAGCTTCTGCTACTGGTATCACAAGTTCTGTACGCCTTAAGTACACAATACTTCAACGCTGTATTCAATCGAATACCTAACTGGTAGGTACACTGTCAAGATTTATCTTTCATATGTTTTTTCAACTTGAATAAAGCAAGAATGATAGCAACAATATAATTACTAACATCCATCTGGAATGTTTTGTTTGTAAACTGAGAATTACATCCTACTGTATTGTGTTCAAAACTGCTTTTTTATTAGTCAAGTCGCAAACGTGTAAGCTGTGACATTCAGGCTGTGCGCTTTTAATTATTCAGTCATTCAAATGTTTATTATAACTTTGCAGGCTTTCATTTGTGTTGAATAGTGTCACCAAGGCTCCGTAGATTACACATACCAAACCAGCTTCTTAGTATATCAAAAATACTTTTGTGAATTAGATAATGGTACAATAAAATTTCTGTGTTCATACCCTGTACTCTCAAAATTAAGCAGCAGAAAATCGAAAAACTCAGTATATAAGATGTTTTCAACTGCAAGTTGACGTGGTGTATTATGCTGATGAAGTAGGATAGTCTATCTGCTCGATTTCATTAATGTAGCTAGCAACAAGATGCTAATAACAAACAGTGATTTATATGCAAGTTATCATATTCTTGATCATCTGTTTGTGTTGAATCTATGTTCACCTTTTTATTCTTTCCTTCATATTATGAAATAGTCTCGCTTTAGCTGCACAAGATGAATCAAATGTTGATCAAGCCAACGAACTGGAGTTAATTCAACACTTGAATTTAGATATGCGTAAATTATCACGCCTCATACTTGGTAAGTTGCTATTTCTGGAATATAATCTGCCTTATTCACAATACAAAGAAATATGTAATCGTTTCAGATCTTTGAAAAAGTCCACTTGGTTACATCTTGCTGTTTACTTGGAGCGAGTGAGTCAAATTATCAGTTTTTTCATCAACGTGTTAAATACAGAAAATACTTTGAGAAATATAAATTCCAAGGATACACAGAATAGACATTATATTGCAATCAAGTTTATACATTTAATCTTGTGTCAATAAACAAACGCTTCTAATTTTGACTTAGTCTCCCCTCCACAACGAATCGATAATAAATGATGGATTATCATTTCTATTTGCAGTTTGCGGTTAAATTTTCTTCTCCAGAACTTAAATATGTCAATGAGTTTTTATTTTCGACAATTTCTCTAAAAAATTAGGCCATGAAATTCTTACGGATGTAATGAAAAATAAGATAGCGTATTGTGTCGGTAATTGGGTTTCGACAAATATCTCTACTGAATTTAGGTTGGGCGTTCCGATGATGTTGACGATAGGCAACAGTAGACAACTTTTCCGACTTATCAAGGAAACTGGTATCAGGAATCCTAGTGTAAGTGAGACTATCTAGGAAAAGGATGGGACTATTATTTATTCTCAATCCAGGAGACTAGATCGATGTGCAGAACACTTTAGGGATCAGTTCAACTGGCCTTGAGCCACACTTCGGTTGCCCACGATCTCCAGTCATCCTGAATGGCAAATCGACGTAAGTCCCCCTAGGCTTTACGAAGTTGAGAAAGCGTTAGGAAATCTGAAGCAAGGACGAGCTGCAGGTCCTGATAGGCTAACTCCTGAGATTTTTAAGGATGATGGTCCAGCTTTAGCAGCTAGGTTGACCGAGATCTCAAGTAGAATTTGAGAACTAGACGTAATCCTATCCGACTGGTCTCAATCACTGATTGTCCCAATTTATAAGAAAGGACGAAAGTCTTCTTGTGACAATCACAGGGGAATCAGTCTAACTAATATAGTTTATAAATTGTTAGCCTCCATTATACTTAGACGCCTAACTAGTGCTCGTGAAGAGCAGACTAGAGAAAACCAGTCTGGTTTTCGACCTGGACGTGGATGTATAGACCACATTTTCACACTACGGCAGGTCCTGGAACACAGACACACATTTAGACGTCCTACAATAGTTGTGTTCCTGGACCTAAAAGCGGCATTTGACTCTGTGGATCGTGAGGTTCTGTGGCAGTGTCTGTAATTGAAAGGTGTACCAAAGAAGTAGATTATCCTTATACGAGCTCCCTACTCGAACACTACTGGTCGGGTGAGAGCTTATGACGAACTGTCATCGGAATTCTTTACTTCAAGTGGTGTGCGTCATGGATGTCCACTCTCTCCATTCTTGTTTAATTTTATCATAGACATGCTCCTAGAAATAACCTTAACCTCGTCTGAATTTTCAGGAGTACACGTTTGACCAGGTGGCTTGCTTATCGATTTAGAATATGCCGATGACATTGTCCTACTTGGTGAAGACGCTGACAAAATGCAGTGTTCTGACTACCCTAAGCAACAATGCAAGCATGTTCGGGATGTGGTTTTCCCCCTCGAAATGCAAAATGTTGCTTCAAGATTGGGTTTCATCGGCATCTGAACTAGTGATAGGGAGTGAAGCAGTCGAACGTGTAGACAGCTTCACGTATCTGGAGAGTCTCATCAGTGCTGATGGCCTAGTGACTGACGAAATATCAGCTCAGATACAGAAGGCTCGATTGGCTTTTGCCAATTTACGCCGTTTATCGTACAGGCGAGATGTCCGTTTGTTAACCAAAGGATGAGTGTACTGTGCAGCAGTTCGCTCCGTCCTACTGTACGGATGCGAGACATGGCCGTTAAGAGTAGAGGACTTCTGTAGGTTACTAGTCTTCGATCCTCGAAGTTTCCGAAACATTGCTCGATTATCGCGGGACAACCGAGTAAGCAATGCTGTTATTAGTAAACGGGTGCTAGGTAAGAATGGCAGGTCAATAGATGGAGTAATCTAACTTCATCAGTTGAGGTGGTTGAGACATGTGTTACGTATGGCTAACCACCGACTGCCTCGACGAGCTATGTTTTGTAGTGTAGGAGTAGGTTGGAAGAAAGTTAGGGGCGGTCAAACCAAAACATGACAGATATCCATGAAGTCACTGACAAGTGGACTGAATCATGTTGGTAGATGTAGGCTCCCTGGTTGGGGTCCGCGAGATGTTAGTAATTGATGTTTAGAGACCTTGAGTGACATGGCTCAGAATCATTTGCAATGGCGCAGGTGCATCAACTCTTTGTGTTCTATGAAATTCTAAGCTTCGGCATTCCTCATAGTCTCTACCTTTCTCCTCCTAAATTCATCTCACTGAATTATATTTCTCGAATCATATCTTCGCTCCATTACTGCTAATACTTTTATTATTGCTATCACTCATGGATTTGAACTGAGAGTTGCGTCTCTGTGCTGATGGGGCATGGCAACCTGAACTGATGTACTTACGTACGAAGTTCTGCGTTGTATCTATCTGTCTGATGCGATGATAAGAAACCTCATAGAAGATTAATGGTTTTCACATTCAACAGTCCGACAAAAATGGTACTCAAACTACTGAAGTCCTAATATATGAACAAACGTTTTGTGTAAAAAGAGTAAGACCGAAAGGTAAACTATGTTCTAGTCATAAATCTTATGTAGTAAAATCACATTAACAGTTACAGAGATTTGTAAAGATTTTTCCTCGTTGTTAGAACAGCTCACTACTGAACTCTAAGTTATGAGTTTTAACTCTGCTTTACCTATCACTGTTCGAAAATCTGAGTGACATCATTATCCTTACAAAATCCAGCAGCTAAATCCCAAATGCATAAAACCATACTGAGTTAATGAGTCTGCAAAAAGAGAAGTAAAGAAATTTAGGATCTCATGTTAAAAGGCTAGTGGTTTACTTTATAGAATGTCGAGTTGCGGTTGACTATGATCACCGCTACAGGCCAATCACGTTCCCGTTACCACTTAAAATCCCTCCGTAAAACCGAAATCAAGGAGAGGGTTGGATGTAGGAATGAATATATATTTGTTGGCGATCTCGGGTATCAAAATAATACCGAGATCGTACCTCAGACTACAACGAGCGCGATGAAGGCCACAGTAGCGGAAAGTGGGTCATACCAGTTCAGTCAAACAGAGAGTATGGTAAAACAATCACGGGTACAATAAATGTTTCTATTAAACCAATCGCGCTCACTTCATAAAAGTGGAGTCACTACAACTTCTCATTACACGTATCCACTACAGTTTTCATTCGCTCAGAATCCGTTTGTCTAAAACAGACACTGCTTGTTTTTCAACAGTGATCTTGCTTATAGTTAAGAGTTGGAATCATTCGGAGTATTTACTTATATTAAATGAGAGGAGAGAAAGTAGTTTCATAATATTTTTGCAATATTTTATCAGAAAGAATATATATTGTATAGGAAACTACTAAAACTGCATACAAGATAAAATCGATAATTAAAATATTCTAAGTTTTACTACTGTAAACTATTTTTTAGTAGTTCACCTCTCTCAAGCAAATTCCGCATTAACAAATTCGTTGCTCCACAAACATAATCCTATAGCCCTGTTAATCAAGAGCATAACTGATCCCGTAGATGAATCAGACGTTAATATGTTTCTTTCTCTTCATCCGCGTCTTCAACTTTATCTGTCATGGAAAGCCTTCGCACGGGACATAATCAACTTCTCTAAGGGTTCTGTAAGTTATTGAATGGAACACTTACAGAACCTCTGTTTGACCAATACCAAACGTTGTAAATTATGTCTTCCAAGTACCCTGTTCATTTTAAAAAGGTAGTAAATCATTAAAATTCAAACAACCATATGGAACGCACTTAAAATCCGACTAATGAAACCATAATTTTGGAAACCTAGAACAATGGCTTCATTTATTAACAGTGAATGTCCATTTTTTTCACGCCACCATATCGATGACTTAAAACAATCATTGAGCTATAAAAGTATTAACGGACAATGCGTTTCATTCCCATAGTGAACGCTTCATTTATTCTTCGACAAATCCTCGAATAAACTTTAAGGATGATATAAATTTAGGGTCAATTTTCGGATTCTTTTTATCTATATTAATTAAAATGTTACCTCTCTGTATGATTGCAAAGGCTATTTGGAACTGGTTAGAAAATTATCCTCAAGAGTTCGATGAACTGCAAAAGAAGCCCAATGATGAACTAGCTGGTAAGTTCTATAATTTAATAAAACTGCGAATATAAAAATGCATTGAATAACACCAGTTGTTTGAAATTAATCTGTGTAACAAGGCAAGTTAACTAATAATAATCGTGAAAATATTCCTAAAACTGAATTGCCTCCCATTTAGTAGCCACATCTGTTTTCTTTACTTTGGAAGTCTTTCTTTTATTTACTGTCCATCCATCTGTTAATTTTCTAATGGTACCCAGTGGCCTATTACTAATTCTCAGGGATAAGTCAATGTCTATGGATACAATTTGATACTTATTCAGTTTACGCAGTGTGCTAAACATGCTACCATCCGTTATTCAGTCTTGATAAAGCATACTGAATTCTTATATATATAATATTACGATTATTTTCAATAATAAGATCATCAAATTAAATAACACCTGGCTAATTCAGTAAGTTTAAATACAACCACTAACTGCATTGTTAACGCAGCAGTTTTTACAGTTGATAGTTGGTGCTAGAATTGTCTGCTAGACTAGATGCAGTATTCAATGGAGCTTTAGTAATACAATTGAGAACTATGTATTTACGACAAATTTAGAGATCAGTTTTGGATATAAATAAACAAAATCCATTTTCTTATATGACTCAAATACAGGAAAAATGCATCTGAGTTTTCGAGAGCCATTGAAGAAGTCTACAGAATTTTTCCTTGCGGCCAAACTTTATATTTATTCATTTTAAAAGCATATAATTTCGATTATTGACACTCTTCGCAGCTTCAATGACTAATAAGTAGTAGCTTATTAAATGAATTGAATATTTTAATAGATAGTTTACATGGATAGAACGGAAACATGAAGATAAACATCAGACAGTTTGGAAGTATGATCATTCTAGTACCATGCTTGATGTCATTGCTATTCTTTTCCTGAAGTAACGGCTTAAAAAATGTATAAGCATCTGCAAGAAAGCAAATAATATTTACTTATTATTAATTCATATGGAAAATCAAGCCAATGTAAAACTCGCACTGTCGATTAACTGTCAGTGGATAGTCAACGAAACTACCCTAGACATTTTTTTGATTTTAACATAGCTGTAAAGCAAATTAAATAATCAGAACAAAACGACTGAAACTTTCAGTGAATTTTGATATGCTAACATTATAGTGGCAATCATAGGATCCTTCTTTATGCTCGCTTTCATCCAATTTCTGAAGGAAAAAACGTGTATATATAAATATATATATCAGTTCAAAATTGTTTTACCATAATTAGCTACCATGTTCATTTAGTGGTTGTTGTTGGCGTTGTTTGATAGTTGATATTATTAACACCATTACATATATATTTTCTTTACAAACAGACTGTTGTGAACGTCTGTTTGATTTGTTTACTTCACTTTGCGCTGAAAGTGGACGAAAGAAAATTCTTGTTTGGCCTCTACAAATGATGCTTTTGGTACTTTGTCCAAAAGTTCTTGAAGAAATTAATAACGCTGAAAACGGAGCACCTCTATCACCAGAGCATCAGAAAAAGAAACAATTTATGGATGAAGTAAGTAATGGAAGCTGATTTTCATCTTATAAATTTATGTCGACTGTAAAACAAATATCACTCTTAAGAATTATGTATTACGGTGTTTAAACCTGTAAATTTCAAATTGTATATTCTTAAAAATATCTTGTTTAAGTAGTAGATAGTTGCATGAAGTGAATACACAATCTGCCCACTCTTATGAATGATAAAAAGGCAAACATCTGTTAGATCCCCATAATGTTGCTGGTCCTTCCAATCCTAATTATTTGTATTGTTTGAAATGAAGTCGATTAGTTTAAACCAAATAACAACAATTATTTCGCTGATGAATAACTTTGAGAAATATTCTCAAAATTTTGGTATTCATCAGAGTTCAGTCAGATCGAGTATGAGATATGTTTTTACACATTTGAAATCATCAATCAATCATTGTTAGACCACCATTAGAAACCCGGAAGCACTGGACTGCCGTTTTGTCCTGGTATGGGACTCATCAGCAGTGCACATCCACGACTCCTACATCTCACAGGGTTCGAACCCGGGACCTTCGGCATTGTGCGCGAATGCCTTACCTTTTGAACCACTGGGCCGGCTTCCAGGTTTCTAATGGTGGTTTAACAATGATTGATGGATGATTTCAAATTTATGAAAACACTAATCTCCATAACTCTAATTGAAAATATGAGGTATGCATTACTAATGAGGATAGATGATGGTCGACACAATATCACGAATTATCTAAAGTCGGAAATGTGAACTCGGCGATCGAAGGGCTTGCTTTTAAACTTAAAAGTTTCAAGTTTGATAATGGATACGTGAACTACAATAATTCTTCTGTCTAATGGTTCTTAATTTTCAAAGACTGTCTAGTTAAATTTCATCTATTATTTGTGATGGAGTTTCGTTCTCTGAGCTGGATGTTTTGGTTATGGAGCTTTCAGTGTTCTGCTGAACAACAACATCAACACAAACTTCAGATAGAAGTGAAGTATTCGAATTCCCCCACTTTTGACTCGGCTTGTTCTGTCGACCTCCATCATGATTGGTTGTCATTGACCTTAAACCCGTCGTTGTTTGCACCTTTATTTTGATTGTCTTCCCCTTTGTTCTCTTTCTTGATCCTATGTTTGCCTATAATTTTTCTGATTGGTTCATAAATTGGGTCAATGTAGATATGTTTGTTGATTGCTGACTGACCTGATTGCCCATATCCAGCATTTCGACATTGATCCAATCGAACGTATGTCCGTAATTGTCCGTATGTTTTGATATAAGGGAAGAGGCCGTCCACTTTGTCCTATGTAGTGTCTTTCACAGTCTGAGCAATTTATTTTGTAGATGATATTTAGTTTTTATTCCTTTGTCATTTTGTCCTTTGGTCTGCATAGGACTGGTTGAAGTGATTCTGTTGGTTTGTGTACCTCATCTATTCCAAATGGTCTCGGTAATCGTGCTGTAATTTCTGATGTCTTTTATGTATTGTAGGACGATCCGTTTGTTGGTGTCCCACCATATCAAAATTTGATATTTATACAATTTTCAAATTTCATTCTATTCTGTTTTTTAATTCACTGTCACATGAAAAGAATTGAGATTGTGTTTGTCGTTTGATTATGAACACACTTTCATCCTTTTAACTTTTTTAAATTAGTTTTAGAGCTCGGGGATATTCATAAAATCGAAAGTTGTACAAGGGTTCATCGGGTTTATAGTAATTGCATCATTATTATGAGTAGTCTATAAATCGGACTGGTGCAATCCTAAACCCTGAAATAACTATTTAATTAGGTCTTTCAGTAACACTTAGTACTTTTTAAATCACAACATTTAATAAATACTAAAATTGGTGAAACCCACTTCAAATATACTCAGATGTTTTCAAAAGGAAAACAACTTTCATAGATTTCATAAGTTAAGTATAATGATATGGTTTCGATACTGACTTGAATGGTTTTAACCCAAATGGTAACATTTGAAATACTTAATTAGCAAAGCTTTGTAATATAAAGGACTGAGTTTGTCCATTCTCTGTTGCCTGATTTTCATCACTAGTGGATTACACTGACATAGCCTTTTTATTACACATTTTAGTATACTAGGGTTGCGTCTTGCACTTTCCTCAAACTTGTTGAATAAGTTAGTGGTTATTTGGAATCAGTAGCTTAATGCGTAACTCGTTGAAGTAAGGAGCACTGAGTTCAACCGAGTCTCAGTTTGAATACTAACACTAAGATTCATGTAAATATAGTTGACGTATCCTGAAGGAGACGAAACGGGTTTGCTAGGTTCCACTCTTGACAACAATCCAAATTTTGAAGAAATACTTGACATTGATTTAAAAAAATATTTAAAAGAACATATAAGTTATTTTGTTAATGCCGGATGGAAAACTTTCTCAAGTCTCATATTTCTATGAAAAATTGTTAAGAATCATTTTAAGTAAGTTCCCGATGGTGAATATTGATAATAATAATTGTTGCAAAATATTAATGAATATGATTAGTTTTTGTTATATTATTCCAATTAGCTTGCTTTTTCCGAGTTAACAATAAGAACAAGTTTGTTTGTAGTAAAAATAAGAATTCCAATTATTTAAATGATGATTACTTTTATTTTTTGTTGAAAACATTCATCAGTATGCCTGAAGTATATTAGTATCTTTAGTTTAAACATTATCATTTTGAAATGTTTACTAAACTTTTAAATCTAAATCCAGTTTTATTTCAACTTTATGTATCACATATTAAATTCGTTAAATTTAACAAATTTCGAAATGAAAAAATAAATGAACTTCTTATTGGTCTTTTTTTCCTCATAAAAAAAATCAACACAAATACACAATTTCAGGTTCGTAAAGCTCTTGCTTCTCATGGTCATGGAAGTAGTGGGAGTAAACCAGCTTTACTAGAAGCTGCATTGTTAGCTGCTGTTAACTTGTGCAAAGCATCAACTTACATTAATATAAATGATCGGAATAATATTCTCTTTATTTTGGTTCATTCAGTGTATGCTGATTTACAGGTAAAATTGAATAAATGCTATTGTCGTTTTGTTATTATTTTTTTCTACACATAAAATTCCAAAGAAAATCATGTTACGTTTCGTTGATGCAGATGTTTTTGTTGCAATAGAGATCTTAAAATACTTTGAGATATCACGGTATGCCGGGAGATAATGCAATAATAACAGACTGGGCATCTAGTAGATATATTAGGCAACAAGCTAAATATACTAGACCACAATAGTTGGTAATTAGACCGTTAGAATAGGTCATGTGGCAAGCAAATACATAACTTCCCACTCAAATGATAACCTAATTGTCTGAATCAAAATAAGCGTCTTTTCATAGAATCCAGAATAAAGTACTGTGAAATCAGAAGTGGGGAAGAGTTTACTGTGTTATGTAGTATTTCGTGCATTTAGGATAGGTGGATGTCTATCTTCATTCATTAGCCAAACACGGCTCACTATCTCACGACCCACTAGTTTCTTCAAGTGTAAAATGTGAGACAGCTGTGTATGGATGAAGTCAGCAGTCTTTGATGGTGAGGACAGGAAGTCAATCTTTGCGATCTATAGTATTGTGAAGATCCAGTTTCACTTTGAATAATTCGACAGAAGTTGCTGATATTACATGTTCCGGAAGAGAATTCCATCGATTCACCACTCTCCGTGAAAAATGGAACTCCAAATGTAAACGATCTGATCTCGATTTATGAAATTTCTTAGAAGCCATCTCAGATGATCATATCTAGATGGAGGGAGAAGATATTAGCACAAAACCATTTGGTATACGGTAAGCTGAAATTATATCATTACATAATCTATGATAAGATGATGGAGATAGTTTGAAGCGTCTCATTCTGTCTTCATAAAGTAAGTCGGCAAGACTTTAAACTGTTTCGGTCCCTCATCGTTAAACTTGTTCAAACATATCTGCCTCATTCTTGGAACAAGGACTCACTGCTTAAATATCATATTCTAAATGAGGCATCAAAAATGTCTGGTATCGTACCTTAGACATCTATTTATTCAAGTAATAAGATGACCTTCAAATAGCTTATAAGACTATGAAGTCTTTGGTAGCGGCAGCCTTACAATGACTCGTAGTTCAGAAGCTGTTGCTCATAGCATCATTTCACTTATTGTGTAATTGCATAAGCCCTCGCAGTTATTTATATGCATCACTGTACTTTTCCTAGGATTTACTTCACCGACCACTATCTCATCAATTCAACAAGTGGATTTAGGTCATCCTATTTGAGAACGTCGATCATCAGGTTTTTAATCATATAATGGATCCCAAAACTTTCTAGTTTTAATCTGACTTAGGTCAGAGCCCTTGTCCAAGGCTTAAGTTAGATTTGTGAAAATTACATCTATCGGAATATTGTCAACTATCTCTGCAGTTCAACCTTCTATTGCAATGAGGAGATTTGTCAGTCATGGCAGATCTTTTTGAGAACCATATTATTCTCTGACTAAAAGACCATTTCCTTCCACATAGTTTGGAATAGCTATCTGAATAACCTTTTTCACTAGGTTGATGGTTACATTGGTCAGATTCACGTGTCGTTGGTTACCAAGTCTCTACCCTCGTTTTATAATCCAGACTGATAATAAGATTCTCCCAATCTCTTATCAGTTTAGACTACTTCAGAAACACATCAAACAATATTGCCAGAAGTTCAGCATTTACATCCACCAGGGCTTTCATAATTTTTGGATGAACATTCTCAGTACCACTAGACTAGCCTAGTTTGAGATGTTGAAGTAACCTAAAAAAGTGTTGTTTCTCGATAACCAGAGGATCCATTAAAACAAGCTGCCACTGTTGTAGCTAATGATTAGTTTTCTGCCATCGTCGGTAGAAAACATTCTACTAAAATATTCACATAGAGCCTCAAGTTTATCAACATCATTCATTTCCAATATCAAAAGACATTTTTTTTCAGAAGTGATGGGGTCCCATCACAAAAATAAAGTTAGTTCACTACAAGTATGAAAATCACCGTTTTCTTTTAGAACGCGCGCTCTAAGACAGTATCTTTTTAACATCTAAAAGACTACCAAAGTTGTGCTGATAGCTTTGTTTATATCCATAAATACCTTGTTTGACTATCAAATCACTGATACCAACAACGGATGTCTCAATATCTGATCTTTAAATTATTCACCAAGTTGCTGATGTGTTTATCTGGTCAAATAATAAAAGGTATGAAATGTAGATTTTGTTGTTGTACCTATCTCCTTTCCTATAAAGTCGTAATGCTAAAATGATAAGAAATGACCGAGTAACAAGTAAACATTCCAGATCATTGGTTAGTGAGTTCAAAAATTTTCCTAACCCCCGTCCTCGATTCATCCTTCTGTCCTCAGAAACACCTTATTGGACAATTTATCTTCACATCACAGATCATGCTGTATTCCGATATTTCGCGTTTCATTGTATCAAAAAGCTAGGTGGGGGGGTTGAGCTAGCAGTCATGTTGTTTATTTGTTTATCATAAGTAAAAAAAATTTTCTGTTATCGATCACATAAAATCCAGTGATGAGTTATTGGCTAGTGTTTGATGAGTGCTTTAATTGATTCATTTTATGTATGATATGACTGTCAATTAACCAATGTCTCCATTCGCCGCAACTTATGAATTTATGAAACCCCAAAATGATACTAAAAGAATACAAAGAAATATTCATCCAAGTATAGCAAAACGAGTTTCTCTTTCCAGTCAGCCTATAAAATCTGAAAATTTACTGTTGCATTCGGTATCAGTTCCAGTGAAAATGGTGTTGTTTTAAAAATAAACTTATCGGTCCACACAATGGGTTTTCTTAATTCTGTCACCTAACCTTTTCCATTTACACATTTGAAATCAATCAATCATTGTTAGACTACCATTAGAAACCTGGAAGCACTGGACGGCTGTTTTGTCCTGGTATGGGACTCATCAGCAGTGCGCATTTCCATTTAGTTATCTTCCTACTCCCGTTTTCTGATAGCAATTACTTAAAATTTTAACTGTAACCAAACTAATTTGTAACGATAGATAAATTTTTTAGTAATTCAGTTTTGTTTCATATCTTCATTTGATTACCTTGAATATCTGTAGAATTTGTTGTTCAATCCAACTAAACCATATCTACGAAACAATCAGAATTTAGCAGAAACAGAATCTTTACTCACAGAATTTTTCGTCGCTTATTTTCGCATAACACCACATAATAAAAATCTCCTCAAAGTTTGCTTGCAAACAACATCACCGGCTATTTATCATACTGTGTTAGTATCTGGGCTTTATCGTATAATTACTCAGGTAGGTCTAAGCATATTGTCAATTAGTGGTATTATCTTCCTAAAGTATTCTTAAACAAAATTTGAATATATGTTGGTACGCATGGGTAGCAAATACAAACCAAATAAACGAACGATTGAATGTGAATTAATAAGGCATAGTTGAAGCGGATTCGAACTATCATAATGATGTGTTATTCATTATCCATCTGAATCAAGCTATCTAAATTTAAATGCTCGATTCTAAACACTAATCTCCGTTGAATTCCATTAGTCTGTAGGTCTATACTGACTGGTACAAATAAAATCAATGACCATTGTGTGTATTGATTGGTGTGGTATTGGAGCCAGATATCTTAAAACGTTTTAATCATAGTACGATTAAACAACGCAGTATAGGAAGAAAGTCAGCGATAATAAAGTAAAATGAACTTCGGGAACAATCTACATTTGACAAGTGAACATTCTGTTCACATACATGTAGTGTTTTTATTCCTATCAAAATAATAAAGAGAATTATGTGTAGGAAATGTATTTGCAAACATTCAAATGAATTTCTAATAAATATTGAATAATTATTGTAGTAATTCTTTTGCATAACTGACTCCTTAATATGAAATTATTTCATATCGAATCTTCATTTATCGCTAAAACTTACATTTTTTTTGCTGTTTTATTAATATTCAATTTAATGAAGTTGTCTTATCAAAGTTGAACAGCTACTCCATAAACCTTCTATGCAAACAATATTTTTTAGTTTCATATAATTTAATACAGTAAATCTTGTAAATATGTTATTTGTCTTTGTTTAAGTCACGTCTTTCATGGTGGCCCGATGTTAGTCCGTTTTATTCGAAATCCACAGAGATTCGTTCAATGTTCTTAGAAACATTAAATCGTGTTAATCATCATCCACCAATTCGAATAACTCAGGTAATTTAGTTTATTTATGATTTGAGAAAACATATTTTATTCAATGATAAATTTTAGGAAATTTGGTTATTTTACGGTCGTTTTATTTCCTACACAATATATAGGATTTTTCCGTTCATTTAGTGAGTGACTACTGACTTTAGGAGAACAGTTTCCATTAGGGATTTCATTTCAAGCTCTAGCTTTCACTTCATTCGCTTTTTCATCTGTCAAGTTGAGATGCACTACGTTAACATGTCAATGAAATAAAATGAAGTCCCTATTGATACACTGAATGCAGGGATAATTGCTTGAATTCGCTAGAAATCACACTCTTATTCAGCATTAAAAAATGATGGTGTAATATCAGTCAGGAGCTTAAGAATCCGGAATGTATGTTAGCGTCAGCCTCATCACAATAAAATCTTACACATTTAAGTAACAGCAAGATGGACAGAAATGGAGTGATACTAAGATTTAATGATAAATCAGTAAAAGGCATTCCTATCAGTATACACACTTATCTTTAAAGATAGATTATTTGCAAACTTTAATTTCAATAATAAGATTGTGCAGACCCTTACTAGAAATAGTTTATCTTTCAGAAAAGCTGAGCTGGTCAAAATAATTGGATCTTATACCTTGTTAATATTCACAATCTACTCTTTTGCTAAAGCAGAATACATTTAAGCAAGCGGTTGTAAATTACCCTAACCTAAACATTTAATGTGGTGGGTATTCATTAATGAATCATCTATTAAGCATTAGATTTGCTGTCATGTGATTACAATTTATTGTTAATCAGCTGAAAGGTGTAAAGATGACTCAGATTTACTTTACGACACAATGAGACAGAAATTTGTGCAGTTTACAAAAAATGGCCACTTTTACACAAAAGCAATTTTTGTTTATATCCGTTCAAGTAATCTACTCAAAAGTCATCGCGATGAAAAAAGTTCAAAAATATATAATTACACTTGTCAATGTCACTAGGGGTCACTACAGCCTATATTTAGGTCTAGGTTGAGGAGGAAAATTGCATTTCGTTAAATGCTAGTAATTATAACAGTATATTTACATCCTCACAGATGTATTTTATGTCACTGCATTTGTTCTCGGAAAAATATTAATTTAAATGAAAACAGCTCTTCGGATACTTCACATTTTTTAATTTTGATTAACAATAGCTTTGTCTCATGGTTTCACTTTGAAAGTCGTTTATCAGTACAGGAGCTACGTTGAAACTTTTCTCGACTGGAAGCTGATTTTCATCATGGATTGGCAAAAAAAGACGCAGTTAATCAGAGAATAGCAAAAAGCTATTTCTTTTAATTTTCATACTTTTAACTCATGAGCATTAAACATCTTTCACACGGTACTTAACCAGCGTATTGAGTTCTCACAACGAACACGATTTCCCTAGAACACTGTACAGAATCTAGTTGTTCACATTTCTGTTTTTCGATCAATTCGACGTATGAAGTGACCAATATTAGCTCTAATCAGGGATAGTTACTTTATTTCGGACGTGGTCAGACTTCATTGGTCACTAGTTTTTAATAGAACTTTGAGAATTTCATAGGAATCGTTTACATCAAAAAACAAATATTCATCATATAATATTGCAAACTGCTTGAAACTGAATAGGTAGATCATTCGCTTTTGACCTATTTTTGTCAAAATATTATTTTGAACCCGATTCCTTTAGGTTCTGAGTTCTATTCCTGTTTAAGCCAGAAATGTTTACTTTTGACAAATCTCAGAGTAGATCAAAACAATAGTTTCGTAATTCCTGATGTCTGGTTAGTACTAGTCTGTGATGAAATTGAATTGGTCATCCTTAACATAATTTTTGTTAGTGCTGATTGATAATAATTGTTCATTTGAATGAATTTACTTACAATGCATGAAGAAAATAATATGGTTTTATGATAATCTGTACTAATAACTTATTGTTTATTCCAGTGTTGTTTTTTATTTCAAAAAATTGATTTTTTTTTCATATTGATATACCTGTTACCATTCCCCTTCGATACATATACAGACACATGGGCTTATTCTTTATGTGTCTATGAATAACTGTGTTGTTATGTTTCCCTATCGGAAGATAAGAATAATTCTCCCACTGTGTGCAGAAGATTATTTATCTGTTTGTTTCTGTTTTTACATAAATAAATAATAAGCTTCCCCATCGATGATATTATATGGTGGGAAAAATAAGTGGGATATTTGTTTACCATTTGTAAACTAAAAATCAATTATTCATATCTTATTAATCCTGTTTTAGAAACAAATGGGAAACTTTATTTCATTCGTGATGTATGATGATAAATAAATGCTGTGTATACTTTGCAACAGCGTAGAGTGTTAGATGTCACCCAAGCTAATTGTCACTAGTGACTAACCTACCAGATTCAAGTCATTGAGACAACTGTCTATATACACTGCTAATTTCTGTGTGCAGCTTATTGTAACAACAAATGTTCATTGATGAGTTTTACTCACTACCCAGGTGACGCAGATTACTTAGTAAAGTTTGGGAACGTCGATTCTCCAAATGAGGTATAGTAGGACAATACGATCAGGTTTCATCTAACTAAATCAGAAAATCTTTAGTCATTCACTCAAAGGTTTACTCCAAAAACACGATGTATAACTATTTTTTTTCAAAGGGTCTTGAATATGTTAGGCCACACGTTTAGTCTTATATTAGACTAATGTGCTGTATCCCGGTGTTAATATTCCTATTCAGATTTTGATTTTAGTACCAATCTTCTCAAAAGCTTGAGGATTATCGACTTTTCCTCTGAGTCGATGAATTTCAGTTTCTTTGGATGATACTAGGTACAATATACAACCATCTGACTAGTTCTCCGTAGGTCTAAGAATGTATGGTATTGGTTACCATCTATGAAAATCCGTCTAAAAACTAGGTAGTGACGAAACGTGAATTCAAAAAATAATTTAATACAAGATCCAACAATGGATATCAAAGATGTAATAAACAAGCATACAAAAAATTTTTCATCACAATCTGTAGATCATGACAGTTTTTATTGTATAAACATTCGACATTCGACATTAGTTACTGGTCTGTTGATAGTTTGTAGTTAGGTTTACTTTTATCGATCAATCAAATGATCAATTATTGTGTTCGTATTAGACAATTGTATCACGACTAAGTGTATTCATATCGTGTGCATTCAACAGTTTGAAGTTAGTATATATCACACACTACCATTAACAAGCATACTATTAAAAACCGAAGACTCCAGTATAGTTGATTTATTCTAGTTTAAAACTCCATAGTAGCTACACTAATTTGACATCCTATGGCACAGATATCACTGTTATACATTGTTTGATGATTGCTCAATACATCACTAAATGTCTATTATAAAAGTTGCATGGATAGTTTCAGACTGACTCATTGATAAGTTTGTAAGACTTGAACAGTATCAGAACTAGATATAGCCAGCTGTTTATTGCTCTTCCAGTTATTTAATGATTCTCTAGCTAATATGAGTCTATTAGGAAATCAAACTTTCTTCTTAACCGTTTGCACAAACCTCTTGTTTCAATATATATCATTTTGTACGTTGTTTTTTCTCCTTCAGAGTCTTACATTTCGAGATAAAATGAATTTAAAAAACAAAGACAAAACTGAAGATAATTTGATGAGCAAATATAATTTACTACTAAATATGGTTCGTCTACTAAATGCTAACCCATTATTGATGCTTTATGTAAGTCATGCTGCTACTGACCTTTCATTATTTTTATGAGATAATATTGGCATATGTTATTGTTTATGCTGACATTAACAATAGAAATAACTTTAATTTGTTACTAGCATTTTGGTATGTGATAAAAGTAAAAGACATTACAAGATTTCTGGGCTCTCCAGAATAGTTTGATGACCAAGGTAGCCAATACTTATTTATTTTACAAGTAACAAACTTCTTTTAAAAAATCACCTAAGTTTTCCACAATGGAATTAGTAGTTTTGTAATTATTTGAACGCTAAATGTTGATTAATGCGCTGTGAGTAATATATGCAGCTGGATATCTGTTGTCCAATACTTTAATCATTCTACATTTAACCATAACACCATGGGTTAGAAATCGTTGCCACTTCATGGGGCGTCATCTGATCAATAACAATTATGAAAGTCGGAAGGATCATTCATTGGATCAAACACACCTTGTAGTATTCAAAGATTTTGATTTCTAACGCTTTAGGTTTGCTAAACAGATTTCTACTTAGATACTAAGTCCCATTTTCATACTGTATGTTGTAGTGCACTCTAGGTGTTTTTATCAGTGAATTGAAGTCAAAGTTACTGTTGGAGAATACATGCTTTCGTGAAATACAAATTGAAGCGATCTAACCTCTTCATCCGATAAATTTATAACTAACATCACGAGAATATGCTAATATTGATGGACCTTGTAGTAGTACTAAGATTGAAGTAAATAGTCAGTAACCGATGGGTTTATACAAATACTAAGAATATTGAAGTTTACATCAGAGGCCTTCGTTAGCTAAATAATCATTGAAAAACAGAAAGGACTAGACAGTTTTTTATTCTAGTTTCCACGGTCTCGAAGAACATACAGGGCTTGCAGAGAACACTTAACTTTTAGACTACATTACTTTGACATCCATCGGTTCACATATTCAACTTCAACCAAACTACAATATTATACAATCATTAACCAATACCCTAGATAGGCACTGGTTTATAGGTTATCATTCGACCTCTTGGAATCACCTTAAAATTAGTTAGTTAAGTTACTGATGTAAACTACAAAATCAAATAATCCAAATTTGCACCTTTTTTTACAAATTACTATTCGGATTTTTTTTCACCTTAGAAGTGTATCCATAAGTGATATTTATTATTAAATATATTATTGGTACTTTTGTGTTTTGTTGTTTATCATATTTAGAGTCCACAGACACGTTCGAGTTCAGATGCTCAGAAAGCAACATTTGATTTAATGAATGGTTTAATGTCTTTGATACAACAATCTATTATGTCTGACTTAGCACAAGAAGCAATGGATGCCTTACTTTGTCTTCACCAACCAGCTAATATAAGATTATGGAATTTGCATTCACCAGCTCAAGCGTTTTGGGAAATAAGGTATGCATATATATATATATATATACAATAGATTTTGATACTGAATTAAATGGCCCAGTGATTTTCTCCTGACTAAGTTTATGGTTTTGAAAACAAACAAGCGTTACAAGACTCACGATGTTGTGCATGATTGTCATTGTGCATATATGGCTTTCAACCCCCAGTTTTAGTTTTCTTGTATCAATACGTGTCGTTGGTTAATCCTAATGAAAAAATTCAGCAAACTTATTCACCATGATGGTCTGTCTCTATTAAATGGTTCTCTCATTTTATAACTAATTCCTGATTCTGTTTGGCTGGTCCCTATACATAACTTTTGTTGTCAGATTTCGTTGTATACAATTATATGCTTCCTAATTGATAATAAGAACAATCGATCTTTCTCCTAGTTAGCTACACATCCAATGTATTTTTACAATACATTTGATTACCAACAGATAAATTTTTTAAAAACCGATTAGAACGCTTAAATTTTACCATCCCATCGGTTGAAGTGTACTTTAACATTTAACTATATGTGACATTAATTTTGAAATCAGGAACTCAGATAATTTTGTGGAATGCTATCACTAAAATAATTTCCTCTGTAGGGAATAAGTTCGGTTTTTAGAGATATAAAGAATGTATAGAGCTGACAGCTTGCGGAGTCAAGTATTCACTGCTTATACAAATTTCTTTAATCACTTTCACTAACATTTCATACTAGTTTACTGATGTTTCTTTTCGTTTCTTTTATTAAGTCCACAACTTCTATACAGTATTGCTCAGAAATTAATCAATCGTAATATACCTAATTCATGTGATGTTTTAAAATGGCTAAGAGAGATTCTTGTCTGTCGGATAAAATTTCTTCAGCAACATTGTAATTATGCAAATCCATCAGAATGTTGTACAATGGGTATGCTGACATCCAGTATGCTAGTTAGCGGAGATGTTAATTTGACTACAAACACAAGTACAACTAGTGTAATAAATTCTATTACAACGGTGACAACAACAACAACTGTATCTAGCCTACCCAACTATGCACAAACAAGTTCAAATTCAAGTTAGTTATAGAAGCTTATAAGTTTGTATGCTTTTTCTTTAATTTTTATTTTCTTTTATTGAATCTTCTGCTTAAATATAACAGTCATTACGATGTTTATTTTCTAACGCTGATATATATATATATATATATATATTTCAGACAAGCATTAACTTTTAAGTATACAGTGAGTCAATAACCTCACTTGATGACAAAAGCGTACTACTATCAGTCTTGGATTGTCATGCTGACAGTGTTGCACAATATATCCGCCTTCGTGTTTACAACTGTTCTTTAATCCTCTATGATATTGCGTCTTACATGAGTTATACTCATTTTTAATTTTTTAATCAGTCTATTTCTATGGTTGTTATTACGTGACTGTCAATGTCAGTTTTCCAGTAACAATGTTTTATAAAGTTTTCTTTTGAAATATTCACACTGTTTTATATAGAAATATTTAGATATATGAACATTTATTAGGATTCTTCTATATTCTTCCATCTACTGATTACTCATTAAAAATATGAATAATAGTCCTTCATGTGAGTCACACAAGTCAATACTACCGTTTTGATGCTCATCCCATTATCTCATACACAAAAAACTCAAAACGTCGCACATACTTCAGTTAGAAATATTATACTTCATAGCACCACAGAAGGGAAAAGCAATAAAAATAACTTATAAATAAAATGTGCAAAAATAAAAATAACCCAGAGATTGGGCTGAGCCTAAATAAATTATACAATATGTATAAATCTTAATAAAGGTAAACTTAAACATAACATAATGATGAACCAGAGGTTAGGTGAACCACTCAATTTAATTGATTTATTTTACCTAAGATAAACATGCTAACTAAATTATCATTCTTTTACTGCAAGAGTCAAAAATATTATCTATCTATGTATTCAGAACACATAAAGATTACCAAGTCACGATTTTGAATGCTTGTAAACAACAGAAGAAAACTCTGAATCATTTTTTGATGTATGTTGAAACTTATTGAAAACTTACATCTGTTGAGCTGATGGTACTTTGCGAATTATTGAGCATTATGTTCCATACTGTTACGCATAGATTGAAAATACATATAAATTTATATATAACAGTTTTAAAAAGACTTCGTAACTGGAACCAATTTAATAAAATATCACTTTATACTTTAGAATATTCCTTTATTACTTTGTTCAATTTATTCCTTAATAACTATAGACTCTGTTGTTTCGTACTTTGTATTCATGTCCCGTAAATACCTCTTACTTTATTTAGATATGAGTTATACAGACGGTGGAGTATATATTGGGCCAGCACCTCCAAGGACAAATTCTCAAAATACGCCATGTTTAAGCCCATTTCTAGGGCCATTAGGAATTAATCCAAAACGAAATCAAATGGCTCTTATTAAACTAGAAACAGTATTTTTCACTTACCTATGGTCACTAGATTTAGAAGCTGTTTTAACTTCTATGTCTTGCTTTCGTCTGTTGTGTCAAGAAGCTGAACTTTGGAGTAGTGCTGCTACCTTAGCCACAATCACTTCTGTTCCAGATAACGAGTCTGCACAACATTCTGACTGTGAATGTTATTTAACAAATCCCAACTTATCTGCTCCTTCATCCACAGAAACATCAGATTGGGTAGAGAGTTCTTTAACAACAAATACAAACCAAAGTGATTTGATCCGAAAATCACCTCCACCTAAGGTTAATTATAAACTCGTAGTTTCGTCAGCTTCATCTAGCAGCACGCCATCAGAAAGTACATGTGTGCGTTTCCAAAACTCTTCAACGCCATACGATGCTGAATCCAGAACTCGTTCTAATGTTACTGGATCATGTATTGCTTTATGCAATTGTGGATGTCCGCTTTGCACTCCAGTGAACTATTTACCAGTGTGTACAAATATTGGTGGCAATCCTGCCGTTTCTCAGTCTGTCCACGACTCCAGTTCACATTCTAGTTTCAGCACCTCATTAAATTCAGATAGTAATCCAACCTTTTGTTCTGAATATTCTGATGACAGTACAAAAAACTTTTCTACTAATACATCGACCAACGTTGTAAATCCTATTCTCTATACAACTAGTTCATTAGGCAAGTCATATTCGTTGTCATTACCAGCTCAGTGGGCTTTTACTGATTTCCGCTTACCAGATCTTCTTCCTGTTTACAATGTATATGCTGAGATTGCTGATCACAGTCGTTCAATTGTCACAACAGGACGTGCACACTTACAAAAACAAATTCTAGCTTTATTAAGAAAAATAAACCATCAAACCCAAGGAAATAAACTAGTAAGTTTCGTGACTGTTTCTATTACATATCTGTTATGATCACATATCAGATTACCAATCTAAACGTTTGGATACCTAAATATTTAACATTTAAAATAGCACTTCATAGCAATCTTTAAGAAGATCAACTTCACAATGGATAAATTATGTCTACCTTAAATATTGCAGGTACACATTCCATTGGAGAACTCTTGATTGATTTTGCTAAATTATTCATCCCATCTAATGAAAAGCTTATGCAAATTCAACAAAAATGTCAAAAATGGGTGGTTTTCTTTCCATTAATCTATATTTAGGAGTGAATATGGATTACTTAAAATCGATCTTAAAGTCCGTGTAAATTTCGAGTCACTCTTTCAGAAACATTATTATTAAATATATTTTTGAGGGAAAGTTCATCTTTCATCTGTGAAGTTAGAAGTAAAGCTTTATATATAAGTTTCTTGAGTTAATGTCGTTGAATATTTTTTTGTAATCTGTTAACTATCAAAAACCATTTGATCTTCGCTGAATATTGCTCACATACAAGAATTGATTTTCCTAATATATTGAGTCATTCAGTTGAACTGAGTTCCTATTTTCCCAAATTAATTCAGCTGAATTTCAATAGTCAGCTTCCCTAGCAAAGAGAATCTACCAAAATAAGCAAATTCAATATTAGTTGTAAATGAATAAATAAAAAAACCCAACATCGTTGAAAATACTTGTAAATTTGGTACTATATTGAGTTTCCATTAAATTCATTGTACTAGATCCGTCTTATGATTTTCACTCTACTACTCTGTAGTTTTTAGTTACTAATTTTACAAACCACCAAATCACTGACTAGATGCATATGAATAAAAGAGATAGATTCAATAGATCTCCACAAAGTTTTGATTTGCTTTCAAGCTAAAATTACGAACTACATACATATAACATGCATTCTTTCATTGCTTCAGTTCCGAAAATGCCTACTTATAGTCATATAGTATTATAAAAATGTTTTCACATTACTTTTGTAATGCCTAAGTATTTTTCATTTACATACAGGCCTGGGAACATACTTATATGATTTGGCTTAGAAGTACAAAATTTCTAATAAACTACCCCAAATCAAAAGCTTCTGTTCCACCGAATGGAACTGAAGATTCGTGTTATGATACCACTGCTAATTTAACCAGTAATACTTCAGTAAGTGGATTTTCATCTTCATCATTGGGCAATTCACCATCTATATCGAGTGGTCTAGACTCTATAACTAATCAAGTGGATACTACTACATCTGGAATGAATATAGATGGGTTTTCTTCTGTTGCAGGTAATTCAATAAAAAATGTTTATTAGAAATACTTCATTCGCTTTTAGGTTCTACTGGGTTACTTCTCAATATAACAAATAATACTGGTGGAGTTTCTGTGTCAAGTGGATCAACTGGAACCAGTTCATTTGTTTCTGGATGTGCTATAAGTTCAGGTACAAGTCGTTATTTGGCTGTTAAACGTCGTGTCAGTCAACAATCACCAGTTAATGATCATGAAATTGAAGATGTGCTAAATGAATGGGCAAATATGACTGGATTTTTATGTGCATTGGGTTCTGTAGCACTTAATCTACCACCTTTACCTCAGGGATCGTCGCTTTCTTCACAAACAACTTCATTGGGTTATTCATGTGTATGTTTTATGTTCTTTTGACCTCTCGGTCCATAGTTTTTTTCTTTTTCCAGATGTTTGTTTGAAAAGACAATTATTAATTGTTCTTAAGTCTGTTACCACATGTTAGCTATTTTTATAGTTTCAATCATGTTACATTTATAATGAAATAATTTCATTGAACTGAGGAATTGATCACCGTTAGACCACTTTCTGAAAAGTAGAAGCACTGGGTGGCCGTTTCGGGACTCAGCAGCAGCGCACATTCACGAACCCCTCTCGCGGGTCTCAAACCCAGGACCTCAGGCCTCACTCATGAATGCATAAGCTCCAGAACATTAGGCTGGCATCTAACGGTGTTGATGCCTAACCGTAATGAACCCAGTATTGCGCAATATCATCAGTTTACTTGGGTAGGTAACTGCTCACACTTGACTGGGCTGAACTCCACTGGTCACGGCTTCTCACTAGAACTCCGAGAATTTCCTCACGATGCTAGTCTACTAATGAACACATTTTCCGATTTCTCATTGCAGAGTTACGGTAATTGTTGAGTTTCATTGAAATGATGAATCGATCATTGTTAGACCACCATTAGAAACCTGGAAGCACTGGATGGCCGTTTAGTCCTAGTTCGGTACTGATCAACAGTGTGCAATACCTTGGATTGGTTAAAGTTAGACATTAACATTGTTGGATACCGGCCCAGTGGTTCAGATGTTAAGCGTTCAGGCTCGAGAACGTAGATCGTGGATTCGATCCCAGTGATCTTGGTTCATGGATTTGCACTGTCGATGAGTTGCATACTAAGATGAAACAGCTGTCCAGTGTTTCCAAGTTTCTAATGGTGGTATAACAATGTTCGATTTCTTATTTCAATGAAACTCATTCATCTTCACAACTGTATAATGGTCAGTATATAATGTCAAGTCTTTTTCTATGTTATTTAGAATAACATTTTTATGTTGCTCAAATTTCTAGTGAATCTTTGTTCAGTTATTCATCACTAAAATACCATTTCACAAATTCCTTGCTACATTATATTTAGTGGTAAGTAATCTTAAATCGGCTTTGAAGAACTTTTTCCTACTCTAGTTAGATAGTTGGGATACCTCTGACTACAGGGATGAGCAATGTAAGTTGAAGCAATTTATAGAATACCTGTTCCTTTAAAATGGTTAACAAAAGTAGTTTCACAAATTATTATCCTACACAATCATTGTTTTACTTACAAATTTGCGAGTTTGTAATCGATTGCATCTGTGAATGGTTGAACTTGTATAAATCATCCCTTTTGTCATCATTAATTGTATAATTCATGTAAATGGTTTACCTTTATAAAATGTATATCGATCACCATAAGCTGTATCTAAAAAAACGTTTTCTCGATGGAAATACTACTTAACATGTACGTTTTGTTTTCAGATTAATGTACTTTCCTCACGATTACTCAAGATTTTTGAATGGTAAAATGTAGTAGTTTGGTATGTTATGTCTTCATAGATTGTATTTTCACCACAAACTGTGGTGCACTTGCAGACTGTTGAAGAATGAAGGGTTTGTGAATGTTTTTGTTCATGTTTGGCATTCTTCTGAAGCATACAGTCACAGTGAAGTTGTAACAGGGCATTAACTTAATAATAGTACCAAACGAGTATCTCTTAGTGTAGTATTCATTCTAAATTATAAAATATTCAGTGAATAGCTGCAAGGTATGTAACTTCAAGATTTCTAAATCGATCTTCCGAAGGATTATGAGCACAAACTATTCGAAGAATATCAGATGAAAATATGACAGATTTCTAGTGCTGAGTTTGTTTTCTAAATGATTCTCGGGTTGATCTTAGCTTGTGATTAAAATTATCTATTTGATTAAAGCTATACTAGGTGACCAAAATATATATAAACCAATAAATTTACATATTCATTCTACCAGGACCAAACCAAAATGAAATGTCAACAAATTCACTGTCCTCATTATCATTACTGCGCTCAACATTTATTGAATCATGTACATCAACATTTTGATCCTAACTGTCCGCGTGCAAATTATTTCCTACAATCTCATCGTGCTAATTTCAATAAAAGTACTAGTGATGTTGATCAAACAGATGATTCTCATAAATTTCATTCATTTCATGGTGCTTATCTTAGTGAATTAACTGCTGCAAGACGTCTTTCACTAGTTCAGTCTAGTTTAAATCAAGATAATCAATTCTCGCCTGTTGCTCAGTAAGTATTATTCATTTGCTTGTTTGATCATGTTAAAGTTTTATCGAACTTCATCAGTGTACAGAAACAATGTATATGTAAATTAAATTGCTGCATGTTTGTGTTTGGTAATTAAAAATTAAATTTATGACTGATAAGGTTTTTTAATGCTACTTGGATATTCATTTTATAAATTCATTCAAAGTTAATTAAGAGTAATACACAAATAGAGCCTTGTTAGAATGATTCATTTTCTCTGGAGACTAGTGGCTATATCGAAGTGTTTTTTGACCAGTTTATAAATATTAACAGAAATCCAGCTTAATCAAGTACCGAATAATTATTTATAAATTGCACGAATATCACTATCATGAATTCGAACCACTAGGAAATTTGATAAATTTACAACAGAAGTTTACATTACTTTAAAGTACCAATCAAAACAGCCGTAGTCAAATCATAATAAACTATCAGAGTGAAGTTCGTCCAACAACAAAGCAAATAATTACATTCTCCTGATACCAATATCACTTGTAAATGGTTAAAATAACTAATCAATTATGAGACAAGTGAAAAATGCATCCTTTTTTGTTTTTATTTGTCCGTCTACAGGTTTATTGGTAATCTATTATTACTTATTAGCTGTCAACATGAGAAATTTGGGCATCAAATACAAAAGCATGTTAAAGAATCAATTGGAAATGAATTAAATCCATTGATTTATCCAATATTATTTAATCAACTACGTAGTCATGTGGATGCATGTTTTTCAGGACAAGGACAACAACAAGTGGTTGTCACAGAAACAAATACATTATTCATTGAAAATGTCATTTTCATAATGCGTAGTATATTGGATAAACGAACTAAATCTGTTGATCGATTAAGTGATCATTTAGAATTAGTTAGTATAGAAAGTCTTATGTTAAATATTGTTAGGTAAGATTTATTTGTTTATCTGTTTGGTTTTTGATCTATCCATAGTACATCCGTTTTGAATGAAATGATTTTATTTTTTGAAAATTTTAGACGTTCTTGGTAAGACTCTCTACAATGGAGGGAAAAAGCAAACTAATATTTACCGAAAAAATTTTTTTAATATGTCAAAATGAAGATAGTATCTTGTGAATTTTTACTTGGGTAAACATTAAATCATTCTTTTGAATTAACCTTCAGGTATTGATGAGTTTTAGGAACATTGCTTTCATTATAGTTTGGAGTTATTTGGGAAATTCGGTGGTCTACCAATTAGAAACTCTTCAGTAATATGTTACTTACTATTTGATATGATATCATCTCCAAAACTTTAAAACACTGCAAAAAATTGCCTTATCACTATTTAATTGGTTGATTTTTTTAGTGTTGTAGGCTTTTTAATTATCATGTTAACATATGATATATGACATGTTCTACTGTATGCTTGAATACTTCTAATTTAGTAATTAAAACAAATAGATATTGTATCTTTCTATGAATTTGAAAATCTAATCTAATTTTCACTTTATCGGATAAAGTTAAAAAGTTAATATCCAATTTAGCACATTAATTCAGTATGACTTATATGAAATGTATGTATGAAGAAGAAGAAGAAGAAGAAGAAGAAGCGGAAAAAAGAAACTCATGAAACTTGATTATCTTTAGCTTGAAATTTATTGAATATATTTCTCTCTTAAATTGATATTTGTAAACTTTCTTTTCACTTACATTGTATTTCCAGAAGTGAAAGTCAGTTACTTATAAATATATTAGTAAATTTCCCTGTTAATGGTGTAGAAAACCTATATGATTGAAACTATGTTAATTGTGTAGCCTCTTTAACTTGTTTTGTAATCTATAAAGTATGATTGAATCCAGTCAACAGAAAAATAACTTATTACATTTTTTTTATTTTGTAAAATTTCACGTTTATATAGTATGGAACTTCTGACTTTTCTTTTTAACAAAAAACATTACACTTTAATACTTATTTGTAAACCATCTTTTATTTCAATACTTTGTCTAATGTTTACTTGTTCGAATTAAGTCGATGTGTATTTTGTTTTTACAAGGTGATAGGCTATCTGGTGTATATAACAATTGTAAGAATATTTCTAGAATTTATTTTTATGATTAAAACCTTGCTAATGTAGAAGTCACGCGATATTCTTATCCAATATTATGTAGATATATACAAGACGGAAATTAGGCTACAGAACAAGAAATTCCATTGGTTGCATTATTTTATTCAATTAATTAAATATTTTTGCAGTTTCACTTATTTAATATGAAAACCGAATTGTGTACACGACATACCAATAAACTGATTTTCATAGTGTGTTACCTACCTAGTGCAGGAAAAACATGTTGTGATGTACATAAAAATATTACGTGAATGTTACGGTACGGTTACTATGTCGTTCTATCACTTACCTGCTACCGAAGTATTTACATGGCTGAGTATAAACTGTTAATCAACAATTTTCTAATTTAATATTTTTTTCAGCTAAATCTTTTTATAACTGTATTCAGCATGTGGGACGCGTGAAGAATGAATTTTATTAAGTAGTGTTGGTTAAATGTTTATTATACTGGACATTGTCTGAAACTATCACTTCACTAAACAAAAATAAAACAAATGATTGCATTTCCTTAAGAAACTTGAAAACTGCCAAGAGAAAAGTTGAAGGGGGCATTAATCTTTATTAACTAATTGTTAATGAGACCTCGTTAAACCTCAGTATATGCAGATTACAAATTATTCTAGTACGATCCCACCTTACTCATCATAGCACAAAAGTTCAATAATACTTTGTATTATATAGAAAAATGAACACTGTTAGCAAGTTACACTAGGAAAGCACATAATTTTTCTACATTTGCCAAGGATACAACACCACCTGCATGTACATAATTATTCCTGCATCTATGTTTACGGTGAGATAAAAATTTCTGAACTGGTTTCAAGCTAAAATTGGTTTTCGTTGAAATTTGATTTATCTATGTATTTTGGCGGCTTGCTTTTGTTAATAATATCTCTTTCGACGTAATAATTTATTTTATTACCCTTTAATTTAATGCTCATACCTTCTTAACTTATTTTTCTATGTTTAGGTACGTTCGTCACTTGGAATGTGTACATTCTCTTCAGATAAAAATTAAAGTTTGTCAATTAGTGCAGAAAATGATGGCCAGACGTGAAGACTTAGCATTTAGACAGGTTTGTTCTAACTAGTTTGTGCGATTTTATAAGTTTACGATTTTTAAAACAAATACTAAGAAGAAAAGTGCTCTTGTTTTTAATTTCGTCATTTCATGAAAACTATTTTCCGCTTTTCCAAATATTATAATATGGATGAATGGAATCCTCCATAAGTGTTAGCCTAATTCATTTTTTGTTAACGAGAAACTACTCACTGAGATGTACATTCCAAATCACTTGTTTTACTAGTAGTACACAAATCTACTAATATGCATTAGTAATACATATTTAGTATTTAAATAACAAGCAATGTTTATTAACGGCGAATCCATTAAGGTAGTTATAGATCAAGCAAGACATTTCTTGCCTACTATTATTTTCGTCTTGTTGTCTACCTTGATACTACAACACTTAATCGAGTTAATAACTGTCAGTTTGCGATAGCTTATCATAAACTTAAAAAACGACAATCTGAAAATAGTGTATTATTTGTGTAATTTTCAGGTTAACTTGGTTATTTGCTTTGATTTGGTTTTCACCCTTCACCCATCCGTTCATTTGATGTTTACTGAATGACAGAAGTGAAAGGCATAAAACGGTTGTTTTCTAACTGTTAAACCTTTGTGGTTTTTTGTTGCTATTGCTGTTTGAGCTGTAAAATAGAGAACCGTTTTAGTGTAGTACTCCAACTTAATTCATTACTATTTTCTATTGTCGACTGAATAACTAGTTAAAAGTAATCTGTTTTTCATCAGTATTTTTTTTGTTTTGGAAACTACAAATAAATCGATTTACAATTTATGCGAATATTTTGCATTTAAAACACATGCAATCATTCGATTCAGCGTTACTAACATTCATATAAGCTGTAATAATCTCATGTTTCTATAACGAACGTTTAACCTTGACATATATTTCTAGTTGGATCGATATGGTTTCAGTCTTAATGTAGCTGTATGATTATTGAATTGGTGGGATTTGAATAGTTGTTTTCATCATACCGTAAAGTATAACACCGATGGTAGACGATTAAATGTAATATTGTTGGAGCATTTTACGAAGTGAACTGTATTGAAATACTTGAATCACAATTCATTTTTTAGTTACCATTCATACTTTTTGTAGAAAGCTTTTTCGATATTCCAATTTTCCAAGCAATGCTTCAAACAATGGCTGAGAAAAGCCGCCACTGTTACCGCTACATAATTGCATAGATTAAAAACTTCATTTGCGGTGCATTTTTTTCTCAATTATTTACGTATCGAAGTCCATATTCATATATTCAATCATTTAGAAACTTTTCTCACAGATATTCTGTTGATGTTCAAGTGTGCCTGAGTAAACTATTGAAAGAATTATTTTCATTCCCTCATTGCAATTAATAACTTTAATTACTTTAATTAATAAATATAAAACTTGATACTGAATTTTATTCAAAGGACTGAATAATCAAGAGTATACTATATGAATAGCATAGGCTTATATTATACAGAGTATAGACCTAGGTAAGAGTTTTGCCATTTCTTATAATTCCGGCACATATTATCGTTCTGCAAACTAACGAAGGTTACTGGAATTAAGATTAAATAAAATAATAAAACATCATCAGCTAATTGAAAATCAATTTGTTGAACAGAAACAAATCAACTTTGTATACTTGTTTTACACCGCATTATATCCTCTCTCCAAAATAATGTCACAAATCTGGTTACATAAAGATGTTGTTGGCTGGATTGTGCAATTTCCTCTCCTAATGTAAAGTAGTTTTATCACGATTTTAAGACGATGGAAATTCATTATGCATAATTGGGCAGAGATCTCCATGATATCGGGATACGCAGTTTTCTAATAATTGGTTAAAATCAACTCAGTACAACTTAGACACATAACCAGGCTGTTTTCGACATTACTTTTCCTTAGGTAGTATATACAAATGGTAAGAAACTATTAAGTAACTTTATAGCACTACAGTCTACCGGCTGACCAATACATGATGTGTTAGGAATTATCAGGATGGTATTTGTTTGAACATGTCACTAAATCAGCTACCAACAAAATCCCAATATAACTAAAGTATAGTTATTTACGGGGTTGCTAGATCACAAGAAATCGTTTGGTAAAACTCTTAATTTTGTAATTTATTCTCGGACAATTGAATTTCGTATTTTCGCACCCAAATTGCCTCTTATTGCTTTTAGTTTGTGTTTCCCAATTAAAAGGACTCTAAACACCATTGGTTAAATTTCCTTTTTAGTGTGCTATTTCTTATTTATCTTAAGGACGCTTTTTGTACTGTATATATTACGCTTGAATTGACTGCTTGCTAATTCGTCTGCATGGAGCCTCTTGTGGATCAGATAATCTTCCTGCCAACTTCAGATTTCTTACTCTAGTTAGCTGGGATGAGCCACAGAAATAACCTAGCTGTCCTGTTATTGCGTCACTGATTTACGTTCTGTTCGCCGATAACTAGCTCAAGTATAACAAGTTATCTATACTGTTTAATGATCAGACAAAGATTTACATATCATTTAAGACCCAGTATAGATTATACGTTATAAATTTATTTAAGATATATGTTACAATATAAACCATGGAATCACTAAACGAACTTTAAAATTCTGTCTTTATTTAAAAGCATCTGTTATTGAAAATCTATCACCATCTATTGTCTTCTAAGTATCATATTAGAACTTTTAGACAAATTATAACAATCTAAACGAAAACACATTCCATCGCATTCGTTCACGACCGTTGTGTTTGTATTCGATTAAACGTTGAATCATGTATTTGTGATAGAATGACCTAGATGTCTTGATTACATTATTTCACAACTCTGTTCTTCTATTATTTTATGTCTGAATCATTTTTATATTCCATAGATAGACTACTATTTTGTTTGATGATATAGTCATCATGATATATTTTGTTTCTGCCATTTAGGAAATGAGATTTCGAAATAAACTAGTCGATTACCTTTGTGATTGGATCATGGGCAGTAGCTATCATCTTAACCTTTCCGTACAGACAAATTACTTAGCTAATAACTCCACGGGAACAACAATCTCAACAACAATATCTACTTCCACTACTGTTGCTTCCTGTAATATTAGTAACGTTTCTGGAATGTTTGGGTCATCAAACACCTCAACTGCTAGCTCTCTTACATCAGAATTTAATGAAAATGTATCTTTATCTAGTTCATCACTAGTGAATTCATCAATTTTCCTCCCACCCGGAGTAGGAGTACCATTAAGTCAAAGTCAAAGTAATTCTGTTGCGATAACAAACCAGTATTCACAATTAACATGTTCAAACACTGCACCCAATTGTGGAATCAGTGGAATGACTACAAACCATAGTGGCGTTCATGGCAATATTCCTGGTTATTCAGGCCCGTTAACCGCAGGAAACTTTGGACTGATGAATTATGGGTCCCAAGGACAGTCATCAGTAAATGCTTGGAATCGATCTGATGTTTTGGATCCTAATTATGCATGGAATAATGCAACACCGAATTCAGGTATTGGTGTGGGGTTAACTGCTTACGGACAACTTTCTAGTGGTCCGTTTTCGCCCTACTATAGTGTCACAGAGTTAAATAGTTACAATAGTATGCCATATGGAAATGTAAACAACAGTCGACTTGCCAGTGATGGATTGAGTTGTTTTGGACAGTCACAGCCCTGGAACGTTACAAACAGCAAATCAACTGCCTTGTCAGGGACAGCATCATTTCAAAATTACATGTCGACCGGTATTAATTCCTTACCCACTGTTTCCAGTTCATCTGCATTCAACGCCGTTAGTGGTCAAAGTAATACAAACAAATATGGAATTAATACATCTACGTCCAATGTAAGTAACATATCCTATCCTACACAATCATCGGTCACAAATGCTTGGTCAGGTGCAAGCGGTGTTAGCTGTGCTTTATATACAGGAACAAACACTACTTCTACTCAAGTACCGGCTATTGCAATTTCTGCTCCCGCAAATTTAAGTGCTGGAAGTTATTCCTCAAATGTCCCAAATATTACTTCAACTGCCGGTATAGTAGCACAAACTGCTGCTCAAACAAGAGAATTAGATCTGGCATGTATGGAGGCGGTAGCTGCATTACTTCATGGTATGCCATTACAACCAGAAGAAGTTGATCGTGCAGACTTAATGGATGCTAAATCTCATTTGTTTGCAAAGTGAGTCTAGGTTATTCTATGCATAAATGACAATGATTATTATCTCACTTTCTAAGAAAAATGATGAAAAATAGGTCCATAAGCAACTGTAAGTAATCTCATTCACTTTAAATAAAGTTTACTCAATTCTGATTGCTCAGTGCTCCCGTTGATAGGAATTGTTTTAAAGAAAACACAGTTAGTTCTGTCCCCTTCATTTTACTAAATAAAATTCAAATTATACCTATAAGACAAATAAATTTAGAAATTTCCAGTACTGACAACCCTGTGTACAAACGTCTATGATTGTTATCACTTCACTGTCAGTCAGTCAGCTACAACGTAGAACTTTGCACGTAAGTACAGCAGTTCAAGTTGCCATACCACGATAGCACAGAGATACAATTGTCAGTCCGATTCCCATAGTAGTAGAGGTTGTAGAAGTATTAGCGGTAATCGAAATGATCAGGGTTTGGAGATATTATACAGGAAGTATAATTCATTGAAATAAATTTGAAAAGATCAGGATAGAGACGATGTAGAATTCAGAAGGTTAGAATTTGAGAGGATATATATATATATATATATATATATATATATATATATTGTACAGTCTGATCCACATAGTTTAATTAATTTCAGTAAAATTAAGAAGACGTAGATTGGTAGGATTCCGTAATTAGGATTAATCATTATCTATGTAGATTGTAACAATTAGTAGTGGTTATTCACAGATTTTATACATGATGACTGACACTAATCTAATTCTTCTGTTTTTATTTTATTCATTACATTAGATATTTTTCACTTTTTATGAATCTGTTAAATGATGTGGCAGATGATCGTGAAAAAGGTGCTGAAATTAGACAAAATCATACAGCTTTACGTAATGTCACTGTTCAAGCAATGTCAAACCTATTAAATGCTAATATTGAATCTGGATTAGTTCATGCAATAGGTGAGATTTGAGTAATATTTTCCTGTTTTTTTGTTTACTTTTTTGAATTGTTAACCTTGGGGAGATAACCTTAACTTGTTAATTTGTAGTTGCTTCATCACCAGTGAATGAATAATGTTATTCGTGTCTAATTTTATTGAAATTTATTTGATAACATTTCTGGCGTTTTATTAATTTACATCATGGATTCTTATTGGTCAGATAGCAGTTGAAAAGCAGGAAGCAATAGACATTCATTTTGTCTTAATACGGAACTCCTAAATAGTGCTCAATCATTACCACATCAGCGGTCGAATTCAGGACTCTCAGGTTTCGTAGCGATTGCCTAACATTTAGATCAGTTAGTCAGAATACATTCATGTACATATCCAACTCAAGTTAATTTGAAACATTCATCTCTTATCACCTTTGATGCATTACTGCCAAACATTCAGTCTTGCGAACTGACGAAGTTGGACGTGTATGCTCATGGCTTAAATGCCGGTGAGGTTGCGGGTGAGCGCCGCTAAGGAGTATTTCAGCAGACTGGACAGTTATCTAATAACTTTCTGGTTTTCAATGACTGATTGACTAAAATCACTATGTGATGTAATCTACGAAAACTTGACAGTCTCCACATGTTCCTCATAATGATTTTCGGTTTTGCTTCAAACGGTTTACATAAAAGTTTTTTAACGCTAATGCTGGTCAATGAAAATATTAATCGCTTTTATTTATGTTTATTTCTCAATAAATCACTTTGGAATTACACTGTTACCAAGTCAAACTGCTACATAAATAAAGTATGCTAGACTGCTTTTGATGACAATTTGAGCACGATGATTTTTCTAGTGCTAAGTTATGCAAAATTAGCGAGCGTCTGGATGATAGCAAAATATCTCCATTTTGTTGTATTTGCTTATTTGTTGAACTGATTAACTCTGTTTTTCAAGGATATCCTTTAAATAGTATTTCATGGTTTCTATGGTAACTATTTACTATGGTTCAGAATAAATTTTTCAGGTAGTTCCAAAATGATCTAAAGTTGAAGTTTCACAGTTTGTGTAAATTCCAGTTGTTTTTAGTCAGTATCTAATTTTTTCCTGTTTACAAAATTTGACATGTTATGGTGTACTGTTATCTTAAGATTATTCCATCATTTAACTTTATGGAAGTGTTACAGAAAGATCTTTCCACTTGTAGTTAACAAGTTAATATCTATTTATTATTTAATTTATTTCTTCTTATACACTATTCAACTTGTGTGTTGAGAAAAAATTTTCTTAATAAGCATTTTTTTGTTAAATTTTTAACGTACATTAGGTCTGGGTTATCATAGAGAGCCACAAAGTCGAGCTGCATTTATGGAAGTTTTGACAAAAATTTTACAACAAGGCACAGAGTTTGAAACTCTTGCAGAAACAGCTTTAGCTGAACGATATGAACGTTTAGTTGGTTTAGTGACCATGGTTGGTGAAAATGGTGAACTTCCAATAGCTATGGCTCTTACTCAAGTTGTTTCTTGTAATAATATGGTATGTTGAATTTTTTTTTAATATCAACTTACAAACAGTAACATGGTTAAAAACAAAGATTTGATCATATTTTAGTTAATACAGTTGAGAATGCTATGTGAAGCAGAACCGGAAACGGAATACGACAGTAAACAAAGATAAAATCGATGGACATATGCAATTTGAAAGAGAGCTGACTTTTTAAAAGACTGAATTTACTTTATTCCTCAAATCTTGCTCTTTTTTAATTCGCTTAAATTTAAAAACAGTGGTTCCCTTTGATAAATTTGAACAGAGAAATGAGAAGACATATTTTGTGAGATAGTACCATGACGAGAAAGCACGAAATGGTACTATCTCACAAAATATGTCTTCTCATTTCTCTTAAATTTATTTCAAGAATTAAATGGGAAAATTGAAAACCTTATTAGTCTAAGGCTATTGATTCATTCTTAAAAGGGAACTGTAGCCTTCCAATGGCTACTTAACACTAATTCATAATATTGAAATATTAAATTAACTACATAAACTATCAACTATACATAATATAAAAAACATTATAAGCATTTACGTGTTTCTCATTCACAGGATGAATTAGCTCGGGTTCTTGTTACATTGTTTGATGCTAAACAATTACTTTGTCAATTATTCTGCAATGTATTTTCCAAAGAGGTTAGTATCATAATGTGTTTGACTGGTTTATTTTTACTCATTTAAACCGATTAGAATATAGTTACAGTGTGAATAGCTTTAATTATTTGATAGAATTTTTTGTCTAGTACTAAACTATGTTTTTTCAATAAAAAAAGACAATCCATACTACATCTTTACGATTACTTTTTTCCCTAACCATAAAGTTTGTTCATCAATTGAATGTTAAACTTGATTACTCACTTCTTACTTGAATCATTACTTACTGTTTAATGTATAGATAGAAGGGCCTTCTGAATTTTAGAAATCGAGTTATGATACAAATAAATATATGGTGAAAATAATGCCTCAAAATAAAAATTATTTCTTTTGCTATTCTCCATTATTAAGCTTTTTTACTTTTCACACATTGATACGATGAGATCATTCTTCTATTTTTGTATAGACCACTTTGTTTGTTAATTAACCATAGATACAATTATATTGCTTGAGTACATAAAATAACGTAGAAAAGAAAATTTCGTTTGCTTAATTATCTTTAATTCTTCTGGAAAAACCAGTTAGCTTGGGCGGTAAATTGTAAATTAATGGGCTTCCGACTCTGAAAAGCTGTTTTGTTATGAGTTCAGTATTCTAAACTGCTTTAAAATACTATGCCGAAAATTCTACTACTGATTACATACAATTATCAACAATTTTGTTCAGCATAGTACTCTACACTGTCGGCATATTTAATTAAACATTTTTATTTTATTTTGAAATGTGTCCGATATTGATTTAAGTACTTAAAAGCGATTTTCTGAACGTATACAGATCCACATTAGTTACCGTATTTTATTGAGACTCAGAACTGAAATCACTGGAACAGATTATCTCTATCGCGTTTTATGTCAGCTTCACACTATCCATAATTGTAAAGCATATTTAGATCGAATTTGTGGATATCATTGTGTCATCATTTATCCGTATTGTACGATGAGACTTATCAATAATTGCGAAGTCTATAAGTTTATTTAAGGCATTACAGTGCGTGCTCCAGAAAATAGATTACTACATTTGCAAATATTATCGGAATATAATTAAAGTCATTAAAATATCAATGATTTCCTTTTCACAGTATAGATTAGATTATATGCAATATCAGCATAACAATGACATGATTTGTCAAGGGCCACTATTACTTTATAGATGCTAATTCAATGATTATCAATGTTGTATATAATTATGTTTTAAGTCCATAGTGATGAAATAAGTATGTAGAAATTCTAAGTGATTACTAAATGCATATCGGTTAGCCAACCAGTGACTACATATTTCAGCAAATAAATTTATAAGTCTTAGTGAACATTTCATCTGAAGTTTTATTTAGCTTGAAACTTGACAGTTAGGTATTACGTAACCCTTGATTTGTTTATCAACCATTTTTTCCAAAAAAAGTATCACTATCCAGATATTCTTTTGCTTATATACATCAGACTACTGAAATAATGAAAGTATGTCTAAAATTTTAGTGAATCTTGCGTGATGTTGATTCAGTATTTATTTATGTCAAGAATGGAGTTATGTCTTCAATCAATGACGAATAGAACTTATCCAATGTTTAAGTGTTAATTCATGCTACTATCAGCTTGATGGTCTGTTAACTTTTTCCGAAGATTTTGATCATCGATGCTTATGCAAAAAGTAAAATTCAAGTCACAATATTGTATTACTTTCCTTAAGCTTGAAAACCTTCAAAATAACGTTAAAATTTATTCTTCAGTCCTGAAGTCTATTTTATTAAATAGATAACTTTCCCCATTATTGATCCACATCATATTTTTATAAAATTTAGCTGGAATCAGCTGAGAGTATGCAAGCACCATTACGTGGAAATACAATGACAAGTAAAATTATGAATTATTGTTTCAAACAATTTGGACGTGATTATTTGCAATCAGTGATAGGTCCCGTACTTATGGAGCTAGTCAGACGAGATGCTGGAAATTCAAGTGCTTACGTACCGTTGGCACCATTACCATCAACGATGATTACAACAACAGTAAAAAATGATGTCAGCAATGATACTAATTCAAATTATAATGATATTCAAAAATTAAGTGAAACATCATTCATCAACACAAATGAATTATTGGAAGATATGACAAAATTCACTCAAAATAAATTGAATTTATCCTATGAAGTAGATCCTAGGCTATTACAAGCAAATGAAAATTTAGAAGATAATCAGAACAATTTAATTTTTGCGACTGAATTATTATATAATAAATTAATTAAATCTGTGGATAGGTAAGAAGAAAAATATTCATATTTTTATATATGTATTTTATTCAGTTACTGATCTGATCTATTTGATTTTTTAAGCAATCATTATTTTGTCACTTAATTATTATTTCATGCTGCTTTCATTTAGTTTGGTTTAAACTGATATTTAGCAAAACTGAGGACATAGATGATCAGTGACTGTTCCATCAAATAGATCAATACATAATAGGATAACATCTAACTGTACAAATAAGTGATGATCTATATTTATAATTCAATAATCATTAGAGATTAATTAATATTCATGCTTGCTCATACATTATGCACGGTTTTACATTGATAAGCATCGGTTCAATTCGACACATTTTACAATAATACAGAGAAAACAATTGGTAAACTGTAAAGCAAATTAGTCGATTAGAAAACTAAATGTAGGAAGAATGTAATTCGTCAAAAATGTAATATATATATATATATATATATATATTACTGGTGGTAACATAGTGGATATCAGCTTTAAGAATAGTGAAGCTTTGAATATACATTTCAGAAGTCAAAAGCATTTGTTACAGTATGTTTAATTTAACATAATTCATTAAAAAAATGTTTAAAACAAACATAATTTTATTTTATATTTTTTGTACTAGTTTCCCATCTAGACTACGATGTATGTGCAGATGTTTATACAAATTAATTGGTCATTTAGGCTATGGAAATCAATCTCATGATCAAGCATTGAATGTTTTGTCAACAGTTGTATTTTTACGATTTATTAATCCAGCTGTTGTATCGCCTTATGAAAGTGGTATATTAGATTTTGAACCGCCAAGTCGTGTTAAACGTGGTCTTATTTTGATTGGAAAAATGATGCAAAATATTGCAAATCAGTTATTATTTACCAAGGAGCCACATATGCGTATATTTGATTCAGTTTTGCAAAAACATTTTGAATCATGTAGACAGTTCTTTAAAGTATGTACTGTTATTGGTTTCTAATATTTTAAATGTTTTATACTAAACATTTATCAATCATTTAACTCCGCCTTTGTATTCAGTCCTTGCGATTATTGATCTATTGCTTCGTAAGGACTTATAGGTTGCTGAACTAATAAAACTGATAAAAGCTGACGAAAGATCATTGTGAAAAACGGTATTTCTAACCAAACATCGCATCATCGCAGGGAGAAGAAATCAAAATGAAAATGAAGTAAAAAATGAAGGTTGATTTCAACTGAAAACGGGATAGGAAAATGAATGATCAGTATTGACATGATTTAAGAGAATATATAGAATGAAAATATTTACGCAAGCGCTACTAATTTTGAAACATATTACTCAAAGTCTCCGACCTCTGATTATGGGTATGGGACTGGGTACAACCATATTTTCGACACTTAACGGTTCAATTAAGTATCAGTAGATAGTTTTGCTTTCTGTTCATTAGATCAGAGGGAATTCTACTGATCAAATTGCAAAGTTATTCAGCAAATTGGCTAGTACTGCAGTGCACGATATTTTGATGGTACTTGATTATAAACTATCAGTATGGTTTGTTCCAGTCTTATCTCATAATTTCCGTAATGCTTAATCAATAAGATCAGTTCAATAAAGCTTTGGTAATATTCTCACAAGGTAATTAGGTGTTAATATTGAAATAAAGATTATGTAACAGTTTGTGTTCAAGATATCTAGTCAATAGTTCGTTATTGCGCCAAGTTGTTGACCGTTCAAACTGTTAGAGAATAACAGATTCTAATTATCGTTGAAATGGATCATCTAATGAAGCCTTTCAATAAACCTGCTCTCAGTAATACTTTTCACAATATCTTCTAAATGAATTGGCTACAGTTCTTAAAAGGCCGTCTCGAAAATATCTACGATTTCCTAGTATATTTGGATTTGTCTAGCAGCGAAACTAGGAATGCCCATTTTTTCCTTGTAGACCAGTGTTTATGTTTACGCCGCGACTCAAACCTAAAATCCCACTAATACAAATGACTTCATTTTTTGGGTTTGTAAACCCCCCTTGTTGACAACCAAACTCCAAACATTAAAAGTGCATACATAAAATATTATTTCAAGCCATTCACTGAAGATGTACACACGCCTATAGAGATTAATCAAATAAAGTCCTGAATAATAGCATCTAGAGAGTATAAACCTATCCATATGTATATATATTTCCGGATTTTAGAAATTTAGCTTACCGTGCTCTTAGTTAAGTGCTGTAAAAGAAATGGAAGACCACACACGAGCATTATTCAATATTTGATTGCATTTCGGTCTTTATTTTTAGATATCTTATATATTTATTCATCTTCCTTGTAGGAGGTTTTAATGTAAAAGATACGGCATAAAAAAGAGTGGTTTAGTCAGTCACATTTCATTAGTCTCGTTTTGATTTGTTACTGTAATAAAAATTACAGATTTTAATGGATATTCTTTGAAGATAAATTTTCAGGGAGATAAAGTTTTCTTGAAAGGAGAGATCTTTTCACCTTTTTTAGGCAATTGTTGAAGAGTCTACTAAACCTGATAAATCTTTGGACCCATCTACATTCAATGGTCTGCTGGATCCTTTAATAAACAACACTAGTCAATTAGTTGTCTCCTCTTCATGGTTATCCGGTGCACATGCTAATTCATCAACTGGAAATCCTTTAGAAGCTATTGTTCCACTGACAAGTGATAATGTCTCACCAATATCAGGTTGTACAAATACAGGTGGTGGTGGTGGTGGTGGCGGTGGCAGCGTCGAAGGAGGTGGTGCTGGCAGTTGTATGATTTCTTTTATTTCTGATGATCTTATACATGCTTTACATCGATTATTATTTACAAATCAAAGTAAAATTGGAGACTATTTGGCTAGCAATCGGTAATTCAAACAAAATTAGTTATTTTTTATTTCATTAAATGATGTATATATTTCGTTTAGGTGAATAAATCACTTCATAAAAATTAATTGAAGCATTTAATGGAATGATTTTATTTCATATGCTCTAAATTTTCCAAAAATTAACTTATTCCAGTGATTATTTAGTTTTTTTGTGTTATACTTACTGAGAATATGAAGTCTGAAATGTTATGAAGTAATAATTGAAAGTTCAAATGAGTTTTATCATTCATTTTTAATACGTTTGTACAAAACTAAAAGTTTTTTCTCCTTTTTCCATATACAGTGATTGGAAGGCTGTTGGCAGACAACCATTTGACAAAATGGTGACTTTATTGGCACATCTAGGTCCACCTGGGCATAAATCTGTTGATTGCATGTAAGTTTAACTGATTAACCTGATTTATGATGATATGACTCTTAGATTGAGCATGTTGTTCATATGGATTTCGTATTAGATCATTAGGTACGATTGCATAAACTCACAAGTTCAGTTTTTATAAACAATCACTCGAAAATTTATGAACATATCATTGACTTAACTAAGAAGATTGATATGGATTTTCTTCAATTGCAGTCCAATACTACCCGACTAATAATACTGCTACTGTGTACTATAAGCGATCCATAGCATACTCGGTTTTTCAATCTATTTCCCGAATTCTAGGATAATCAGGCAACATTGTCGTACCTGCATTGCAAACGTACAATGAGCTGCAGCAATAGTACCACTTCATCTAACTTCAAGAAATACTTGTGCACAAATTATCACTTCTTATTTAAATACTTTTTCAATCACTTTTCTATGCATGAATATGTTAATTTACTAATTTATATTTAGGTGGAATTACTTGGATATACCATCAACAAGATTAGAAGATTGGGTACTACGTGGTTATCAATTTCGTGACAGTGAAGAATTCAAGCATTTAAAAAATGTAAATGCATTTTATCAAGCTGGTACTAGTCGATTAGGCAACCCAGTTTTTTACTATATCGCTAGGAGATATAAGTAAGCACCTTGTTTCATTTGTATTATTTAGTGGTTTATTTTTAATACTGTCTGATTATCGACGGCTAAACAGACACCCTACTTGTCTGTAATGTATTTCTACAACCCACAGGAAACACTGAAAGACGATTCAGTCTACAATTACTCAGTTAAAGTTTTAGAAAAATTTCCGTTTTTCTAGTTTGTATATCTGATAGTTTTCCTTGGCATAGAGCTCATTTGATGAATTCATAACTTTGAAGAGACCCACGATGATTCTGGCTTGTTTCGGTAATACTAGTATAGTTTCAATGACATGTGAAGCGCATTGACTAGGGTAAGACATTTGATAGTTTATTATACTATGCTTTTCTGTTAGTTGATTGGAATGAATCAATACGAAACTCTGAGCCTAGGCTATTGGTATACACTGGTGATCAGTTGCAAACAGCCCAAAACTTCAGTTCAGATTTCCTCAACGGTTAGACTCAAATAATTTACATCAAATAAAATTCATTCTTATATTAACCCATTCGTCATATTAACCACACTATAAAGTTGACTGGTGTAAGTTGATCAGTCTAAAATCTGAACAATATTAGATTAGTTATCCCCTGGTGACTAATCACTATAATTCTTGAAACAAAACCGAATACATAATAATGATTTCAATATTATCTCACAAAACCATTTGTTTTGTTTTGCGAAACACAACTGTTACTTTCAATTACCTACGTTTGATATAATTTTCCTTAATAAAAAAAACGGATATCATTATTATGTCTGCTATGTACGATTTACTTGAGTATAATATGCACTATTTACTTCTCGACTTTAGTTTCAGTGGAATGAAAATTTATACAAATCCAGTCAAGTCTAATCTTTATCATCATCAATCTAAGTTTCTTTAATAGTTTATTCAATATTTATAAAACTCTAGTATTGTTTTGTTGTTTTATTGCAAGTCGTCAGTGCTTCGTAACTGTTTCATCGAAAGTTAAAATGAAACAAGTATACTAGTTTTGTATTTTACTTCAACCACTAAGTGAAAATACTCACTTACCAGTCGAACGATACACATCTTGTAATTCATGTTAATTCCATAATTAAATTTCCTGATGATAATCGGAAAAATCATTGTGAAGACGATTAGAGTAACGACTGAGTTGGTTAATTAGTTATTAAATGTTACTTTAATTGATGTAGATCACATCTTGCTGTATAATTTCAGTGTATTTTGTGGACTCATTTATTTCTCATAATATTAGTAATTAATATAGTCGTTATTGAAGTCATATCTCTGTTTATGTTTAGATCAAAACTATTTCACTCTATCTAAAATTACAAAGTTTTAGTAAATTAAAGTCATCATTAATAAACATCTATCTGGCAAACTACTACTTTATGTTTTGCAATTATTAATGATCTGTTCTAATAATTTATAATGATTTTCTAAATAATAAATATAGTGTAATTTAAATATCCTTTATGTTTTATGCAAATAATTATTTCATTGACATTTATATAATATGAGACTGTTCAAAGAGCGACGACCTGAATGGGTTATAGTTTCTGTGTAATGTTTTGAATGACCGTCTCTAATATTCATGTTTGTCTAGACAAGTGATCCCGGCATTCCCTATTGTAAGCTCAACAGAAAAACATTACATCGAAACTACATCTATTCAAATCATTGTTGTCTGAAAAATATCTCGTCAAATTATATCGATAAAAATTAACCCAACAATATTCTTTTGTAATCATTTATGTGCATTATACTCCATTTTTAAGATCACGAGAATATCAACGCGTGGAGTATCCATTCATAATATGTTTAGTTTCAATGACATTGGATGCTTATCGTAATAAACCCTTTGAAGTTGTGATTGATTTCACTCATACATCAGTTGAAAATCGATTTAAGGTTAGTTTTCATTGTTTTTGGATTGCTATTATATTAAAAACTTGGATATACAAACATAGAATATTCTTTGTGATAATTTTTCTCATTAACTTCTTTCGATAAACATTTGAGTTTACAATTTTTCCGGTGCAGGAGTCGTAGATGCGCACTGCTGATGAGTCCCATACCAGGACGAAACGGCCGTCCAATGCTTCCAGGTTTCTAATGGTAGTCTAACAATGATTGATTAATGATTTCAATGTGCAAATAATAGAGTTTAATCTTGTTTCCACGTAAACACATTCTAGATATGCTTATTAACATTCTATCATAATCACATTTACTGATCTATTCAACTTTCAAAATTCATCATTTTATTGCATTTATTGCACTTTATATGTTTAATTAATTACTGGTAAGATTATGTAAGCCTCTAGTTATATCTAATTTATTAGCATAGAACGATCTTAGCATTCATAGATTCAATCATTTTTACATTAGAAAACTTATGATTAGAATTAAGTTCATGACAAATACTGGGATGAGATATTTATGGATAAATTCTGTCTAGTCTGATTAATTTTACCTTTATTCTAATTTTTTAACGATAAATGGTAATCGTAAACATTTTTTCTCAGTAATGTTGTTTATTTTAGAAATGAATATAGGTTTAGAATAGTAATATTTAGTTTGTATTCATTTATTAAAGTTCAATTATACTATATTTATCTGCTGTTTTTAACTTAATACAGTATGTTGAGACAATAGACTATCTATAAACACTACAAACATTACCTCCTATTGATAATTGAATATAAGTGCCAATAAAGTATGACAAAAACTCTAATACAGTTATATACACTTTAAAGAGTTACTTGATCGTCGTTATATATTTACAGTTCATTTCACCACTTGACTATAAGAGATTTTTAGTATATTACTCCTATCACTAATAGTCATCAATTTGAAGAATATATTCTTTGAGTTTTTAGGTTTTATTTTAATTAATATCAACATTATCCTACGATAAATTAACTGTTTACATTCATTAAAGTGAGTTGTATTGGAGTTTATGATATATGTTTCTTTTGATACGAGACCTTTCAAACTGAAAACAACTCATACTCACTAAACAAGAGATAATTTTGCTAAATTAGTGATAATACCATAAAGAGGTGATTTCTGAATTTGAATTTGAATAGAAATACAATTTATAATACAAAGACAGCAAATAAATGACACATATGCATATGACCCTGCCAAATAATGTACTAAGTTACTATCAACAACAGTGTAATGACATTCATGAAAGGACTCCATGTACAAGATTTTAAAGGTCAAATGTCAGAGTTTTAAATTTCTAATTTCTATTTGATTTTAAATGTCATAAGCTCTAAGACACTGTTTCTCCGCTAATACCCTGTTTCATAATATTGTTTTAGAATGATCTTTTAAACAAATGGGCCAATATCATTGGACCAGTGTTACGTGAATATCTCGTTGCTGCGTATATTTACAATTGCAATTCCTGGGTTCGCGAATATACCAAAATACACGACCGATTTTTCTCACCAATCAAGGTGCGTTGGCAATTTAGCCTATTGACTTCATATGTTTTAATACATAATATACTTTTATGAATGTAAACTGTAGAAAATAAATTACAATGAGTATGTGAAAGCACTTTTGTAAACCACTTTTTAAAAAATCCAAAGTCAGTGTTCCATTGATAGATTATTATTAATATTCATATGTAACAATTTCTACTCACTCCGTGTTTTTACCCACATAGAAATCTTTCCCTCCAGAGTGCGCTCAAATAAATAAATTTTTCATTGATTTCACAAACAAATATTATAACGAAACAAATTAATCACTTAACAGACGATTTTTTTTTAAATTTTAAGATTTTTAATGCTTTTTTCTAAAAAATAAAAACAAGATCGGACTTGACAACGTTTTACACCAACTAAAACTTGTTACTCAGGATGCCTATTTGTTCAGAAGTAGTATGATGATATATTACTGTAAAGCATAATTTCATCATTTAATACAAAGGTTAATCATAAACAGCTACAATTTACTGCCTGTGAGAAACATTCACTTGAAGGCAATTTATGCCAACTTAGAAGTAAACACGGTGTTAATTAAAATCAATCATTCACCTAACTAGTTATGTTGTTGAACTAAACGATGAAGTTGTTATTTCACAGTTGAAATAAAGTGTATACTAAAAGCCACGTTCAATGTTAAATGAAACTGAAAACTTTTTCTTAAACGATATTATGGATACTGTAATCTAGTTGAAGTTTCCATGTTCCTTTGAAATAATGGTTGGCAAGTTATTCGACAAAATATCTCTATTCCTTACTTATCACTTGTATTCGATTTACTACTCAATATTAATTTCTTATCATATTCATCCAAAATGTTAGTTGATTTTTTTTAGAACAATAACAACATTGTTTTATAACATATAAATATTAGTTTACTTATCTATACAACTCACATGACTGAATAAAACTTACTAAACAGTATTCATTTAAACTGAAATTCATTGTTGACATTAGTAAAAAAACGTATTGATTAATCTTTAGTGTTTTTTTTATCCATAGGGTTCTAGAAAACTTGTTTTCATTGATCACCCATCACGTTTAAATGAATACATTGAACCGGATCAACAAAGACTTCCTGCTGGAACATTAGTTTTAGAAGAAGATTTACGTGTATTCAATGGAGCTTTGAAATTATCACATAAAGACACGAAAGTAGCTATCAAAGTAAGTAAAAGTATTGTAGGTCAAGTATCCAATATAGTAAATTCTAAAATAATGACCAAAGTTGAAAAAAGTTTGAATTATTTTCATTGCAGATGTAACATCCTTATAGTTAACATATTGACGACACTACAAATTTTATATGCATAGTTCTCTTCACTATCTTGAAAAGAGTTGAAACAGTAACTATAGCGGAATAACATGGATTCATTTTATTTCCAAAGATTTTCATCAACTGCTTGCAACCCACAATATTTTAATTTCAAACTAAACTGTAAGAGTGTGTTTGAGTAACTGTTCCAATAATCCTAATTGGTTCATAGCCATTTCATTTAATCTAAAAAATAGAGAATATGAATGACTGATTTATGATACTAGAAATATGATTTGAGCTATATAGCTGGAATTTAACACTGTAATTTAGGGTCAGAATTTATGGTAAATACAAATAAATAAATTACTTTCTAGTAGTAGCTGCAAAGCATATGTAAATATGAAAGTACGATAAGGTTGGGATGTGAGGCTAAAGTGATTAAAAAGACATGATACATAAATTACTTTGAAATGACATTTACTACAAGGATCGTAATAATTTGATTATTAGTTGAAAACAGGTAATTCCTTAGAGGAGGTCTAGGAAATTCTGTTGAACTATGAATAAAGTTTATAGCTTTGGATAAAAGTTCAGTTTATGATAAGGATATCGACTTCATTGTCTTAGGTTAGGATAGGAAAGTAGTTTAAGATTCACATTTGAAGCTGCGATTCGGTGTGTATGAGAGTCAACCTAAAACCTCATCCTAATCTTAAATCATAAATGTAAACCCTGAAACCTGGTCGTAACTGTAACCTATAAACATACAGTCAGTTTATTTTAGCTGGACTTACGATCGTACTAATGGTGATTATTCTATATAGAAATTCCTAAATATTTATTCACAATGAAAATATTTCCTTTGTTTAGTGTAAATGCACATCCTGAGATATTTTGATAGAATGTTCTTATCAATTAAACGTTACACTATTTTGTTGAATAAAAAAAGTGACATTAATATTTAATTTAAAGGCAAACAACTGTTCTCATGAAGATTGGACACAGTAATGTATAATATGTAGCTATTAAAAAGTTTTCATTTCCAATATTGCATTAGTTTTGTTACAGGTCTAATTGATAAATTGTTTTTTGTTTGCTTTTTTTCCAATAATCAGGTGTGTACAAATGCTATTCAAGTTACTACAACTGAAAAAACCAAAGTTCTTGGTCATTCAGTTATTTTGAATGATGTCTATTACGCTTCAGAGATTGAAGAAGTGAGCAATGAGTTTTATATTCTATAATTATTAAGTTTATTATTGTTCCTATAACTTCTTGTAGTAGTAGTAGTAGTAGTGAGTAAGTCTGACGGTTACAAATTTATAAAAATCCATGAGATTTTTTGTCCTGTTCACGTCAAGTACGTTTAAAATTAACCCGAGCTACTCAATCTAAAGAGTTATGAATCCATAAATATCGTTTCCATAGCATGCAGTTGATTGATGCGCGTCGATTCTACTTGACCGTCACTAGGATCGGGAAACTGTTCAACATTCATTGATCTGCCGGTCAGATGATTTGACAAGTGATATTTCACTAGATCTATAAAGCTATTGTATGCAATATTCTTTGTTTTTGATCATATAATCCTGGACGATCGAGAGTATTATTTTCAATATACAGATGGCACACTAACCATATATTAAAAAATGTCAATAAATAGGAGCTGTCGAATAGTTTTAATAACATTTACTTAGCTATCCAATTCACCAGCAAAGAAAAGTATGATAACCGTATAGTTTTCTTTGATGTCCTTCAATCTAGGAAAATAGATAGTTCGATGAAAAGGTATTTATATAGAAAGAATACATGAACTGGTTAGTACACATATTTTCATAGTTTTACACTTCAGGACAAAATAAATCTGGTTCAATATTTCAGCCGTAAAATCAGATTATTATCTTCTGAGGATAGTGTAGATGGTAGAATAGATAAACTAAAGAATTCACAATGAAATAATGGCCATAAAGATAATATCAACAATGTATCTGTCTGAATTGAAACGTAAGACAAACTGCAATACGATCAACAAGAAAACTCTTTAAAGACTTGATTTTAAATGTGATATATAGGGTTTAATTTTAACTCAACTCTAAAGATCTAATGTAAAATCATTTAACGCCGTCAAGTTACATTTGATCTCAATTAAAAAAGTAAATACACAAAGAATTAACGATAGGTTACCGGTGCTGGGCTTTTCTGCGTGTATATACCAATCTAACTTCTCCTGTGAAGCTAATTGCTTAGGACGTACTTGGAGGGCTTTATCTTTGTGTGCTCGTGAATATAGTTGAGAAAAGGCGTCAGAAAATCTATTAACAGCTTGATTGTCATTTGATAGATGGTTAAAGTATATTAAAGGGGATAGGGTTTTCTCTGCTTAAAAGAGCAAGCTTACCTATCCTCTATGTAACTCAAATCATCAAGTTCAACTCTAGAAACCTCTAATTTGGTCCACTATTTGATCGCCAAATGCCTAAACTTTACATTGTAAACGCCTTACCTCCAGCTTTAATTCCCTTCATTTTTATATCTGCCTTGGCCATGCTTAATTAAGACATTCATCTTTTCCGACTCACCTAATTACTTTGACAACAGGTCTCTTATCGCATGGCGTTATTATTATTATTGTCTTCATTAACCAGATAAAATACTCGAACTGTACATTTTAATCACATGATTTAATTTTTTATTTGTTGTGCTGACTATAACTTGACACTTGACATTGCTTCATTGTAACCTTTTGTGAATGACCTTTCTAATTTACAAGTGACATATTTTTGAAGTATTTATGTATCAACAAATGCAAAAATTCACGACACTGTCTAGCATGCCTTATTTTGATATTCGTAACACAACACAATAAGCATGAACTTACAACTATTGAGCCTGATAATGAAGTTCTTGAAAATACTGTTTGTGCATCTTCGTCAATCAGTTAAATAAATAATGTATATACATGGTACAGATAATTTGTTACATTTGTCATCTATTTGTTACTTTGTTTGAAAGTGGTAAAAAATTAAATTAAATTTCATGGCTAAATATTTCCACTAAAGTGTCATTTATTCAAAATGGTAATTGGAACCTTCGCAAACAACACTTTAATCTCAGCAAAGAGCAATCATTGTTTTAGCTGAGATTAATATTCTGTCTAGATACTGTTTTTCTTCAAATACATAATTGGTGATTAGTTCCTAACTCTATTGATATATGAAATAATTATATGTGGTTCCTTTGATCATATCATAAGTTGTTTTGAAATTATTTATCATGAACTAAACAGAATCATATAATCTCTGTATCGGTAATATTTTCTTCATTGACTATTTTTATACATATACAGAGTAAAACTCAAAATAAACGATTTTATATTTGCATGCATAGTTTTTCACTCATATTCGAATACTTTAAGTATCATTGAAATCATGGATTGGTTAATTTTAGACCACCATTAGAAACCTGGAACCACTGGATGCCTTCGGCAGTGCCCATCCACGATCCATTATTTAGGAATCGAACCCACGACCTTCCGTCTCGCACTTGAACGCACTAAACTGCTCAGCCGGGCTTTAAGGGTATTATTGCCAATCTTAAATCAACCCACAGTTCTACGTAACCTTCCCCCATTGTATTTAGTAGATAACTGCCTCACACCCGACAAGATTGAACTCCATTGGTTATGACTTCTTCGTTTAAACTCTTGAAGCATATTCTTCCAGCATACCTCATAGTTGAATTTTTATACCGCAGCTGCACGATATTGTTTATAAAATTAAATAAGGAGTCAAAAAAGAGCTAAACATAACTTACGACGAATAAATTATCATCAAATCTCTTTATTCAAATCTTTTGATCAAAATTTGTAAATGTCTCCTATCAGTCAGTCAAAAATCGAACAACAGTTAACATAAATCTGCATTGTCTCATTACTAAGATGCAAAGTAAAGAAATAGAACTATTAGTGGTTTCAATGTTAATAACACTTCTGTTATTTAGTAAATAGAGTACAATCAACTCCAAATGTTATATGTGCATATTTATTTTCATATAAATGGTAATTCCCTTTCATTTAGAGGTTACAACCTATAAAGTTAATAATTCAAATGCGTTTAACAATTGCATAACATTATCTCTTAACTAGAAGTTCACGTATCAATTTTCTTTTTTTCACACAAAAATCTGATGTTATTTACTTCACTTTAAAAAGTTACCTTAATAATAATATATTAGATATTTCCTATAAATATACATTGTTGATTTTAATTTTCTATTTTGTTTTAGGTTTGTTTAGTTGATAATAATCAATTCACATTAACCATTTTAAATGATAATGGTCCATTATCTTTTATACATGATGCATGTGATTCTATTGTTCAAGCTATTATACATATACGTACAAGATGGGCATTATCTCAACCGGATACACCAGCAATTCATGCAAAGATTAGACCACGTGATGTTCCTGGAACTTTACTAAATATAGTAAATTTTTGTTTTTTTTTCACACTTTTCATATAATTTATACACTGTCATTCCTATACAGTACGTATGTAAATGAAGTAATATAACATTACCCATGTATTATTTCAGAACTGATCAAAAGTAATAGAAGTAGAGTTTTGTAATAGTATATTAATTGAATCGGATTGATCATTAAGTCGTACTGGACAATAATTAATGTTGCGTAAATGATTAAACGATAAAATTACAGAATATATTTTTGTAATTGTGAAATTACAAAAAAATTGCATACTTATAAAACTCTCTATATTTGTTTATCAACCATTATTCACTAATATCAAATAATCAATCGAATACTACTGAAATAAAATCTTTTTTAAATAAATAGTAAAGTAGCGAACAATTAGATCAATTTGTTTACCGAGAAATATTTATCAAATTACAAAAACAACCACAAATTAACACAGATTACTAAACAATCAACAAAACTTCTTGTTGATGAGCAAGACTTCAATTATGACCTTTCCATTATTCATGTTACGAAAGATGAGCAAACTTAAAATGTTTGCTTAGATTTAGATACTGTGATAATACAGTCCTTAACTAAAATCCCGAAATTTCTAGTTCATTTTTAAGCCAACAGAATGAAATTTCGACTTTCAGCCAGTTATCTTATTGTTTATCTTTTAATTATACGAATAACTAATATATAATCAGTCGTCTTTCAATACACTTGTTGGGCAAACAGATTTTATATTTGAATAGCGTTTCGCTTAACATTAATACGAGGAGAGTTAACCAGTTAGTTATTCAGTGACACGACTAGTGTAGACTTATTTGTGAATGTAACTGGGGATAAAAATAGCTGGTAGACCAGATCTGTCATTATTTATATCATCATGTTTATAACTGAGTGAAAATCAGTGCCCAGTATTGGCTGGCTTCAGAATGAATATCATAAATTACTAATCAACAAACCATGAACTATTAAGAATGAATGACAGTATATAATAGACAATCACTCCAAAATCGTTGACTGACAAATATGAAGTTATTAGTTTTTAATTATAAACTGATGAATAGTACAATTTTGTTTGTTAAAACTCAAGGTTTTGTGTGTTGTTGAATATGACAGTAACCCTTTGATATTTCCTTTTCATAGTTGAAATTATCATTGAAAAAAATTCATTTAAGGAAACTAGACTATTTTAATTTATCATCATGGAGTGCATCTATGTCAGTACTTTATTATTATTTATCGAAGTTTAAATAACAATTGACTGTAATCCCAGTGACAGAAAATTTAATTTGTTCATATTTATTTGTATATGCAATGTAAGCTATTTGATAAATCGGTTAATTTCTATTTTATCCTATTTTTTTTTTAAATTTAGGCATTACTTAATTTAGGTAGTTCCGATCCAAATCTACGATCAGCTGCCTACAATTTACTCTGTGCATTGACACAGACATTTAATTTAAAAATTGAAGGACAATTGTTAGAAACTAAAGGATTATGTATTCCTGGAAATAATACACTATTTATCACTGAGATAAGTAATCGTCTAGCACAATTAGAACCGCATTTAACGTTGGAATTTCTCGAGGAATGTATTCAAGGATTTAGTCGTTCGAGTATCGAAATGAAACACTTGTGTTTAGAATATATTACACCTTGGTTACCTAATCTAACACGTTTTTGTCGTTCGGATGATGCTAAACGTCAAAAAGTAAGTTTCATTATATTATCGGATACGTTGTGCTGTGAAATAATTTTGATTACTGGTTATACTTTTGAACAAAATTTTGTTTTTATTACAGTTACATCTGAAGAACTATAGCAAATCAGAGAGGCTTATGTAGCTATTTCATTTCAGTTGGAAATTAATCGACAGTATGCAATGCTAATCTCATAACGGATCTAAGTTACGATATTCACATTGCACTGTCTTACTCAATAGGACTGAAGTTAATAAAGTTAATAATTGTAATTCAAACACATAGGCATTCAAGAGCCGTTGAATTTTCGCTATATTTATCTTTAAGTTATATTTAACTTTACAAAATTCTCTAGACAATCTAAATTAATAAATTTTAAATTTTTCAAATCTATACCTAGTGAGTGGTGCATCAAGTAGACCTATCAACATTTTACAAAAGAACGGATAAACAAGTTCAGTTCTTTGATGTTAACTGTTATACAACGTGATTTAGTATTATTCTATTATTTTGAATTTTATAAGTTGCATATGAATTCGTTCCTCAAGGAGATTAGATTCAAATCTTGTTTAAACATGGTTACTACTGATTTATACCTAGTTGTCACGTATTTCAATCCAGTAAGTTATCAATTATTTTATTTTATTTTATTTTAGGTAAATTCTATAATTGATAAGTTAATCACTTTGACTATCGAAGAAGAACAAATGTATCCGTCAATTCAAATAAAAATTTGGGGAAAATTGGGTCAAGTTCCACAACTTTTAGGACTTGTTCTAGATAATTTTATACAACGTTCTGTTAGTTGTGGATTAGGTAGTTTACAAGCAGAGATTATGGCTGATACGTCAGTTGCACTAGCAGCTGTGAACAAACAACTTGTATCAAAGAAAGTATTATCTAAATTATGTCGTGTAAGTATGCTATTTTGTTCGTAAGATCTGTTTACTGCTTTCTAAAGTATATGAATATCTATAATTTTTGACAATATTCAATAATGATCTGATTCCGTCAATCAAGTTGTAATGTGATCACCATTCTAAACGACTAGGTATTGCATACATTTGTGACGTACAACAGTTAGAGGTAGTTATCAGGAAACCATGGATCTAGATCTCATGTTAGTAGGCACTCCTCAAGAAGACGTATTTTTAATTATCAAGGAGCTTATGCTTTCCGTGGGATTCGAATTCACATAACCAAATTTCACATTCTGAAATATTATCACTGAGTTACCTACTGATAAGTAACCACTACCATGAGGTCTAAGTTCTAATGACTACCTCGAACTACCTAAGTTACTACTTTTCATTAACATTCTATAGACCTCTATGGAGTAGCTTTTAAATGGGTCATATTAGAAGAGTCTTTCCAACTTTTTATCTGTGTATAAACTATTTGAACAATAATTATTTAACTGTGAACAAATGGAATTAACGATAGCGGATCATACACCGGCTTACTACATGTCTGAGAGTTGACTTATGAAATTACAATACATGCAAAAGTTTCTAATATTTGAACATCAACGCCAAAGCATTGAACATGTGTGGTAAAGCTGTTATGTAAGTAATACCACAGTTAGGCGTAGATAATTAGGTTAAGATAATAAGTTAGTTGTAAGGATTGTGAAGCTGAAGTAAATTGGGTGGTCGCAGCTTATATTATTCATATTCAGATACAGCCTGTCATGACATGTAATCCTAGGTAGCATAAGAGAAAACAACCAACAAACACTTTCAGGTAACGGAGTCATTTAGTATTACAGTGAGTATGTATACTTATCTATTTTGAATGTAATCAACATTTTTTATGCTTACATCAATTTATCTAATAGATATGCTAATCACTGTAGTTCTTTTCTCTTTGAAAAAAATTCAATGTTTTTTTTCTCCAATTTCTCAAACAGTTTATTGAGAAGACGTGTTCGGCTCCAACAACCCTATTAGAACAACATCCATTATGGCCAGAAACTGCACCATTGCTACGATATTTATTAATGCTATCATTCAATAATTGTTTAGACAGTGAGTATTTAAAAAGAACAATAAAAATATGTATTTTTTAAATACCTTTATGTGTCAGCTAATATGGTTTTTGTAGGTTACTCATGGGAGGAAGAGAATAAGTTCGGAACCAGGATTAAACAGGTGTCTGGTGCTTTTTGATCATCCAATGATAAAAATAATTCTCTTTGAATTAACAAAAATGTTAATGTCTTAATTGTATTCCATCTTGTCATATGATAATGTGGATAGTTATCTCTTTTCAAAAGACTTATGAATAGTGGTATTGTTTAGCATTAAGATACACGTAATTGTTCGCTGAATATATAACTTACCATTAATATGTATAAAACATTATGTGGAAAGTTTGCTACAACCTTTAATTTTGATCGGTACAAATTTCATATACAATAGGATTCGCCATAAAAGCAAGATGTTCGCTTTGTTTCTCTATAAGTTTGCTTTTAACTTCATCAATAGTAAGTACTTAGATATTTAGTTTAGTGAAACCCTAGTTGAAGTTCTGATGATAGTATAAGTAATTCACTTGCTTTCATGCTTCAGCAATCTGGACTTTATCTATATTTCATTTATTTAAACACATAAAAACTTGTACAAAGAGACATCTGAATGACTTTTTATCACGCAAATTATTAAATTCGTGAGTGGACTGAGATATTACCCGGGTGCCCAACCATACTCACTAACCGGGTTCAAGCTCCAAACATTCGTTTTTCGGCCTATATATATCATTTATATTTATTTGATTTGGTACTCTAGAGAATTGGTTTTGTATTTGTCAACATTCATTATTATTAACCTCGGCTGAAATCCAAATGATACTAAAAAAGTACTGTAATTATAAAGTAATAAAAATTTTATTGATACAATTTCTACTGTACACGTGATAAATAGTGTTTATATACATTTTCATTCCAGTATGTACACATTTGCCTCGATTATTTCATATTGCTACTCTATTGGTATGTACTGGTCCACTTTCTCTGAGAGCGTCCGTACATGGATTTGTAATTAATGTTATTCATTCATTGTGCACTTCATCTCTAGCTAAACAAATTTCTGGTGAGTTAAATAATTTGACTGAAATATTAAATCTTATCTATGAATTTGGTCCTACCGATATGAAATTTTAAAAAATTAAGATTTTATGCTAACTTGAAAATATTCTCTCATTGTAGTATTAGAAAACAACAATTTGACAGATGTATTGATTAGGTTGTTCTCCATAACTATCTGAAATTAATTTTGCTTTTCTGCAAAGTTGTACCTTAAAATACAATCAGATATAAATAGGTTTCTCAGAAAATATAATTTTTACAAAATTGAACAAAAATCGATTAGACAAACATCCTTGAGCAACACAACCTGATGTAATGAGATCAATGTAAAATTCGATGTTAACAATATTTCATGGCTAGGTTTGACTTGTTAGTTAGTCTGTGAATAACAAGAACCATATATTTATTATTTCATTGCTTATTCATTAAGAATTCGATGTATTTACAAGAAATTAAAAAAAGTAGTAGAAGTGATACTCGATACTACATAATCCCTTATTCAACGAAATTAATCGAAGCTTCCTTTCCAAGGAAGAGCAACTGGGCATTTCTTCTGTTCAATCGATGTAACGATAAGAGCATTTAATTTCCATATTTTACTCCTGTTACCCCTAATTTGGCATAAGCCGCCGACCAACGAATTATTTTTTTGGTTAGCGTTTTTCTCTCGACTTGGATTTCTACGGCATGGTGTCTTTAACTCCATGCCTAACCCTCCTTCTTTATCTCGGCTTGGAACCGGCAGTAACCCTACAAGGGCTTCAGGTGGAGTTATTTAATTTCCATGGTTTTGTTTTATTCGATTAGTTTTGTTGACTTTTAACGGTTGCCACAAGGTAGTTTATATTTTCATTTCTTATAAGAAACTAAACGACTCACAAAAATCGATGCCTTCTATTATTTATACTACAATCAATGCCTAATTTAATGTAAGTAGTTGAAATCTGTTAACCAGTTTAATATTGTTCTATTTTATGTTCTGGTCAGTGTCAATATACTCATTCTGTTTATGACATGATGTTGGTTAACTAAGGCGCAGGTGACAAGCATCTAATATGTATTTCTCAAAATATTTCTTACTATTTTAGCTGTTTATTTGATGCATCAATCTATAACTTTCCAGTGCATTAAGATAGTTCACTTTAAATAACAGACACTTAATTTTAACGTCACTACTTCATTCTAATGTGAAGTGTAAAATTTGCAACTTTTATTGTTTATTCTATACAATACCGGTATATGGTTTTAGTGATAGTATGTCATACAGATAATTCTCTCAAATTAAAAATGATCGATAAATTTACATGATATATGAGGATAGTTTACGAGGCTTTCGATTAGTGGTCTAGTTTTGATCTGGGCATAGATTTCTCAGAAAGCTTTTCTTTCCGATCGATATTGAATAATAAACATTACCTTTACTGTCAGTAGAATTATCACTCCTCCCATTAGGACATAATTATCAATTATCAATGATCGTATGCCAAATCGTTTCATAATTCATTTATATCAGTGTAACTGTTACCGTCTAGATTTTGTTCTGTAATTCGGTTAACTTCCATGTATATGTATGTTCTACATGCATCTCACTAATTCACTCACTGAATTCCCTATTTTCATTAATAGGGATGAAAATAAAAATCCAGTTTTCTAAAGAGGAATGTATGTCTATACTTCTCCTATGACATCGTTTATCCAAGGTTTACATTTATGCTATTGGGAAAAAGTAATTCCCAATGGAAGTGTAGCTATTTATTTTTACTATTAAAGTAAAGAGATGATGTAATAATTGGAAAATGTTTCAGAGTTCGAATTAATGTGTGTTGGCTTATCAGTTATGAGCTAGGTCTACTTGGAAACGGGAAGTAATAAGAAACTTGTAAGAACTTTCTTATTATTATAATACAAATGATTTGTGTATCTAATTTATTTAGAACAGAAATTTGATCCATAACATTACTAATTGATTTCCTTTTCACATAACTTGAAAAAATCATATCATTTTTTTCCGCTAAATTTTATTCTTTTGTATTCAGAAAAAACCGTTCATCAACTTCGTCAACTTCTTGCAGAGTTTACTCTACCAAAATTTTATGAAGTCTTCGGTATACAACATGTTAAATGTGCACCGATTAGTGCATTTCCACACTTTCGTCCTGGTGAACGATCAGGTTTGATAACTGCATCGGTTGGACCGAATAATCCATCTCACACAGGTTCTGTAGCATTAAATATTCCACCGATACCTGGACATATTGGAGTTATTTCAAATTTACAACATAGTCAAGGAAGTAGTAGCAGTATTAGTAGTAATTGTAGTGGTGGTACATGTACATCCATGTCAATTGATGGTATAGATTTAATCAATGCTAAAAAAGATACAGGTTTACAAAGTTCTGAATTAAAAAAGTCTGAATTTAATCGAAATACCCATCCAGTTTTAATAATGATTGGTGATCATGGTGAAGACACAAATCTTTGTCATCGTATAATAACAACATCGATTGAAAACACTCAGCGTATTAGACAAATCAATAATTCTACGGACAATTGTGAACGAAATCCATATAATCTTCCTCACCAAAAACAACATTCATTTCCAACTGATATATTCAATTTGAATTCAGGAAATAGAATGAATTCTACATATCCTGATAATTATTCATTAAGATTAAATCAAACAGGTCAATTTGTTGGACCGCATATATTTAATCCTTGTACAAGTATACCATCATCATATTTACCAAATCATGTTATATCACAATTATCATTACCATTAGATAGTTCAGATAATAAACCGGAACGTTTATCATTGAGTTCATTGGAATTTCTTACTGATACTTTACTGGAAATTATGAGTTTAGTTATAAAAGAAGTGCCGAAATTTACTCATTGGCTTGATCAATGGACACAATTAGCACGAAAGTAATTAGTTCTTTGTTGTATTTTCTTGTCAACAAATTGAAATATTTCTGTTTATTTATTTATTCCAAACTCCTTTTTGTGAATGTTTATACTGACAACAAAAATTACAAAAAAAAACATTGTATGCTGGCAGATTAACTAGAACATCTTAAGCAGACATACTGTTTCATTTGTTGAAAGTAATTAAAACAAAATATGGAAATCTTTATGATATGCTTGCAGCTATTACGGGTTCACCTTAATCAGTAAACCGAACGAAGATCAACGATGCACTGACATGATAGGCTACTCAAATCCAATTGTCCAAGGCCCCGCTAACTAAAGGGAGAAGTTTTGATAAGACGTAGAGAGAATGTATTCACGGGCCCTCAGAAAATACGAGGTTCACAAGCACACAACTCAAGATTATTTATACAATAATAAAACGTCTTGGTGAGAGCCACAAAATAGTATACTGAAATTAACCATCAACCAGTGACAGTCAAGGATTTTCCGAGTGGGAAATATAAGCTGAAGGTCAACAAGGCGCTTTTGGCGCGAAAACTTAGTTCAAAATTTTAGAAATAAATTACAAAATTAGGACGTTTTCGAAGTGAGTACTAGGGATCTAACCTCTTCAACAATTTATCGTCTATGGATAAAGTCATTTATTACAATAGGATAAGGTGAATACCGTAAACTGAATATAACGAGTTATATCATCGACGATTACTACTTTTACCAAACATTTTGGTGTCAATGATGCAGAATTTTCAACTCCAAACATTCCATTTTAGTGAATTGTTCATTTTTAACTATTAACATTAGATCCACTGTACTGTTTTCGCCTATAAATTTACTTTATTTTGTCTAATGGATTTAATTACCTCACTAATCATGTTTCAAAATTTAACCGATCCCTACTATCATCTTTAACGTATTCATCTAGTCAGTGTGCATATCATTAATTACTACTTAATAAATTTTCAAATAGGGGAGGATAACATAACCATCGATTCTCACATAAATTCTAACCGTTTTCTTTTTCATAAAATTATTCATTTTAATACTATACATCTCGCGATTAATCTAGGTTAATCAATTATTTTTTTATATTATAGATTTGCGTTTCAACATAATCCAGCCTTACAACCTCGTGCAATCATTGTACTTGGATGTATTTGTAAAAGTTTTACTGATACAGATATAAAACAATTATTACGTATCATGTCTAGAGCATTAGCATCTTATGCAAATGAATTGAATATGGAAAAAGATCTACGACATAAAACTGTCAATACTGGACAAGCAGGTTTGTTTTGTTTTTCCTACCAAAATTGTTTACTAACTTATTTTTTATTTATTAATTATGATTGGTTCCAGAAAGTCATTACTATGATCATAAAACCAAACATTCTGTTGTAAACTGTAACATCATTGTTCGTTGAATTAGATCGTGGATACGCACTGCTGAGGAGTCCCATACCACGACGAAACGGCCGTCCAGTGCTTCCAGGTTTCTAATAGTGGTCTAACATTGATCGATTCATGGTTTCAAAAAAATGTGTAACTTAACAATCTTCACAACCCCGTAATGCGAATTAGATAGTGTTTACTCTTTGTTCAGTTTTTGATCTAAGCTCATTTTATTAAAATTTCAAATAGTATTTTATATTAGGCACTTACTGAATAATGTTTAAATGTGATTTATTTTGTCTCTTTATAATTTTAACAGAACTTTATCTCATTGAAGCAATAATTATTTGTTTAACAAGGCTGTTACCTCTATTACCATCAGATTCAGAAACACATCAACCATTATTTTGGGTTGCATTAGGTATTCTACAATTAGATGAAGTAACATTGTATGCAGCTGGATTAGCGTTACTTGAACAAAATTTATTAACGTTAGATCAGAATGGAACATTTGAACGTGATGTAAGTGATATTTCTGTTATGATATGCAGATGAATAATTGTTTTAAGTTACAAATATTAAAAAAGTAACACATCATCTGACAACCGGTGTACAGTGTATGAAGTAGTTTGCATTACAGTGTGATAGGTTTTTTAAGTCTTGGAAACTAAACTACTTATCTATAGTAGGTTGTGGTGCATGAGGATGCATTTCAAAAACTATTATCTTCATGTTTTTGTATTGTGAATATTTATTTTAATATTCCTGCATGTATATTCCAAAGTTGTTTTAGGTCGTTGGAGGTAGCTGAATTAAAACCCAAGTTCTATGTTTTATGCAATTCGGGACTGGTCAGCAACGTCTAACTGCTGTCTTTAGGGAACTAAAGTTCTCGGATGAATTCAGCCCCGTCCAACGCCTCGGCACTAAGCTTTTCGGCAGGGATTGATCTATGTTTTACAATCGTTTGTGGGAATTATCAGTTAGGACTAGGATTCATAGTTAATAACATTTCAAACTCACTGAAATGAGTATTTCTAAATTTTAGTTTAGTGAAGTTTAGATGTTCCTGTAACATGTTTTTTCCAGTTCTGACTTTGTTCACATTCAGTCACTCTGACTGTTTCTTAAATATCTAATAAATATGCGATATTAATCAACATCTTTTCTAATTTATACTCGATGAATAACGCAATATTCTGTCAACGGTAACAACTTCAGGACATTGAGTCACTGTTACATTTGAGTTATATATTATGGTATTACATGATACGATTACATAATCTTTGGTAATATCGGAGATAGATAGTGCTTATTATAACTGAATAGTAATCAAATGGATAGTGAGATTGTCTTTGAGTTTATTAGCATTGCATTAAAGTCTCGATTGTTACATATCCCTAGAAAAATCTTGATTTATAAGGGCAAATTAATTACAAAAATACCTTTCATAGAAATATGTCTAATATCGCTAGCAAACACATTGCCATTTAAATATGTTAAGAAATACTTAATTTTAAAAACTTTAGTGATTAATTGTTAAAAAATTTCTGAAATATTGTTATGAATTTTCTTCTGTTTCCCGTTTGTTTTCTATGTTTGTCGCTGCTTTTGTTATTGTCGTTCATCTAGTCATTAAGTTGTATTATGATGCGATGTAGAGAACAATTTATTTTACAATATAAACAAATGGATCATGCTGTTGGTCTTAGTTTTCGTGATAGTTTTCATTTTGCATTAGTTGGTCATCTACTGAAAGGATTTCGTCATCCTGATGTAAAAACTGTTGCTAGAACTATACGTGTACTGAATTTACTATTGGCTATAGTTGCCAAACCAATTAATCGGTAAGTCATGAATGAGAACTATTGAATTAATATAATAATTTAGAAGATAGATTATACAATTATTGTGTGGTATTCACTTGTTAACTGTGTATCTGGTAGATATAATTCTTTTGTGAAACTGATGCATTAATTATAACGTTGAGATACAGATATGATAAAAACGTCTCTCTCATGAAAACTCGAGCTTCAGAAACTACACAACATCAAAAAGTTCTAACTCAATGGAATTATAAGTAAAATGTCTTTCTGATTTATTGACCAAACAAAATTATAAAGAAAATCTAGTATTTGGTTCTTTCCTCTATGTAGGGTCATTATTGAGTGTAACAAAGAAAGCGTATCCCTAAAACAATACTTAGTAAGTCAACGTATGAGAAGCAAAATTAGTAAAAAAAAATGTTGTCAGATGGAACTAAGTCGCATAAAATATTAACTTAACTGGTTTTATCGGATTCTGTCCTAGTTTCTTATATGGACTTAATTTGTTATTGAATTTATAAGTGTTGCAAAGTAGTTGTGAATATGTAATTAGTCAAACAGAAATCTCTTTTTAACGTCAAATTATTAACAGTACTCTAAATGAAAGTTATTGAATACATTATTTTTTAATAACTCAATAGTGCTGCAATTGATGTATACATAGGTCACAACTGTGTGTAAATGTTAACATTAGCTGTAATATCCAAATCCAGTTCTAAATTTTACTATCAACCACTTGCCAAGGAGACAGATAAAGGCACTTCAATCATTTTGTTTTCTTCCGATTGATAAAGGAAGTAAATTTAATCTTTCGGTTGTTTAACATTAGTAAATTATCTAGTAATGTTTAAATAGATGTGTATTTCATTTTTTCGTCTTTTCTCATAAAACTTTATCTGATTTCTGGCTTATCAAATTTACAGCGACAAATATCAAGTTAGTCACGAAAGTATAGCTTATTTAACAGCTCTACTACCAGTATCCGAAGAAGTACGTAAACGATGTCGATTGAAATTTCGTATACCTGGTACACTTGTTGGTACAAATGAACAAGAAGTAAATAAAACTAGTGGTACTAATAATAATAATAATAACACGACAATAACTACAAAGAATTCTTCCTCTTTCACAAGTCCAACAATATATCCAGCTAATAATATTGATTGGGGTGGATCTAATGAAAGTCTACTTGATACATCATCATCACCTCAACAGTCAAATCCACGTAGTCATAATTCAGTTAGTCTCATTAAATCATTATTACCAAATCCATTGATTCAATCAAATTTCTATCAGAAAACTAATCGTCCACGATTTGAATTAAATTATACCAGTAATTTATCACTGTCCGATAATAATAATACACAACAACAACAACAGCAGCAACAATTAAATCGTCAATTAAATGATCGACAAATAACAGCTAACGTGGTATCAGAAGTGGTAAGATTCTTTTTTTTGTTTCATTGAATGCAAATTCTCGATAACTAAGTATGCGATATTCCCTCTTCTTTGTCATACATAAGTTTATTTGATTAACGAGTTGTGTAAGTTTCAACATAAAAATTATGCAGTAGAAAATAGGAAAACAAGAAACGAAAGTAACTTAGTGCTTGAAATGTACAAACTTACATATTTCCTATCTCACTCTATAAAGAGGGGATCATAGATTGTAATTTATAAGATGTACTTACACATATCCTGTTAGTATTTATTCTTATATTGATTTAGTGTTTATATATATTTTATTATTGAGTTGGGATTCTTTTCTGAATAATCAAATGATTTCGTCAAATGAAGACACTTGAATCAAGTAGAGATTGTTGAAATCACAACTCATTCACGCTGCATAAATCCATTCAGGAAAGTGTAATGTACGAGCTATACACTTCGTATATTTGTGCATTTTAACGTAGTACTTGCTGCTAGTTATGGCTCTAGAGATTTTTTCAAAGATTTAAGTAATATTTCATACTTAAGTTGGAAAATTATCTATTATTAACCTTCATAATAATTACTTATGTATATATATACTGTTTGCATTTCTAACCAGAATCAACCTCAACAATCATCGCAGCAATTTTCTAAGCACCATTTAATTTTAAATACAACAACAGACAGTTTACGTTCACGTTCTATTGATGAATGTATAACAAATGGTGGAAGTACTAGTTCAAACACGGAACAACGTTTAGGCAATGTTTTGCATCAAATCAAAGATGAAATAACAGATGGTCAGATTATAAGTGGTAGTGAATTTGATGATGTCAGTACAGATAAGAATCAAATGAATCAAAGGGAACAGTTATTACCTAGATTCATACAAAGTGAACAAAATACATCGACTGGAGTTCTACTTGATCCAAGTATTCTTACAGATGAAGCAACTCAAGCTTTAACTATTGCTGTACTGGTAAATTTACATAAAATAATTTAATCAATCGATTTCATAATATTTTATCTGTAAAATTTTTTTCATGATACATTTTATCATTTGACATTTGAAGCTTAGTTTGCTGGTTGAATATTAATGTGAAAAAATTTAAAATAATCCCGATACTAAGTAATATAAAACATTTTGTTAGAAAAAAAAGCAGTTAACTTGTTTGTAGTGTCATGCATAATGATCTTCAAGCTTATCTAAACTTTAACAATCATTGGATACCTGCATTCTATACTTTTGAATACTTATATACAGATTTTTGGCATCATCCGAACACTCATAAATGTCAGCATAACTTTAAACTCTAACTAGCTGTTTCTAGCTCAAATAGTTTTATGAAATATGATAATTTTCAGAAGATTTTCATACAGAATTTATGTAAGTTATACTATAGGTAGAGTACAACAGTAGAACACACAGGCTCCATTCAGTATTATCTGAATTCCAGCTAACTTAGAAACTTCCTCTCTCATCAGAGTTATTTGTGTAACTTTAATAAACCTAACGAATATGATTCTTCACTTCTACTTACGATGACCGTTCATCAATAGCTATAAGGAATAATGGCACGACTTGTTAGAATGTCACTTAATGCAATTACAGAGATGTAAAAATGGATTTGAATCTGTGAGTCAACACAAAATGGTTTTATATATTGAATTTAATCAAAACAATATATCTGATTGTTCTATTCGCATATGAATTAAATATAGCCCTTCCTTTAGTTTATTCAAAATAGTAGTGAATTTTTTAATTATTTTCAACATAAACTTTAGCTTATTACAAGAACCATTCAAAGAGCTGTCTATGATTTATGTATCAACATGCGTAAAAAAAAGTTGCAATTCCTGTCAAATCGAATGTTTCTACTTCCAAAAAAATATTCGTACTAGAGAAAGAATTGATTGTTGACTAATTATACGAATCCTTCATTTCATAGTTTATTGTCCAATCCTAAAAAAATAGTCCTACAAGTTTTAGTATTCAGCTTATTACTCTTTTGGATTCTGTCACTTATTGAGTCGATGAAACTGATTATTTAATTGTTAAAGTGTCCGCTATTGTATGTCAATAACAATATGAATCACTAAGCACCTTCAAAATGTTGAACCAACCTTCATTGGAGTGTTATTAATCGTATTCCAACGGCCAACTGATAGTTTATGAATGCAAACAGATTTTGACAGAGACAAAACATTGAAACAACGGAAGTTTTTCTTTCATGATTCTCTTATAATTGATCATATTAAATAATTGAAACTAACTCAATTGAATATTTGTCAAGTGTTATGATTTGTTTTCTATTTTTTTAATTATTAGACTACTTTGGTGCGTTATACCACTGACGAGAATGAGTCAAGAGTTCTATATGAATTTTTAGCAGATGCTTCTATGGTTTTTCCTCGTGTATTTCCTGTAATGTAAGTGGAACTATCTTACTTGAATAATATAATGTTCTTCAACAAAATATCATAAACCGTGTTGTTTAAAGATTTTTTCAAATAGAACTGAAAACCTTTTTTACTACATTTGTGATATGCAGTGCTGTTTGTAGTGGAAAATCATGAGTATGCTACTTATCAAAACAGTGGAATCCTAAACAACTGACTAAAGTATGATTTTAACAGAATTTTCAAACGATATTTTCTAAATACAATGCAATATGTATTCACTATAAATACAAATGTAGAGCAAAACAATACTAAAGTAACCGTCGTTTATGTTTTTTTTTGCACAAGAAAATTCACTAAAATAGTACGAAAAATACAAACTAGAATTTCAGTGTAATCAATGTTTTTTTGATTCTGATCTTTATTGTAATGACAGTTCAACCCATTGATTTGCGAATTCCATAAAATTTCATCTAAAAGTTTTAATGCACCTAAAAATTCTAATTCAGCACAAATAATTTTCATGTTATTCAGCTTTGTCATAAACCGACTATCTTCCTTCGTTTCATTCATACCAAGTAGGATTAAATACAAAGTATTATCGTTGATGTAATATCCAGCACACAAAAATAGTTATTTAAGGTTATGTTAACAGTCAAAGAATTTTTAAGTATGAAGGTGAAATAAACTTTCCTGTATATATCCTATTATGTTTTTTATTATATTTAAGGATATAAGTATTTTAGTAGACCAGTACGCTTTCTTTTTGATATTCTGTTTCCAATTTTTGTACAAGCGAATGTATACGAATAAAAGTTTGGTCGGTAAATACAGTTGCTTAGATCTTTGACATACAGTGAAACAGTTATATTAAGCTTATGACTGGCAAAGATAATCTAGGCATGATAGGATAACGAACGTCATGGACAATAATAATTTCAACAAGATCTTACGTTCTTTTTATACTCAGTAGTCAAATGGTTCTTAAAACACAGCTTTACTTTAGTTTTCAAACGTAATCAAATTTTATTGACAGAAGTTTATGATCCGATCAGTTAACAGAGTAATACACTAGATAGTCTGTTTACAATCAGTCAGATTGTATAGATTGTTACTTGATGTTAAAATGTATACCCTATTGGTTTCTCGAATACACAAAGAACTGAATGCCTGTAACGTGATATTTCCTGTTCTCATAGACTATGTTTCATGTACATTAAGTTTACTAAAGCAGATTTCTACGCGGTATAAAGATGGGTGGCTAAGCGTTCATGCACCCACCATTCATAATATATGGTGTTAGTTGGTCATACCTGCATATTGCATATTGATACCTTTTGTAATATTAAGATCGCCAATCCTGATTAAAGCCTTGAAACAATAGAAAAATATTATCCACTTATCCAATTCAAAGCAAATTATTTTTTTTCGATTTCTACCAAAACTGAAATACTTTTTAGCTTATTTTAATTTATTTACTAAAAATAATGTTTATTATAGACATAGTTTGTTGGATTCAAAAATTAATTACGTCCTAACACATTGTCATGATCAGAAAATTTTGAGTGCTGTACAAAGTATCATACAGAATATGATTGGTAATGGTGAAACATCTGTACAACAATTACACTATTTACAAAGTAAGCTATCATCATTAAATATTTCTATTCTTTTGTGTATATATATATGTATTTACTTATTGTCAAGGCATATTTTTTGTACAACATATAAAAACTGAGCTCATCAATATTAAAATTTTTAATAAATGAACAAATGATTTCAAATGTGTAAAAACACTAATCTCCATAACTCTAATAGGAAAAAAAAATCAGTAAATACTATCTCAATTCTTATTGATGTCAAGTTAATTCAATTCCAAACATAAATCCTAATTACCTGTAACAATTCATAATACATAATGGTTATTGTCTGAATAAAAAAAAGATGATATGTAGACCAGTAAAAAAATTGTGTTGCATTATGTCATCATTGTGAGTGACTTTGTTTCTAAAATGATACCTAGTTTCATCTTTATTCACCTAAACATCATTGTTAAGTGATAAATTTTTATTAAAATATAATATGACAGTTCATGTGGTATTAGGATTGATGCTTAATTGATCGAGTTTACAGATCTCATCAATATTTTATTAAGGTGTTCATGAAAAAAACAAGTTTGTCTACTATTTTTTTTCAACATATATCTGTTACTTTATCTGTTTGTGACTAAACTTGGGTTGTAGTTGACTTAATATATGATCTTCAGTATTAATCTAATAGGTGATAAAGCTAAAGCCTTCATAGTAGTTTAAATTCATGCTTTAGTTTCCATTCTTTTAAGATTTTCCGATCTAAAACATTTAATGCAGTGAATTATGTAGCAATTAAAAGAGTTAAGTTGTTACATTACAGGTTTGGAACTTCTCTAATATTGTCCGATTCTTAGTCACAACTAAATTCTATCGACCGGGTTGTAATATGGTCACTCGCTTGATAAATATCTTTATTTTCGATTTTATTCATGAGCGGATGAGTTGGCCTTGAGATCACATTTCCCACCACGAAAATCCTTGGCTGTGATTGGTTAGTGTGAAGTCTTAGCATGCTATTTTTGTGACTGTCCCAAGCATGTCTCTATGGCGTATAAATAAACGCAATTTGAGTGCTTGGATTCATTGTGTGCTGGCTGGGTGCTTGTAGAATACACTTTCTACTCTATGTCACGACTACTTGCTAGTACAATTGGGACAAGCGGATCACAGTAGCTTACCTGGACGCTGGTTCATTATTTTGTTCTCGTTATTCGACTAAGGTGAACCCTTAATAGTCTTAAGCATATCTACAGACGAGTATAACAGATTACGTTTATTTTTCCCTTTTATTTATTAATATTATTATTTTATTATATTATTAATATTATTACTATTTATTAATATTTTATATTATATTTTCAAATAATCCTTCGAGCTACTGCATAACTTGTTTTGACACCTAAAAAAGCAGTTGATCATTTTTTAAGCTGTACAAAATCCATCTCTTATATTATGAAATAGATAACTATAAATGCTATCATACAGCGAAAGAAAATTTTCTTGCCAAATAGCCGTACTACTGTTTTAGACGGCATTTTTTTTAAAGTTAAATTTTATATTTTTACTTTATATTCCAAGGTATCGGTTTTGGTGGTCTATGGAGATTTTCCGGGCACTTTTCTAAGGTATGTTTATGAATTAGTATATCTGATGTGCATTCATACATAGATAGGGTTGTTTTCGTTTATAAATTGTTTTTTTTCTCACTACAAAAATAAAATGATTTATTGATGGAACTGTGTCATTTTATTTTAGTGTGTGTAATCAATTAGAAGCGAAAAGGGCAAATACTATTTCTCAACCATCAGATTTATAATTTTTTTTTTCAGTAATATCAATTGTCACCAAAATCATTAAGACTATTAGTCACTAAATTAATTGGGATATAATTTTAATGATTTATATTGATAAACAGAAATATCAAGAAAATTCATAATAATAATAATAATAATAATAATGATAATAATAATTTGTAACTTAACCGAATTAAAACGAATGAACAGTTCAACTATCATAACATACATTCTTTATTGTAACTATTATTGTTAACTTGTTTGATAGTTCAAGGATTGACAGAAATTGATCATTCTAAAGGCATAAATGAAATGCTTTAACAATGATCATTATAACTCTATAGATTACTCTAAAAGATGATCACATCTATGTTGTCTGACTTGGTGTAAACCTTGTAATCATATTAATACTAATCATTACCATCATTATATAATTATTCATTTCTGCTGAGCTACTTGACTGACTGTATGGAAACATGCATCACTTACCCATCGTAAAAGAATCTTACATCAACCTAATCAGTCAGTGAGTAAATCTTGGATTCATCGATCTTTAGGTTACATATTAAAAATTAGTAATTCTGTGACAGATTGAGGTTTAATTAGAAATTCATCAAAACTACCTGATATTTGCGTTTATTTTATTTATTTTTATTTCAGGCAAATCAGAATGCTGATACTGCTCAGTTGTTTGTCAATTTTCTTGAAGTCCTAATTGATTCACATTTACCCGGAGAAGATTTACGAACATCATATACACCAGTGTTAGGTTTAGGAAATACAGGTCGAGCTAGTAATCTATCCAGTGATTCCTCTTTAAGTTTATCTAGTGTACACGGTTCTATAAATGAAGTATCAACTGTCACTGCTTCCATTACACCCACTGTAACTAATACAACTAATAATGTCGACAGCGGCGATAGAGATGGACCTACGTCAGTGTCATCGATTACCTTAGTCAATGTTCCATGTGTTGTATCAAATAATGATTCTGAGGAATTAGAATTAAATTTGTCTACTATTGGTTCTATGCCAACAGATCAGCAAGATGTAAATTCTGAATATTTCACTTCTAGAGGAAGATCTGGATCAAATATCAGTGGATTTGAACATATAATAAAGGTAAACATTTTCTCTTGCACGATTTATTCTTCCCTGTTACAAATTTATTAAATTACGTAAAATAGGAGATTTTTTTCTTGCCTCATTCCTGTTTATGGGTTTGAATATCAAATCAAATCAGCTTACTTTAAAAATATGTTAACCCTGGTGCGAGACCTGATTGATTGATATACAACATTACATGGTGGTTGTTAAAATTAGGTTTATGATATGAAGTTGGCTACAAATCTTTATTTAATTAATTCTGGATTGTATTACTATTGACGAATAAAACTACCATAAACTGTAACCGTTAACACAATTATTCATTTAAACACTTCACAAATGTACTTTGTGGCTACGTCGGTTGATCGTTTCCCTTGACTACTCTTAAATTATGTGGATTGAAATCTCAAATTATGAAGACTTCTATAGGTATATCTCCAGCTGATTTAACAAATGAATCATTAGTCTGAAACTGCTGCGATTATTTCTTTTTACGGAAAAATGGCAACATTCAAGCAGTCGATAGAAGTGGATACCTTATTATGTATATATGTCATTAATGATTATTGTCAACATCATCTAATTATTTAAAAATTTTTCTAAGAACAATATTTATATTTAGAGGTAATCATCTACTTGTATGAAGTAAGCTTTTATTAAAAATTGTATCAATTAATAATGAAAATTTATTAGCGTCAACAAAACTTCATATTATTTAATAGATGCTAGAAAGTTTTCACGGTAGAAGTAAATATTAGATGCCAATATATTTCCACTAGATATTTTTGACTCTATTGTCCAGTCAACGGTGTACTTTAACAAACTAATTCTCCTAGTTTCATTGTAAACTTACTCGAGATCTAACCTCACCAGTGAGTAAGTTGATGAGTAATTAGTGAAGAGTATGTCTGTGTATTTTATGAGTTTTAATCAATATGCGGATGAGTTATTGATTGTCCATGTTTTCAACCAATTAGAAAACAGGTTAGAAATTGAAGTGTAAACAAACGCTTCATCGTACTAAAGTACATTTATACATGATGGATTAAACAGGTTGCTTTTTTTATGTAGTACGAATAAATTGAGTAAGTTTCCTATATATTTACGTACTCGTTCATTAACAGTAATTCCATCATTGTATAACTACTAATCTCATGTTGTCTGGTCCCTAGTGCTGAATGAATATAGCCAGTGAAGTTTGTAATGTGGTCATTAATTTATGTGACTGGAAACTGCAGTGTATTCTATCCTATCATCAAACATTTAAAGATAGTCGGAAAGAAGTCCTATCTATCTCGAATTTAAATATGCCTTTATTTGGCAACCCTTCTTCAAATGTTGAAGGTGATAAATGTTCACATCCACACTTTAGGCGATTATATCATTGACTATAGATTATAACGTTACCACAATGAAACATTTTTTTCTTAACGTTTTCCCTTAGCGATGATACAGCTGGTTGATGATCAATAACAATTTTTAACATTTATCATGCACAGAGATTTACCTATAATCATTGATTGGAATATTTGTCGCTCAT